GCGTGGGCGCGCGCGCCCCGGGGCGCGGGCGGGCGGCGCCCCCCGGGCGCGCGCCCCCCCCCCCCCCCCCCATATACAGCACCAACAGGCCCGACGCGCCGTACGGCAGGCTGTACAACGGCGTACGCCTCACCCGATATCGCCAACGCTGCTACCCAACATCCTCTTTTAGTCACAACACCCAGCGGCAACTCCGGGTTGCGTCTGTGCTTGAGGCGGCCATCTAGGGAAGGAGGAGAGGACCTCGCGTGGAAGGCGTTCAGTGAAGGGGAGGTAATGTAGCTAGATAGGTATACGGGGTGATGTGATCCGGCCTCATAACATAGCACACTTGTACGTGTATGCCTAGGTAGAGGATCGTTGGCGAATTCTCTTCAATGGAAGAAGGCTCATCAGGCCCAGGCAGACTGGAAACTGTAATCTAACGTTTGTTGGTTTGATCTGTCTAGAGGTTCTTTTCAAGGTATTGGTTGACAGCAGTCAACTTCTGATTTCACACCAAGGATTGAGGCATGAAAGGAAGATGTGTTGGTTGAGGATTGTTTGCTTCGCTATTTCGGGGTCCTCCCCTTATTTATATAATTTGGCTCACTAGGCAGAAATGGAATAACCTTGGAGCTAAAGTTAGGATTATGAGAGAATAAACGGATAATAGAGCAAATCGACTCATAGTTGAGTAGGTATAACTACCTACGTACCTACATACTTGATAAGGGGGAAAGTAGAACCGTAATTCGGGTAAAAACGTTTACAAGTATAATCCGATATATGTAGGAAGGTGTATACTTCCTTAGTGATACCCATGAGATTCAATCTACCTATGATAGGTCCTTACGTTAATATTTGCGTTTATAATTACCCACATGGTATCTAGGTAATATGAGTGAGTTTATGACTGGCTTTACCAGACATACAGCACGCAGATGTTGGAGATGGATAGATACATGACGTATATTAACCTGCTCACATGTGTAGCATTTACTTATACACGAGACTGGATTAACTTACTCATATTGGAGCACAATAAAGTTTGCCAAATTACCATGATTAGACAAAACTCAGATGTGATGATAGCTTCACTAATGTGCGCAATAGAAAGCAAAGACTAAATAAAAGAGATAAGACAGTTGAGTTCTTTGCGAAGCAGCTTATATTGAGGTTGGAGATAGTCGATACTATATAAGTCGCTAGATGGCTGGGAGAAGAGCCGGTTGGGTCTTAAGACCGGGTGGGCGTAGAGTATCGTTCCCCGAAGACATGCATCAACCCCGGATGATTGTTGTGCCTTCGCTTCCTTTTGCTCCCCCTTCAGGTCAACGACGAGCCTCGATGGTTCTTCTGTATTTACGGGTTTCGGTTGCTGTCACCTTATCGCTGACATCTAGTTATTTCAAATAAACAACTATGTCCCAGGCGAGATTAGTCCAAGCCTCTGAGTCTATCGCCTATAACGCCGTCTAAATGCCGTGATGCTATCAACTCCCCCAAGCCGCGACGGGCACATCTCCTTATTTGAGCGTCTAATATATACCCTGGGTACGGTATTGGAAGGTATCGTAACTATGCACCATATATTAGCAACAGGTTGCTTCATGTAAAGAGGAAGGATAAACTTACAGTCGTGTGTAGTAACTGCCAAGAGACTTCGTGATGAGATCAGTCTCTACGAAACTCTCGGCCGCGTCGGCACTTAGATGCAATTGGAAGCGCTGTCGCAATGTTGCCGTAGCCTGTGCCACACCTGCCGAGTAACAGGGCATTTTCGAATCTAGTCCCATCATGCTGACTAAGTCAACAATGTTGTCGGCTGATCGGCGCAGTGCTGGAAGGAATTAGATATACGCTGTGCAGATAGTCATCCGTAGATTCGGATCTCACCTTGGAAAGCTTGCTTGCATAATGTCTTGAAATCCTCAAAATCCGGGGAATCAACGCCACCTAAAACATCCACGTACTCCCAAGTCAGCTTAAAAGGAGCCGCTTCAAATCCAACCGCTCCAGGCGAATTCGAGAGCATGAATCCAAAATCGATGTGGATGATATGTCCTTCATTATCGATGAGCACGTTACCATTGTGCCGATCTTTCAATTGTAATATGTACGAGATGATGCTGTACGCGGCAAGGGAACGCTTAAAAGCGTCCACCGCCGCTTTGTATGGCTCGCTATCTGGCTTGCCAAACGTTTTCACCCAGTGATCTTTCAACGTCGCAAATCGACGTCGTGGGTTTATCCCTGACTCGATCGACGCCAAGGTTAAACTCCGCTTCAGCGAGTGTAGGGAGACGCCATTTGTAATGGTTTCGATGAGGCCCGATGACTCTCCAGTGACCAAAATTCGCATCAACTTCACCCATACAGGGACACCGGCATCAACCCAAATCTTATGACAGACCTGAATGAGCTGACATGCAAACGCTTCCTGTCGAAGATCAGCTCCGGTCTTGACGATCACACTGACCAAATCCCAATTCTTCATCCACCCGTACGGCGAAGTCTTACGTATCCGCTCTTTCTTCATGTTCCACGCTTCTCCGAATACTGCAGCGCTAGGATCGTCACGGTCACCTTTTCTCTGCACGCCGCCCGTCATCGCGTCGTTTTCCATCCGAGCGGCACCAGCATTTGAGTTACTTGTTGGGTCGAGTTCTTCATCCAAGTCGGAGCCTTCAGGGGGCGAAGACGCCGCGCTGGCTGCACTGGCCGCACTAGCACTGGCCTTGGCCATAATTAAATCGAATGTAGGACCCTGACCATCGTCAAGGTCGAAGCTTTGCTCTTCGAGGCTTTGCATGCTTGCGATGATCTTGGATCTAATAGCTGCGACTTCCTGACGAGGCCGTTTACCGCTGGTGGCATCAAGTTGAGCCAACATTTGTGATGCCGTCCGCATATGTGTTGCTAGAGCCGAGAAGTCAGGTGGTTGATCAGCAGATATGTTGCGTTGGTTCGACAACGTTATTCTTCGCAATGCCCCCGGACTACTCGATCTGGACGTCGATGTCACTGAAGTACGCGACGGGGTTAGGTCGAGAGACGTAGATACGTTTACGGTGCCGTTGGGTAAGTTCCTATGGTGAGCAGGTTGTTTTCCATTTCTTTTGCTGGTTGCATCGTCATGGTCAAAGGGTTTAAGCATCGGCGAAGTCCCTAGATCCCCTGAAGTTGGTTCGAAGACACTATCAATCTTTTCCAAACTAGGCTCAGAAACTCTATCCGAAGTCTGCGTCTTTTGCGCATCAGATAAATCAAATAGGCGCTTGCGCGTGCCTTGCTCAGCTACTAGATTACCAAGTAGCCTCTGGTTCTCCCCGGAACTAGGGTCGAAGGTGAAATCATCCCGAAGAATCTCGAGCATAAGCAGATACGGTACCTTTTCGGCGCTGTTTAGGACAGTAGCTTCGGCAGGATTTATCCTTACGATACGATGGTGGCGACTCTTCGCTGGTGAACCATCTACCAAGGTCGGTGGACATATGATTGGGATATCTAGCTCAGCCGGCAAATCTCTAGCAATCAGTGCGAGTTCGGCCCGCAAGGCACTAAGGCGAGCCGGCTTTGGTACTATGACTAGTCGATTAGATATATCCTCGAGCGCCGCTAGAAATGCTGTCTGGCAGTGAAAGTAATTTTGCCGAAGCAACCTTGCTTTCTGGCTCATTGTCATTTCTGCTAAGCTCGCGGATGTCTTTGCATGGTGTGAATGCCTGCGTGAGATTGTGTCCGTCGGACGTGGCAGGCCGGCGGAGAGCGGAGTTACAGGTCGTATCACCCTCGGTGATCTTACCTCAGGGAGGGGAAGAGACGACGAGCTTAAATGAGCTTCTAAGATCTTACTGTCAATATAACCTGGTTTTCGCGGTTCGAATGTGGTATCTCCGTCAGGTCCGGGACTCGCAAGTGTAGGAGTACTGGGGTGCTGCGGATACGGCGACTTTGGCGACTTTTTCGGGGACGAAACGGATTGCCGAGAATCAGACATACTCCCAATTCGAGCCAACTCACGGGGCCGTCGTGACCTCGTCGTATTTCCGGTGACGGTCTGACTCCTAGTGACCTTGGACATATGGGTTGAAGGACTTGGCTGGCTCGGCTGATTCGTTTCGGATATGACGTTGGTGGATGGATGCGATTTCCTCGCCTGTGCTACAGCCAGCGGACCAGCCCATTGCGGCAAGCTTGGAAAGCCGACGCTGGCCAAAACAAAACTCGCAAGCACCGTAACGGGCAAAATGTTCTCTTTGATCTTTTCATGTCTTGCTGTGTCCGACAATCCGAACACAATATGTTGTACCTTATTATAAACTCTCCGACATGTCTTGAAGGCTTGTGACTGCGGCGTCGAAGCGAGGTCGCGCAGATAAGTTTGGAAAAGCCAAAATGTCTAAAGCAATTATTCAGCAAGATTCTCTCTTAGACGGTGGATTCGACGGGTGTGCGGACCAGAAGTGCAGCAGTGACGGACTCTTCGCAAAGATCCAATAAAAACTCTTCCAATGCCATAGACTCATTATCGACACTTATTATAAGGTGACACAGCTGGGGAAGGAAGAATTCGATGTCCTCATACGGGAATTGGCGGAGCTTGGAGCACAGAACATAGTGGATTCCGACGTGGTCGGCATATCGGCTATAGAAATCGGGTCAAAAAGGCTGTTGTCGCAAAAGCGTGGGAGGAATTGCCTACGATAGATAGGAAACGGAGAGGAAGGGATTCTGGTTGAAGACATCACTCTCGATAAAGCGCTGGAGTAGATCCCACGACATAGCGAGCTGTCTTTAATAAGCGGAAAAGAGATCATGAGGCTCGATGCCTCACCTATGTTCGACATTAAACGACTGAAGCGAATAAGAAGAAGCTGTCATGGCTGTGGCTGTCGAATACAGCGGAGAGCGTGGGCGGTGGACGGTGAACGACGAAGGTGTCGAAGTTGAAGTTGAGTTGAAGGTGCTTGGCCCGAAGTTTTGCGGCGGCGCGCATCTACTCAGAGCATGGTAGGTACCGCACCGTACCTACGAATTGAATCGGTCCAATTCCTCGAGTAAAATGCCACTTTCTGTCTTTCTTGGCAGGTACATGTACTTCTGATACAGGAGGCATAGCGTGCTGCAACAGAACCCTGCACCCCCCTATACCGCTTCTTGATTGGCTTATACGTATTAACGTAGCTGTCATTATAGGCAAGGTTAGTACATATACTTCCTGCACTCTCGCTCCCATTCAATACGGCAGCAGCTGCCGAATCTACCGAGAGCTTCCTAACCTTAATAACCTACCAACCTCGAACTAGAAGCATTTTAAGTTACACGGCTTAATACTTGATTCAAGCAGCATTCTACGATAATACGATAGATAATTCTTGGAAGCACGTCTCCTATTCTAGAAGCTTACACACTTACCTCGCCAGTTAGTCATAGTAGCATATGCCCCGATCTGGAACAACCACGATCAACTACGATAGTCCATCGAAGGCAATGCTCGTCGCGACTTGCATGAAGGTTGGAGCACAACTACATATGTACGAACGTGGGGTAAGAAAGAAGGGAGCCACTGAGGAACTATCACATTGCAAAGGTTAATCATGAGAGACATCATCCGTCTCTGCTCTGGTCGGGTACCGCAGTTGCTTGCATTCCTTCGAAATTTATTTTTTAATAGAAATAAATGCGCTCCCGGCCTCCAAAAGCCATCATGCCACCGCAATTTAGGGCGACCCCTTAGACCTCCAACGCCGGTATAATAGCCCTAGGTGTAACGCCAGCGGCCCAAATCATCCATCGTGACCTCGTTGCCGTCGTATAATCCGTAGAAAGAGAATGTAGTAAGACGGAATAGAGGATAACTATGCCGGTGCCTTCTTTTTGCGTCCGCCCCTGCCCTTCTTCTTGACTTCCGGTCCTTCTGGTTGCTCCTCGTCGCTGTCGCTATCAGGCTTGCTTCGGGAACTCTTGCCGCCCTCCTTCTCCTCGCCCACCTTCGCCACGATATCCAGCAGGAAATCCCATTGAGTAGCTGAGCCAACCGCCTGCTTGAGCATCGGTGCAGTGATTCGTTTCGAATTCTTCTCCTTTGCTACCTCGGCACTCTTGCGGACAAGCTGTACCATGAATAGTTCTAACGCTTTACCCACAGCGATAGGCGTTTGCTGGGCGACCTTGCCCACTTCTTCATCAGCCTGCATTATGCGCTTGATGCGCGCCGTGGGGAACTTTGTCTTGACGGGTGAAGGGTCCATCTCGTTCTGCTTTGCCGCCGGGGCGATCTTTCGCGGCGGCATGCTACTTTGGGGATCTGATAAGGCGAGTTGCTCATGCAACTCGGGTTGTGGAGAGGCTGAGGGTTGGGAAGGCTGCGCTTGTAATTGGTGGTAAGCAGCTGACGATGAAGACTCGAGGTACGGTGGATAATAAGAAGCAGATGTCGGTGCGGGAGCGGTCGGGCTTTGGTAATTATATGGTCGAGTTGTCTGGATGAACTGCGTTTGTTGGCGGGGAGAGTAATATTGTTCAGCTCCTTGTTGCTGATGTCCTTGTCCTTGTTGTCCACCGCCTGAGGGAGGGTAAGTGTTAAAGGTGGGATTGTTACTATATGCGGGAGCACTAGTAGGTTGCGTTTGTTGATGCGGTGCGGGCGATTGATATGTATTGTACTGGTGGGGCTGTGGCTGATTGTGATTGTATCTTAAAGACGCTGCTCCCAGGCCACCGGCCACTCCAACCCCAGGTACGGCTTGAAAGGGATATCCACCTGGGGCGTCGGTACTCTGAGGAATGTCGGAAGAAGCACCGGAATAAAAGGAAGAAAGATCGGGCGATTTTGGCGCATATGAGCTTTCTTGGGTTGACATGGTCTCAAGTGGAATTTAAAATAAAAAAAAATTCGCAGGACCGCAAGTAAAAATGGGGAGCTCTGGAATGGCGGGGCAGCTTTTTCGAGACCTTGTTGCAATACTGTCTTCTTTTTCTGTGGTTCGTATGAATTCTTGTGGTAAGTTGATTCGGACAGATGTAGTTTTTATGCAGTCTGTGTGGCTGGTCAAGGTTGCTAAAGACCAGGATGATCTCTTCTTTTAATCTAGTCGCAACCAATAGACATCAGACTAGGTAGGTGCCTACGGTATGAAATAGGTAAAATAGGTACGGCAGGAGGTAGGGAGGTTAGACTAATGCAGGAGGTAGCACCCAATGATGGTCATACGCGTTATACGCACAACACAACAATGAAAGATAGCAGCGGCAGCAGTGTGAGTGTGTACAAATGTCTAAATAGTCCTACCGCACGGTGTACCTTAGGTAGGACTGAGAGAGGACAATGACACTGGAAAGGCTCTACACTAGCTGTTGCTCACTTCAAATGTCGTTCGTAACCCGTACAGAATACAATTCGGCGGATTGAATAGAATTGTACCTAGTACCGTGCAATTTGCATAAGTGCATGAATGGATATGCGTATGAGTCAGGCGGGTACAGCCCTAAGCTGTGATTGGATAAGACCGTTGGCTTGTGACTGTACGGCGTAGAGCATAAAAGAAAGGACGGTATTGAATTGCAACCGTTCAACTTAATCCGAAATACAGTTTCAACGTTTGTGAGGACTGTGGATTGCGGATTGTGGAGAGGTTGTGTGGATGGCGTCGAACGTCCGAATAAAAAGATAGAAGTACAAACAGTTTAAAGCGTCTTAGCGAAGGTGGGGTGAATATGCGATCTATGCGTAATTGCCAGGTAGTGTGTTTGGGTAGATGGATGACTGGAGCTCGGCGCGTTTTTCTGGCTGGTTGGGAAGGAGCCTCGGACTGGTTTTATATTCCTACATGTAATCGCGATTGAGCACCGCCACATCAAGAAAAAAAAGTTGATACCCCACACAATCTTCTCATCATTATTGGAAGATGTTACTTAATCTTCCTTAATCATACCGTTTTTACACATCCCACATCTCGTACATCGTACATACTTTTCGACGTTCATAATTTGGGTAACTGTCCAAATAATCCATCGACTCATGCATGACATTTCGATGATCTTCTCACGAATGGATCTAGCACGTGTGTCTCCAATGGCACCAGGCGACCAATATTCTGTCACGAATAACCCGGTCGCATAAGCCGGTCCTATCATGGATCAAACCGAGGCTTCCATGTAGCATTATGTAGGCTGCATGTTGACATAACCTTCAAGTTAAGGTAAATGACTCTCTCTCAGCCTTATTGTATCGAATTTTCTAATAGATAGATGGATAGATTTAAGAAATTGGTAGATTTGATGAAAAACAAACTTTTTTATTACTATTCCTAGCTCGTCCCACTGATGGATGGTCTTGGTCTAACATCCATCGTGTCTTCAAGGATGCTTCGGCTAAAACGTGCCTTGGCATGTCATGAATGATGATAACCATGCAAAGAGCTTTGTCGGAGACCATGATTAGCATCGTCAGTCCAGAAGCCGAGTGCTCGTGCCCTATGGTTTCTTCTCTGCCGGCGAGGTCTGTGATGACATAACTTGATCTAATCTGACATGACATAAGACCCAGGCACGGAAATCCATGGATTTATTCACTTTAGATAAACATGAACAACGCGCCAAGTGGCGGCGGTCTCATACTCTGATTTCAATTTAGTCAATATTATCGCGAATCTCCTCCACTAAATATTTCAACCCTTTTTGTCTATCACTTAGTGAGCTGCTAAGAAATACACAAGCCACGGGCCAGGCGTGGATGCCTCCCTTCTCTTCCCTACTATGCACTTTTATATCGTTTTTCTCGAAGAACTCGATCAAACCTGCTATCTCAGGCGCGAAAACCTCTTCAGCACCATAAGCTATGAAAATCCCTTTCGAAGGCATTGCGCCTTTCCACCACGAAATATCTCTGCAGCTGCCCGGCGATAAGAGTGGATCATTGACGGAAACTTTCTCTCCGGCGTATTGGCGAGCATACAGATGCAAGTTTCCGGCATCGAGGTAGTCGCTTGCGGTATTTTGGTGCTTGCTGGAGACCAGCGTTACCCAAGGCGAAATAAGCACAGCCATCCCGGGCTTTGCCAAACGCCAGGCTCCGGTATTGTCCATTTTTTCAAGATGGCGGCTAATATTGGCAAGATGGAGGAGCAAACTGAGCACTATAGTGGCTCCTGCGGAGTCTCCGCTGACGCAAATCTTGTTAGGGTCCTGCACGACCGAAAGCACATGCTCGTAGGCAGCAATTGTTTCCTCTAGTTGCGCCGGAAAGCTTGCGTCGGGGACCAAGGTATAATCCAAAGCAAAGATGGCCGGATTTTGATACCCGCTGTGGCCTAGCAGGTTTGCCCATGCGAGTAGAAACTCCAGGTAGAAGTACGCCGAGCCCATCGAGAAGCCGCCGCCTAGATTATTGTCAGCCACCGCCATATTCAGCCCGGGTGCGTATATAACTGTACCATGAGCATAGAATATACAAATGTCAGGTTTCTTCATTGGGTCTTTAATAATCCAGATCCCTTTGAAGCGTTTCTACGGCTCAACTCATTATTAGCACACGCTTGGTGGGAATTAAGTCGTCACGGTAGGGGAAATTTCGTACATCGTTATACTCGTTCCAGTGGACAGGAGACCTCAAATAGCCGTGGCGCAGAAGCCGGAATCTCAAAAATGGCAAGGCCACTGGCTTAGAAAAGAACACCCTTCCAACTTTAGGAGGTATATTTGCGAAGGCATAGCGAACGCAGCGGATTACAAAATCCTCAAATGGGGTTGCTTTTTGTACGAATGGAGACTGACTGTCGTATCCAATCAGATAGCGCTCGTGAACAAATTTGAAGGGAAGTTCAAGTACTGTGTCGTTGTATTCATAAATTAGCTATCTCATCTCGTACCTGCTCATATTTGGCCAACTTCATCTGAGAACTCACATAAAAAAGGTAGGCACTTCAGGACTACCCATGTCGTCTGAAATAGTCCAACATGAATTATCAACTGCGGTGCTAGGAACGCACAGAAAACCAAACAATCTAAATACGAAATCGGACCCAGAATCATCGTGCTTAACGAACGTGATAACCTGCAATCTTGCCCATCAACACAATGTAAATAAACCTATAATTGATACCAATCATAGACTACCTAAATATCCCCAGCAATTGATGACAGTGACACTTTGACACTATGTAAGTTACCCGTTCTTAGCTCAATGCTCGATGGAACTCAATTGCTTAATCCTTCGTGGTAGCGCGGCTAGTAAGTTACTGGCTGATGACGTCGGAGGTTGCGCGTAGATTTTGTTCTATGAGCGTCTGAGTGAGGATAAGTCATAGCTACCTTTCGAAGTCTTCTTGTTCAGCTCATGTCACCGGGAAGATGTTAAAACAACGCGCGACTTGGAACTCTACGGCTAAATTATCGCGTGACGTATGGTCTTGAATTACCTAAGAGTTTGACAAGGGAGCATTGTGTGAGACACATTTAGTGGGGACAATTATCAAATGTAGAATATCAAACAATGCAGGTCAAATTCAAGGTCTGAAGCTTTGCAGTAGATACTGGGTAGAGGAATAAAAGGTAGTTTAGGTTCGATTCCTATTAGGCCTGTTGGTGCCTTCCTTTTATCCCTTCTATCTGCAGTATAGGTAATCACATGTTGAGTTGCAGTACTAATAAGTAGCAATATTGAATAGGCCCGAATTGCGTTTTTATATTCAAATTTGATCTGTCATTACCTAAGTGAATACTATCAATAAAGAAAATCTGAAATAGGGAGGTCAAGCTTTTAAGGGTTCAGCTAGTTCAATGTAAAAAAAATTCAGGGTCGATTTTTCATGTTGACTTTTCGTAACTTTTATAAGAACTAAAATCAATGCAATCTTCATTTTCGTCAATCAATTCGATGTGACTGACACAATGAAGACCCAACAGGAAATCAGCTTTACAATAAAAAGAACAATGAAAAATAAAAAAACCATTGGTCCCAGAGAGGCTTGAACTCTCGGCCTTCGCATTTACTTAATATTTCCTAGCTATCCGACATAGGATGATATTAGTACGACGCTCTAACCAACTGAGCTATGGGACCCTTCCTATCCGTCGCTTGAAATGGTTTGGAATTGGTGATGCTTGACTCAGTGCCTTAACAAACTACATATCTAGGCAGGTTAAGCAACGCCCATCTATTTCTAGAAATCTACACCTTCTCTCTACCTACTCTACTAGACCAAATCCCCAAATGCTCTTAAATCCCCCTTCTTCTTCTTTCTCATTCTCATTCTCCTAGTCTTAAATGCACCTCTATCCACCCACCTAATTATGAGCAACCTCCAAGATCCTCCTCTCCATCTCCTCAAACGCCCCCAGCACCTTACCATACCTCTGAAAAACCCCGTCGCGGAACCCATCGTCCACCTTCTGTATAGCCTCCTCCTCCCTCCAGCGCTGACCAATCAGATCATCAAAACTCTCATCAGCGTCCCTGCGCTCGAGCGCCCAGAGCGCCTTATACGCGCCGCCGAGCGCGCACGCGTTGCCGCCGACGTCCAGCTTATACACGCCGTCGGCGCCACCCAGCACGTCGCCTACCACGCGCGCGATCGCCGGGTTGAGGGAGCCGCCCCCAACCAAGTAAATCCGGCGCGGCTGCGCGGGTAAGTGCAGCCGGTCGTTCGGCGACGAGACCAGCTTCTGCGAGCGCAGCCGCATCGAGAGCGCCTGCGACTCAACGATAACCCTTGCGTCGGCGTCCGGGCCCCAGTCGCCCGTCTCCGCGAGGCCGGACCCGTCCGCGGCGCTGCACGTGTACCGCCACGTGCCCGCCTTGATGTTCGGCACGATCTCCGGCATCGGGAAGTACAGCCCGAGCTTCGCCTTGTCGCCTTCCTTGCGCACGTCCAGGGGCGGCGTCTCGAGGACCTGCTTGTTGAAGTTCTCCCACGCGTCTGAGCCCGATGGCTTCGGGAGCTTGTCGCGGACTTTCTCGCGCGCGAGGCCGCCGTTCTTGTAGCAGAGCATGAACATGAAGTGTCCCTTAGTCGTGGGGTGGTTCATGAAGTGGTACGATGGGTCTGGCTTGTAGCTCGGCGTGTTCATGAGGAAGGTGCTCGAGGTGCCGAGAGAGACTATGGCGTCGAGGGGACGCAATGGTAGGGAGAGTATCGTTGCTGGATTGTCGCCTGTGAAGGGGGCTACCTGGCACTCGGGGCTGAACCCGTAGCGCTGTACGAAGTAAGACGAGATGCCACCCAGGCTGCCACCACCGTCTAATGGCACATCACCCAGCTTCTTCCGCAGCTCTGGTACGCCCTCCTTGGTCGCCGTTAGTTCCAGGAGTGTTTCGTTCCATTTCTCACCGGCGATATCCCATAGGTTCATGCCGGTGACATCACTTATGTCTATAGGTGCAATGGCACCTAAGAACAGAGAAGCCAGAAAAGAGGATGCAAGTGAGATGCGAGCAGTTTTACTGTAGACCTCAGGGCGTCTCCTTCGCATTCGTAGAATTTGGGTACCCGTGAAACGCTGCTTTCTGTTAGCTACCTAGATACGCATTGAACGTCGGTTAGAATTTGAGACTGCATACATGGTGAGCGGCACTTCCCGTTGCATCAGCTAACTTCTGTTTCGAACCCAGGTGGGCATCGAAATGGTCGCACTCAGTCTGCGTGCTATGGTCCTGCCAATTCGGCGCAAAATCATAGGCGAAGACATGAGACAGTTGATCGAGCAACGTCTTCCCGCCCTCGAGCTTCTTCAATGCAGACTCGGCATGTTCGTTCCAGTAGACGCTTGAATGTTGTTGACCAGAGCCGCTTATGCCTCTTATACGCTCCACGGGGCATCCCTTCTCCTTTAGGCGTGTTAAGACGAGATCTACGGCCTCAACCCACATGGCCACGGGTTGGTACACCTCGCCTTCATCTTCGTTTGTTTGTACTCCCTTTGTGATTTTGTACTTGGTAGCATAATCGGCGTCGAAGTCGACCTTGGCTTCAGAAATGACCTTGAGGTCTGAAGCAATCACAATCGCTACAATTGTGTAGGTAATTAGCTTAAGGGTCTATTTTATCGGCCGCTAATTATCAACGAAGCTAACTTGCCCTTCAATTGCTGGGTTGAAAGATCGAACCCGAGGTATAGTGGCCCACCGCTCATACTGACTCAAATACTCTCCCTAGCAATACTAACAAGTGCGGCTTTCGATTCAGGGGTAGAAAATACTAAGACCAATGTAAGCTCTGGGATTTACAAACTGGACATAATTAGGTGTGGAATTCCAAGGCAGAGGAACTGTCCTAGCATGAATCGTGAGCTACTAATAAAAGTCCCTCAAATTTATTTGCTGGACTGATCGGAGCTGTTGATGCAAGATTTACGAATGCTATGACACCAGAGACTCAGATCTCGGTATGGCGGGGCAATGCGTGCCCTATCAATTCAGGCTAAAACGTCATCCGCTCCAATCATGGAAATCGATAAGCTCTAGAACATTTGGGAACATCGAAAAGCGCATACCTTTAGAGCCACTTCTTGGCGCCAGGGTCAATGTGTGTAACCATTTATCACGATATGTCACGGTTAGGCGCCTCCGAATTCGCATATTTCATAGATCCTCAATATCCGCATGTATTGCTCGAGGCCACAACGTTGTGGACTTTGCTATGCTAATCCCAAATGGGTAAAGCAGTCAGACAGCTCGGTGTCCTCCGAGGCTATCTCTTCAAAGTTTCTTCAAAGTTTCGTGTGTAGTTGCTCGCTCACGGAACCATTCCTTTCTCTCCGCATTTGCCATGTCCTTCCACCTGCAAATGCTATCTCTAGGAAGTGTCAAATGCTAAAAAAAATCTTTCCGGATACCGTGCGTCGCCAATGCTGATCGAAAATATAGTACATGTATGCTCTATCACAAGAGCATCGTCGTGATTTTGAACTTCCTCAGTGTAGTTTTGGTATCATGATTGTGCCAACCCTCCAAGTTTGCCGAGGCTCGAGCCAACGCCTTAACGCCAAAAGGTAATCATCTCTTTCTTCCCTAACTGACTCATTTCGATTTATGATTCCCATTGCCGTTGTGGTTGTGGTTATGGTTGTGATTGTGGTTATTCTCGTCTTCTTCAGGCTCGGGGCTTGATCGAGGGCTAACATCGCCGGGAATAAATTCGTCAAACTTCTCTACAGTGACGTCCTTTGATACAAAGCGGACGCGCACTCGGCGAACACCACGGACTTTGCCGCCGACGCGTTCTCGGATTTGCTGTTCAGCATCGCCAAGAGCTTCCATGGCCCACTCTCTTGGCAAGGCTACCTCAAGGTCCACCAGATAGTTTTGCCCTGACTTAACACCTGTGACGTCTCTCAGTTCGATCTCTGACCCGCCTGGTATTGTTTTGAAAGCTTCTCGGGCCTGCTTCTGTATTGAGGTCTTGACTTCGTCATCGATGCTTCGGTCTGCAAGTTCGAAAAGAGATGCGACTGTATTCTCGGCTCCAGCCTTCACCACCATCAAGGAGATAAGTAGACTACCAACAGGATCCAGCCAGGCTGCGTTCTTGACAAAATTGGCGCCCAGGATCACTGCTAGGGTTACAATGCCTGTAAGACTGTCGACTCGGTGATGGATCGCATTCGAGGAAAGAACGGACGATTTGCGCTCACGGGCAACTTTCATGGCTATTATGAAAATACAGGGTTAATCTCTCTACGATATAGCTACGGTTCTAGGAGTAGCGTAATTGGAAGACTTACTAGCATGATACAACCATTCCTTGACAGCAACTGTGCCGGCAGCTAGCCATGCAGCATGGAGGCTTGGAATCACATCAACACCATGCCCATGACCATGGCTGTGTCCGTGTGAGTGGGCATGTGTTAAAAAATCCGCCGCTGCAGTAGGGTCGAGAAAGAAATGTCCATAGAGTGTCAGGAGACTACCGTAGCCCATCCAGATGCCCCCAAATAGAAGCATGCTCGACACGCCCAATGATCCCAAACTCTCAATCTTTCCAAAGCCAGCTGGAAATTTGTCGGTGGGTGGTTTTAAACTCCATGAAATGGTTGCAAGTGTTAAGATGTCGGAGGCAAGATCAGTCAAGCTGTGGACCGCGTCTGCTACCATAGCTTTCGAGCTGAATACATAACCACCTACTCCCTTCGCAATCGCCATACCGAGATTGGAATAAAGACCGATTCGAGTAATGCGTACTCCGGCATCATTCTTATTTTGCGAAGTTAAATACACGTTATCATGGTGGTGAGCATGGCTATGTTTGTGGCCACTATGGCTTCGCGTCTGGGTGAGCGCGGCCATTATGGGAAAAGAGCGTTGATGTTGTCTGGGAACAAAGTGGGAAGAATGTGGAATAGGGGTGGCAGAAGAAACGGAAATAGATTGGTATTGAGCAGAAGATGTTTGAAAGATGCGACGTGGTTGTGAACGGATTGGTTTATGTGTCCAATAAGGCTTACACAAAGCTGGAGCTGCTGGTTGTTCCTGACGGATAAAACATGCACTCAAGCCTAGGCCTCCTGCCGATGTTGCAAGCTCTGAGCCAGCTGCTACAGCCCGGCGCAGACCGCTGCTACCGCCTAAGCACGGCCTACCGGTCCCTTGTGGAAACATCGAATGAGGAAATGTCTCGCCCGAACTTAAAAAAGTGACAAGAGCGACAAGGGTGGTATACTGCGTAAGGTATGGAAGGCGACGCGCGTTGGAGGCTTGGAACCAACAGGTCGACTGGAGGCTAGAGGCGAATAACAATGAAAAATATTGTCTAAAATGAGAATCGTCGTTGTGGGAGACTTGCGATGCGTGCGCATTCCTTGAACTGCGACGACATCGGATGGGTCGGGCCTGTAAAAAAGTACCAATTGGAGCTTACGCGATTCGATCTTTCCGGTTGTCAGAAGAGAGATCCTGGACGAGAACTGCGTCAGCCCGCTGCCGAATGGTGGATACCTATTCCTAGTACCTAGCACGATTGGAAACCCCTACATGAACGACCCCTACAAGCCTAAGGTTCCAGGGCAGTAGCAGGGTAACCATCTGCAGGTGCTCCGGCCTAGGGAATAATAGGTACGCCGCAAGGAAGTAGCATTTTTCAATGCTCGGAGTTGAGGACGAATCCCCTGTTCTAAGTATACCGAATCACCTGCTACCTACATATCCCCCATAATCACATATAGCTTATCTCCGGTCGGCCTTACCAGCTACGTACCTAGTAGGTGGAACGACTCAAAGCTGGGCAATTAATAGTGATGACTTCACTTTATCAAATACCATATGTAGGTATTGATTGTTCCGGGTTTTCATCGCAAACTTCAGTAAAACTCATTGTGACGTGAAGATCTATATAGAAACTTACAATCTACCTTGTATCACCACTCATTGATCAGCTGGACGTGAGTTTATCGCTCCAGATACCTCTCCAGATGCGTCCGCCTTACATGCGAATCCCTTATACGGATGCTTTAGCCTCCCCTACTATCTTTCCCAAAGCCGCAACAACTATATCGGGAGCCGTCGAGGCTTTACAAAAATTCTTTCAAGTACCTTCAGCGAGGGGCTTCCCTTCCACGGTAGTTCTCACCGGTGCTGGCATATCCGTAGCTAGCGGATTAGCAGATTATCGAGGGCCCAACGGCACATATCGAGTAAACAAGACATATCGACCCATCTACTACAACGAATTTCTCCAGAGCCACGAGGCCAGGAAGCGATATTGGGCTAGGAGTTTCCTTGGTTGGACTACACTCCTGAAGGGAAAGCCGAATGCCGGTCACTACGCGGTAAAACATCTAGGCGACTTAGGGCTAGTTCAGAGCGTGATTACGCAGAATGTGGATTCTTTCCACCCTAAAGCTCACCCCGGTCTCCCCACGATCGAGCTACATGGCTATCTAAGATCTTGCGTGTGTACATCATGTCACGAGGAATTACCCCGAGATACATTTCAGAATGCGCTAGCTAGACTGAACCCTACCTGGGCAGCTTTCCTACAAGAGATACTAGCCTCTGGTGCCTTGGATACCGAGAATCCGGATGAGAGACGGGCCAAGGGGTTGAGGACGAATCCTGATGGTGACGTTGACCTTCCAGACGCCCCATACACGACGTTTCGCTATCCCGCCTGTCCGAGATGTCTCTCGACTCCACCTGCCACCGCTGATGGGAGCCCTGCAAAGGTCGAGGTCGATGCGGATGGCGCATGGAATCCGGAGAGTACAGCGGGTGTACTGAAGCCGGCTGTTACTATGTTTGGAGAGAACATAAAACCCTCCGTTAAATTGGCCGCAGACCAAGCTATCGAGAATGCCGGGAGATTGCTGGTTTTGGGGACATCTCTTGCGACATACTCTGCTTGGCGACTGGCCAAAAAAGCCAAAGATCGAAACATTCCTATTGCAATTATTAACCTTGGAGGCGTCAGAGGCGAAGATGCTTTCTTTGCTAACCTTGACCCGTTCCAAGAAGGGGCTCAAGGAGTAAGGGTGGAGTTGTCTACCGATGAATTACTGCCGGCCCTCGTAGAACAAATGAGACAATCATCGAGCATAGAGGCGGCCCAGGAAAAATATGATCATGGCGTTGAAGACCACGGTGCCTCGGTTTTCAAAGATATGATGTCGTAATGCCATATATAGCGACCATATTGATTATATATATTAGAAAAAGCTCGAATAACTTCCGGTTTTCTTCTTCGGTGGTGCCGCACTGTCCGTGCTTGTAGCTTCTGTCTTGACAGGAGTAGGAAGAGGCGCTGCTGGTTTCGTCTTTTCGGCCTTATTCGTCTTCTTAAGAATATCGTCGCGCTCGATCTCCCTCAGTACCTCTTCCCATTCTTTCTCCTCTTCCGCGTCGCCGGTGCCTAGCGCCTTCTCAACGTCCACCTCTTCGCCTCTCTGTAACTTTTCTACAACCTCGCGCAGCAAACCGATACGAACTTCAGCCCGTCTTACAAATGTGTCAAATTCCTTCTTCAAGGCAATCATCTGGATGGACATAGACCCGATGAAGAGAAATATTATGATGTAGAAAGTCGCCGGGTTCCATTCCTTCGACTTGGGCTTTTTCGGCGTGCCCCAATCCACGGTCGGTTCCGGGCGTCGTCGAAATGGCTTTGGTATCATGCTCTTCCAAAACGCAGGTTGTATTATCGATGGAGCTGAACTTGCCTGTCGAGTAAGTTGCTGTCCATTGATAAATACAGACCGTGTGGTCCTTGGACGGCTGGTAGCACTGATCTTTATAGCTCTGCGCCAGATTGTCTTGTCCATGTTGAGGGGATTATGGATAGCTGCGTGCATCAGGTTGAGCGAAAAAAAAAAAGAGTTGAGAAGGTATTGGACTAATAAAATCGAACCTGAAGACCCCAATTATGAGAACCTTGAAGAATTAGAGGGTACCTAGGTACCTAAAATAAAATTTCCCCAGCTTAGGTAATACAACAGCCGGGTGTTGTCTTGCCAACGACCCTAGCCTAATCTGGTTAATCAGTGTCCGCTTTGAAGTTTACATGGGTTCACGTTTGAGTAAATCCACTTTACTTATCTAACTTTCACGATCTTCAACGTGAACTTCAACAATCATTGTTGTGTTTACTATTCCAATCACGCTTTAGAAAGCATCTCTCCTGGCACGTTCTTTTTCAAGTTTCAGAATTCCTATGGAATTATTTTGCTCTCTTTACCCGGCGTGCTATACCTCTTGCTTTTTGCTTACTACTTTAATTGCGCCTGCACTTACGATCCCTGTCCTCCTTATAACGATGATATGAAGTACGAGTCCATGCATTTGAGGTTCAATTAGTACAACATGGATTCTATAGCCGCGCGCGCGGATGCTGTTCGCAATGCAGTTACATCAATATCAACATGCAATCCGACCATATCAGCCAACTTGAAAGAGTTATTCCAGCTGAATGACAGTAATAATAACGATTCCGCAAAACCAGGCCCGAGGCCTCGAAATACTAAGATCACTCGAGCACCAAGCAAGACGAATAACAATTCCGTAGCGCGAAATACGTCTGATAATGGCCAGTCCTTAACCGCGAAGGAGAAGGCTGTATTGGCCACACAAGTTATTACTACCAGTCTTAAAGCTCTAGGAGAAGCTGCAAAGACGGTTTCTAGTCAGAACCACGAAACACCCGAACCACCAAAGAACGTCCTAGCCAAGTCTACGGTTCGCAATGTAGTTCAGAGAGCGAATTCAGCACCGATAAAACCTATACAGCGCCAATTGAATCGTTCCACAACATCACCCAGCGTACCGAAGACACGATCACCTACACCTGTTCCGTCCTCAACAGGCTGTCTATCGTTAATAGAATGCGTACGGACATCTTTTTCAATACTATCAGCTTTAGAATCGTCGAAGGCACTTCGTCTCCCGGAGCTACAATGGGAAAATGGAATGTCCTCTTTTATCAGTAAACTAATCGGGCTGAATCACTATGACTTAGCGATCAAGGAACTTAGAATACTGAAAAGACGATTGGAAAGAATGGGCGGTGAAGATACCAAGAACACGGCGACGCGCGCAAAGGTGGAGTCACATGTGAATCCACGAACACTATCCGAATTGCTAGATTTCACCAAGGCTACTATCTCTAGTCCGGCACAACTTGGCTTAATTATCTCCTCTCAGCTTCAGGTCCTTCGAATCGCCCATGGCCTGAAGAAATCGGCACATCTTGAAAATATGCTACCCCTATTACGAGAAAATTGGCCGAATTCGCCTATGAAGCTACTCCTATTATCACTCAAAGATAGTAATCCGGACCAGACGAAATGTGCCAGGAATCTGGACAGTCTATCTCAAAGTCTTCTAGCCCTGACGCCGAGTGTTTCTGCCAAAGATGACGATATTGCTGCGGAGCCCATGCTCTCTCCTAACACCCAAGTAGCACTGGAGGTACAAGCGCTTGGTCTGATCACACGTCTACAGTCTTGGAGTGTGTCTGGCCACAGAGGAGATGTAGATAAAGATATCCTGTCTCCTCTGTCCAAGTGTCTGTCTGCCTTTGTGAGGAGATCGCCTTCTAGTAACTTGTCCATTATATTCTCGGTTTTCTCACAGATCTGGAAACGCATCGAAAAGCTAGGGCTTAGACCAACCGAATCATCACGGTCTCCCTTAGCTGCAATTTACCAGGTCCTTGCAATAGTCTCCAGGGAATCCGGTGACACCAACGAGGCTAAGAAGTGGGTTGGTAAAATCAAATCCTTGACTGATCCAAGAGAGGATTCTGCCGCCAGATGTTGTGCAATTGCTGCTCAGTTGCTCGCGCTTTCCCTCAAACAATGGTCTCAGGTTAATGAGGCTCTGCTAATGGAAGTGCTGGACGGACTACGAGGACCCCTCGGTGGCACGACCGCCGAGATGGATGACCTACTAGTTAGTGTCTGTCTCCTACGCAAATCTGTGATGAGCTTGGTTGTGGAAACGCATGAGGGTTCTTCTCCACTCTCACAAGCTACTATCAAAATCCTCGAGTCCTTTATATTTCAATTGCCACGCTTTACTCTGAGATGGTTAGGTAAACCCCCGAGCACAGCAAATGGCCCAAAAGAACTCCTTCGCTTTGAGCAGCGGCGAGGGACATTATCAACACAGTTGCCTCAAATTCTCGATTCTGCACTGCTGTTTGCAAAGCTACTTTTGGATGATGGGCAACTAACGTGGGATATGATGGACTCGACTTTACAAGATTGTCTAACTATCTTAGAATATATGGGGGATCTTGCTCGGCCTGGTACCAAGGTCAACCCCACCCCGTCATATCACGTCAAGATCTCGCATTTCTATTATCAACAACACATAGCTTTCCGAAAGACTCCTTCGAAAGAGACAGAGGCGACTTCTTTGAAAGCTCTTCGCAAATCCGTTGAGAGCGTTAAGAATCGGTCTGAAGCCGAGCAGTCCCGAGCGCAGTTATTGGCCAAATGGGAGAGGTTTGCTGAGCTATGCCGAGCCTCAGGCAGATTAGACGATGCCGCAGATGCACTGCGCTCTATCAGGGATCACCTCGTTCGACAAGAAGTTGTATCCAAAGTCACCAAAATTCTTGCAACGGAACCGTGGTGGATGGCCTGGCAATTGAATCCCGACGTTGATCAGCTCTCACGGACAGTATGCAACCTCGCCAAACTAGATCGAAAGCACAACGACTGGACTTGGTTGCTGTCTGGCTTAGACAAAGCTACGGCTTTGGAACACGACCTCTACGCAATCATCTTAAAGGATCCTAAGTATCATCAGGAGGCAGATTTATCGGGTTCTACGGTCAATGCATTATTGCAGATTTACTCCGCCGAAAGATACCCAATACGTAGGTTAAGGACCTTGTTACACCTTCTCGCGGTGAAAATTGGCGCACAAGACGAGGTTGCTGAATTGCAAGCGGAAGTCAAAGCCGTCTTAGAGATAATCCGCGGTGAGACTTTAGCCGACGACTCAGGTCTCGTTCGTTTCGTCTCACATCTGCAAGCACTAGCAACGTGCATATTGGGGCTTGCTACTCCAGATATAAAAACGCCACCGGTCAAAGAAGCGCTTGCCAACTGGAAGGCCATGGTCTCCAAATGCGAATCAGCTGAGCAATTGTCGGCTTATATCGACAACCCGCCACAGCTAATCACCATTCTACAATCTCTCGTCGACTTTGCGAGAATAGAGGGCTTGGAAACCCTTCAAACCGAAATACTCGAGCTTTCAATCAGCATTTCTAAGCTTTCGCCAAGTAGCAATTTCGAAGTGCTGATAAGCCAAAGCATCGCGCTCTGTCAACAGCATTTGAGCCATGGCTGGTCATCCAAGGCCGAGAAGCTGTTGCAAGACAACGAAGAACGTCTTTCTCGACCGGATGTGGATAGGGAACTTGTAGTAGCTTACCAATTAGCGGCTGCTGAGTATCACTTGTCCCTGGGTGCCATGGATAAAGCTGAACAGCACATGTCTAATGCACGCGATGCCGAGACGACTTTGTCCTATGAACCAGGATCAAAGAAGGGAAAGAGTGCCCATAAGAGAGTCATGATAGCTCGGGCCTATTCCCTAATGTCAAGTCTCGCGTTAGAGAAAGGTGATTGCTGCAACGCTTTGCGCTTCGCGAGAACTGCCGTTAGGAAATTGTTTCATGATTGGTCCAAGTTAGATGAGACGAGGCATATCTCACCAGATGTCACTGTCGACGAGTCTTCGCAAGCAGAGACTTCAGAGAAAGACCAGAGTATGAACATTTCCTACTTGAGTCAGTCTAGCCCACCTCGTGCGGCTACTGGTCCAGAATACTGGGCTTTATCACATCCGTTATTTAGTTTCCTGTTACAGCTTTCTTCGATCTACTCTCATGTCGGCGTGTACCAGGAAACATTGTACTATGCCGAACAAGCACAAAAGGTAGCAAAGGGTATAGGATCGGCTGTATATATGTCTCAAGCTCTCGCTTGGCTGGCACATGTGTGGCTTATGGCCGGCAAACTAGACAAAGCAATGGAGCTTGCTGCGGAAATGAAGCCCATAACCTTAGGCCTGGAACCGACATATCAGAATGCCAAGGTGCTATGCCGTCTAAGTTCTATATATGGAGAACTCGATGATTCCGATACGCAGGCAGAGTTACTAGCCAAGGCGGAGTCTATGCTCGAGGTATTGAGTAGCGATGATAAGGATACGAAGGATCCGATCGCAGGCGAATTGGAAGCCAAAATGACCAAGCTCAGTATTGAGGAAAAGCCCGTTAGTAAAGTACCCGTGCGCCGTGCGACCACGAGAGTGCCAAGGGCTACGAAGACGGCTGCGAAGAAGCCGGCTCCAAAGAAAGCAATCCCGGCTCCTCCCGTTGAAATTTCGGTGCCAATGAAGGCTGAAGACGTGCAGTTATCTTTCCTGCGCGGGCTGATTCTGCAGAATCAATCAATTATTCACATTGCCAAGGATGATTGTTCGACGGCCGTAGCTACTTTGCGGACTGCGTACGAGCTTTCCAGGATACCTGCAGATGTGTCACAAATCTGCTTTCTAATGGGTGTCGCTCTGATAAGGCAGAGCCTGGAACAGATTGGACAGGACGCAGTATTCTCGGTCATTCAAGATTCCACGCTCTCATTCCCTTCGGTAGTCAGATTGTCTAAGGAGAGAACATCAGCAGATCGGTTGTCCCTACCGCAGACTCCGGCTCCTCGTAGGGGTCGAGGCCCATCAAAAAAGGCACTGAACGATACAAGATCATTCATCGAGAAGTTGCGCGAGGCCCAGGGTCATCTACTAACAGCACATTCGATTGCGAGTCTTAATGGAGACGGTCACTTGGTTCATCGAATTGCTGTAGCGTTACAAAGTGTAGTTATTCTTCTCTCGAACACAAACTTGTCGAACCCAGCCGCAAGCCACCCTTTTCACGCCACCTGCGCCGTTGAACTCGCACGTAACCTAACATGGCGCCGTGAACGAAAGACAGTTCATTTAGATACCTCGAAGGACTCGAAGATTGATTGGCCTACCCCGACAGTTGATGCCGGAACCAGACGTACCAGCCTCGGACTTTGCCTTGATATGGACGGCCTCCTGAAGGATTTTGTCGACATTGTTCCTAAAACCTGGAATGTTGTATCGCTGTCCCTGAGTCATGACGAACGTGATCTTTGTATCACAAAACTCCAAGGAGGCCAGGAACCATTCGGAATCCGCCTCCCACTTGAGCGAGCCGCTTTGAGGGATGCGGACTTAGAGGTGATCAGTTTCCAACAAGGACGAGCAGAACTGCAGGAAATTATCGAGATGGCCAATCGTACATGTCATGATGCTCGCGATATGAGCCAAAAAGGCGCCAAGTCCGCGTGGTGGGCGGAACGGGAAGAACTAGACGAGCGTCTGAAGAACCTCATGGAATGCATCGAGCAATCATGGCTCGCCGGCTTCAGAGGCATTTTCTCTCAACATCGCCGAAGGGCTGATTTAATCGCAAAATTTGAGAAGGATTTTATGAAAATTCTTGACAAACATCTCCCTTCTCGGCGTAAAGTCCACGGTAGGAAAGCGGCCGCAAAGCCCACGACACGCGTCAACCTCGACCCTAGAGTCTATGATATGATTATAGGCTTGGGCGACCCCACAGCCCCCGAGGGCGATTTGGATGAGCCGCTGATGGACTTGCTTTACTACATCGTCGATATCTTGCAGTTCCATGGCGAGAGGAACGCTTACGACGAAGTCGACTTCGACGAAATGGTTATAGATACCTATGATGCTTTGAATTCGTATTACGTAACTGCTAAGGGCATTAAAGAACCGGAGGAGGGCACTCATACTATTCTCGTCCTTGACAAGTCTCTACATCCATTTCCCTTTGAGGCTCTGCCTTGCCTGCAAGGGTTGGCCGTCTCGCGAGTCTTCTCGCTTGACTGTCTACGAAGACAAATCCTAGACGCCAGACTCGCCAGCCCGTTTTCTACTAAGAAGGACGAGGAAATAATCAAGGGCCCCAAGATACGAGTCGGCCACTACATATCGGTTAATTCAGGAACATATATACTCAACCCCAATTGTGACCTCAAGAATACCCAGGCCACTTTTGGGGACCCGTTATCGACTCTGCCTCCGACATGGAACAACATCGAGATGCGGGAACCGACCGAGGCCGAGTTCGAAGCAGCCCTCACGGAGAAGGACTTGTTGCTGTACTTTGGACACGGTAGCGGAGCACAGTACATCCGTGGCCGCACTATCCGTAAAATGGAGAAGTGCCGCGCGGTTGCGCTGCTCATGGGCTGTAGTTCAGCATCGCTTGCAGAGGTGGGCCGCTTCGAGAGCTACGGCACGGTGAGGAACTACATGCTGTCCGGCAGCCCGGCCGTCGTGGGCACGCTGTGGGACGTGACGGACCGCGACATCGACCGCTTCGCCGGGCGCGTGTTCGAGGAGTGGGGGCTCATGCCCAGGGGGACGTTCGCGGAGGACGCGAAGGGGAAGAGAGTGGCGAGGGGCGATAGAGGTCCGCATAGAAAGAGGATCGGGGTCGTCGAGCAGAGCGGGGAAGGCCCGACGAGCCTCACGGAGGCCGTTTGCAAGGCCAAGGACGCGTGTCGCTTCAGATACCTGACGGCGGCGGCCGTCTGTGTTTACGGCATCCCGGTTTATCTCAAGCATGATTAAAGGGTTAGACACGGCAAATTAAAGCGTGGTGAGGGAACTAGTGCGCATGACGCATATCCTATCCATGATTCAGAAATAAAGCATTAGAACATATCAGGGGAAGGGGGCAGGGTTGTAGAACCCGGGGCACTAAACAACTAGCATCAGGCGGGAGGCGTTGCATTGTAAGGCGTTTATGTCAAGGGAGTGGAATATGGCTCACCAGGCGGAGTTCAAGATACCAATCATGCAATTCTTGTTGGCGTTACGCTGCGATGGAAATCACATTTTCGCGCAGATAGGATACGGCTTTGCATTGTCGGATTTGTATAGGTACACTTTAAACTAATGAATCGAGATTTTCTGATTCTAATGTGTGATAGACACTGCCTACGTGATTCGTTGTGATGTTTTGTAGTGCAATAAGGGATAGGTAGGGAACCTGTTAACACGTCCGTATATATTACACGGTATGAAAAGAAGGATGTAAATTCAGTACTATTCTAGGTAACTTGTAAAACCATCATGGAGATTGCTTTTAGCTACCTTTGTCCACCCGTCTGCCTCCCTCATCAGAGCCCCGAGTACCGAGGTTGGGAAGTAACTACCGGAAGGCCTCCCACTGCTGCATCTATAGATAGTCCTGCTAGGTCTAGATGTTTGGCGAGGCAACAACGTTTATTGGACTCCGTCCATGGACTAGGATATCAGCGACAGATTCGTGAAGGGAAGGGGGAATAGGGGTAGAGATACAGCAAGGTACGGCGTTTGTCAAGATGCCTATACATGCTCGGTAATGGATTATATGCTCAGTCATACAATCTGTGTCTTTTGTGGTGTGGTGTCGGTATGGCCCGAACGTGATTATGCCGGTGGTATATGGGCTGTGGAGCGGTAACGGGTATGCGGGCTCTACCCGAGGAGAAACAGGTCGGGTGTCTCGTAGCGCTCCTTTTTTTTTCTCTGGCCTAGAAGCCTAGACGTTACAGTGAAGCGTATCGTGTGAGCTCGGTAACGGGATCATGAGCGCGTATTCATCAGCTGCGAACTCGAAAGCGGGATGGGATCAGCTGTGTGGGCTGAAACCCCAGCCAGACAAACGGTTCGTTGAGGATAGGATATGGAGTCGGTCACGGAAACGGTTTCTGTCATCTCTTCCCCGTTTCCTTGTTGAAGCAATAATAGCGAGTGCGATGCTCGCAGGTGGCGAGGAACTTGCGTGGGATCGATGACGAGAGAGATGATGAGTAAAAGGAGACTCGGGCGAAACATTCTTCGCGTTCGCCAAGCATGTTACCTGCTCTCCTCTTTTGCATGTGCTTCCTCGCCATCGAATCCTACTCAAGACTTGATTTAAACATGCTTTTCGGGGGGCGGCGATGGTTTCGTCACCCCGTCCTAAGCTATTACCCACCTACGCACGTACGAGGGCCACGATGCAGTGCCAAGGTGATCGGGGGCCAGCCACCGGCGAGCGTCGATGAAGAACGGGTCGAATCTCCCTTTTCGCGCTGTATCTCTCTGCTCCTCGGGTGCTACAAGATCTGGGCTTGGTCAGATCGGAGAACAAGATGGCGATGGCGGAATGCCCGGTAGTCTAAAGTTAGTCGAGTCTCCCTTTTTTGTCTTGCTCCAACCTCTTTTCTTCGAAGTGATACCACACCCATCTCTCTTAGAGTCTTAGTCCCGATCTAGGTGCGTCTTTTCTCTGATGGTAGATGAGAAATGGCCCGAATAATGGGTAGCGGTAATACCCTCTGAGGTTCACTCAAGGTGAGCCTTCGATGGCACGGTCGTGTTCGGCCGCAGGTCGACCATGCCACAGCGTAGCCGTCGAGTAACCCTTCTACCTACGGTACGGTGATAGTGCTAGAAACGGCTATTTACCCACGATTCACCTGAGATTACTCGAGGGGGAGTCAAGATGAGAAACCAAGTAGATCACTTGTAGACATGGCATCTTTTTTTGCCCTTTTCCTTTTTCTTCTTTTTTTCTTTCTCTTTTTCTATAGCTACAGCAAGGGCACGTATCAAAAGACACTGCGCTAGCTCACATTATTGGCACTTTTACACCACGCCGGCGAAGTCCATTCGGCAAGGAAACTTCGGGGATGCCTAGGGAGGACATAGGAAAACGTACCACAGAGATCACCTACCTCCTAGCCTAGCGCAGATCTCGAGGGTCCACGTCGCACAGACCATAGGGGGAAGAATTTAGGTAACAGAGATTAAGATATTACACACACTTTTTCTTTTCTTTCTTTCCTTGCCATTGTAGATTTGTGCGTTACATGCTCTACCGTGTCGCTTTTCCCGTACCATCCTGGAAAGTCTGGGGAAGGTAAGCCGTTGCGTGATTTGGTCGATCTCTTAGTGAGCGACAAAATGTATGGCAGTTACTATATATAAATATAGGCATTTAGCTGCTTTAAGCTAGTCCTTGCGTATAATATCATGTGGATGGTAGGTAGGCAGGCAGCATAAGACACGGATAGTTCTACCGTATAGAGGAATAATATGGATACTGTTTTCTGCTATATCAAGCACTCGGAAGTTATGCTGCTTCCGAAGTTGGTCGATCGAGTAGAGACAGGTAGCCTCCGTCCCCTCTGCCTCTACCTAGTGATTGGAGTTGTTCCGATACGGGGATATATAGCCCCTTGAGAACCGAACTAAACTAGCCATGGCAAACGTGTACTTAGGTACGGCGCTTGTCTGCAGTTATTTTTGTGGGAATAGAACAGTTAGTATTGGATGAGGGAGACTACCAAGAACTTAGGTAATCCCCTGCTAGCAGGATGTTCCTGGTAGGTGTCCATCCACCTTCGACGACAAGGCTGGAGCTTGAAAAGTGTAGGTTGCACAGCGGCACTAGAATGGTAGGCCGTCAGCAATGCCAAGGTTTGATGGGACTTTTATTCACCCATGATATCCAATTCGCTACCGAGGTCCATATCCGGTATAAGTTGAGAGATGTCGGGAATTTCGAATTATTCCATCACCATTCTGCGCAGCGGGACGGGAGACGGCGGTAAAATACGTATTGCTCACATTAAGCGGAATAGACAGGGGTGACCTCCTCCTTTCGGTGTCCCTTGGGCTATAGCTGGAGTCGCTTCTTTAACGGACCGAGTCAATGTGTGTATGCTGATGTCTCGGTCGCATGCTTCTCTCTTCTCTTATTCTTTCGCTTTCTTCTTTCCATTTTCTCTCTCGGCCGTGTCCACTGCAGTAGATAGATGTACCACGAGACCATCTGTAACATCGGTTCGTGGACAAGTCTCGGTATCAAGACGAGAGATACATAATGCAGTGAGACCTTACCACAGGGCGCAACTCGCCTCGCTTTCGAACACGTCAAGAAGCTTAATCATCATCAAAGCTTTAGGATAGATAGGCGTTAAGCGTCAAGGACGCGCAAAACTCACAAAACTCAGAGTGTTACATGAGAAAATGGTGTCTCATACTGTTGAGGTGACTGTCCCTTGCATTTCTTAACCACAGATGACCTTCGGTTGGTAGGATCCAATGTTACTAAAGGCCAGCTATGATACGTCTAACGACGATCCGGAGCTTTAGACGACATCTGTTGAGGGATCTCTCTCGAATGAAATATGAATGTCTCTTCGGTAAGACGAAGGGAAATTCTAAGTGAGCTGGCAGACATGTATTGGATGTATTAATGTCGCAGTAGGTAGGTATGATATGTATGTACCTAGGTAATGGATGATATCTAGTCGAGATAGAGGCCGATTTCGCCACCCCTGAATAGAACATTACGGTAGGCTTCTAGCGGGTCCGGGGTGGCCAAGCCAAGTTAAGAAGATGTAGGTATGGTAACATTCCGAGATGTGCATGAGGCCGCCCCCGTGGTGGTAGAGGGTTTGTCGATACAGCTGATCGACACAACAAACTATGTTGGCGCGCGAGTGCTGGGCAGAAGAAATAATAATAATAAACGCTGGCGGACGAGCGAAATAAGGCCTCGCGGGACTTGCTCGCTCTGGCGGATGCAACACTCTTTTTCTGGGGGTAATATAAAGCGCGAGGCCTGAGGCCTGTCATGCGGCTTTGCGGTAACCTTCTTGCAGATAAGCCATGATGCAAAATTTTGCCCGGAAATTACTATAGATGAGCGAAACGAGATATTGACATAAGGGGCAAGGCTAATCGGAAGGTAGATCTCCAAATAGGAAATGGTTTCAAGCCCAATCTCGTCCAGAATATTGCTCCAGGGCAATTGAAACAATTCGTCAGCTCTACCCAGCCAATCTTAGCTACACATAGTTGCTTGCCCGCTCGTCTGTGAGCGAAGCCTACCTATTACCTCCGCGCCATGTTAAAATGTATGTAGATATAAGTGAGTGGGTCTCATATGCATGGTCAAATTCGAATAAGAGAAAATTCCATCAACTCTACCCTCCTTGAGCGATTGTTTCTCCGCTGTTCTAGGTTGATCAATGAGATTAGATTCAGTCGTGGAATAACATGATTGTCGTAATCTTTTTGGTCAGGCCGCCGTGTTGGTACTACATCATGGATCTGCGACAGGATGTGGCTTGTTAGGCCTGTCTACTGCGTAGGTACTGTGTAGTTATCGAGTAGCATTGTAACATTAGGGTTTCTGTCGTGCTGGACGATCTACGGAAAAGGTATGGTTGCCTTTGCATCCGAATATCACTCTCCTGTAGGGCACCGGGCTGCCCGGGGTTTCTATCGCTGACCTATGAGCCAGTGGGTAGGACGACATGGGTTGTGTGATTTGGACATGGTGAGAAGCATAACGTAAAATAGTCGAGATATTCAGGAGCTTCGGGAGCTGCTAACAACTCGGCATGAGCTTAGTTGTTGCTGACATTCCTGTTTGTGTATATTCTAAGTGATTTGACATGGACCGAGAGGGGTGGGATGACGATAGGAGGATGAACAGGATGGGTACGAAGTAATGAATTGATTGATGTAGGAATGGATTCAGCCACCCAAAGCTTGATGATCATATTCTATTTACCTAAGTAGATATGTATTAAGGGGGGCTTCGAATGGGCTTCGAGAGAAAGAAGGAGAAACCCCCGGCCGAAGAATGCGCGGCGTATGCACGCAATGGAGGTAAGCGCATGTAATTGACCATCGGCCATAAAAATGGCCGAGGGAAAGAGCAGAATACCAATGAAGACCAATGAGAATTTCTGAAATTACAAGCTCCGACCCCACTCCTTAATACTTTTAGTACAGTAACTTCTTTATCCCTGAAACTTTCTGTGCTCCCAAGCCATGCCTCCCCTTGTGCGGACAAGCGTAACCAATCATATAATCTACACATAATAATATCCCTAACTAAAAACTCACTTCCTAGTCCTCGACGGATGTTTGGGGTCCTCTAGGGTCTTAAAATGTCCGATTGATTTCGTGGCGGGTGACGAGACACACCAGACACACATACATACATACACATACATAGCTCGTACGCTCGTACAACATACAACGTACGGCCATGCTACTCGATTCGACCCCCCACGCGCATGTTGAGGCGCGAATATTACAACAATACGTCAAGAATAGATTTTTCGATATCTCCAAACTGTTACCTTAGCCCTCTAATCGCCTATGTAGGCAATGCATTCATCATGCATCGAGCAATAAATAACGCGTTGTGCTATTCTTACTCCGAGGGCTCAGCAAGCAATAGGCAAGCGACAGGCAAGCAACATGAGGCAACTGAGGGGGGAGTTTACACCGTATATGATCGTACATGTTCAAAATCCTGCGCCCTCTTCTGCAAATCCAGTCTCAAGCTGCAAGTTGTGCGTGCTGACCTACCTTAGCAAGCTAACAAGAAGCTAGGATGGGCCAAGAATGGAATTGTCTCCACACACTAATGATACCCCAGAGACTAGAGTATAGCTTCATGTAGCTTCGTATAGCTGGTGTAGGACCTAGGTAGATACATATCTAGGTACATAGGGGTATTGCTTGAGGGTTCCACTCTTTCTTTTTTTATCAATCAGGTCGCTTCTCTTTCGAAGACTTTAACCAACCAGCTGAATATCTTACATCGTCCTAGGCGCTTTTAAACAGCTCATCAATATTCATTCCATACTATGACGTCAAACGTTGGAGCGAAATTCCCTCCGCAGATTGATCCAAGGGCATGTGCCAATGCAGCGTGATGACATTGACTTCCCATCGATGGACGCGGACAATGAATTCAGTCGATATTGTAGTCGAACTTGAGGGGTGCTTCATATCAGTTGTGTTGGAACTTCGGGACAGGTTTGGTGATTGTGTCCGTTCATACCTACATGTTACCTACATATCTACATACCTCCCAAGGAGCTGGTCGCCTAGACCTCGGTTTCGCCTATGAATGGCCGGAATAGATGGATATTGGAGACCTTGATGTATCACGAGGGCCGTTCGGAGCTAGTGTCAGACTTCAAGGTTGCAAGTCGAACAGGATTGAGAGAGTTTCCTAGGTGACTAGGTACTGAGTCGCTTGTTACTGCTGTCTTGAATTATAGTCGAGGACACGAGTTGCTACCTATTATTGAGACCTTGACCTGTAGATATCGCGTAGTCGACCGGACTCTCAACCGTACCTACCTCTTACACTGGCGTACAAATATCATGAGATGAGCAAAAAAAGGGTAGTAGGTCGGACACCACGGGAGGTATTGGTAGACGGATTCTTCCCCAGCTTACAGCTGTGTTAGCTGGAAGGTTAAAGAGCGCTATTGTAACTAGCACATGCATCAAGTGGAGCGCCCCGCGAGTTGCATAGGGAGAGCTGTGCCAAGTGTCCCACTTTTTCATGGACCCTAGAATCAAATTGATCTTGGAGGATGAATAAGCTAAGACCAATTGCATGTGGATTGTCCTGGGATTGTCCAGGTGCACCTAGCTAAGGTACGAACGTGGAATATATGTAGGTAAGTCGTAAGTACCAAGGTATAATAGACGGCGCAAACTCGGCATTGATAACAATTGTTCATCAACCTCTGTTCTATTCAACAACATCACATCTTCTGATGACGAATATATGGCCAAGTAAGAACCTGTAATCTCCTATTTTCCTAAATCGTGCTCGGTTTCTAATAAGATGGTGACTAGGGACCTTAGTACGTACATAAGATATCCATCAATTATTATATCTGAGATACAGCCAATACCCACTTCAGCAGGTTCGTTGTCTTCAACAGATTCAACAGATCCTCAGCAAGGCTTAGTGGCTGGGTGGATAAGAACCACAGAAATGCATGGCTAGAAGAGTCTAGTATATCATTGCTGGATGGAGCTAGGACCTTAGGGTAAAGTCCCAACTATCCACCAATCAGAGCCGTAGCATTGACTTTCCCATAGTACTACCGCACGCTGGCACTATGCAATAGTGTTTGGTATTTCCAGCATCAAATGACAGTCGGTGAAATATCTATATTCCTAAGAGATTACTCAAGAGACATTTTGTAGAAGAGTCGTCATCATGTGTGCTTCAAATGATCGTATACATAGCTAGTAGATTATCAAGAATGATAACTCGTTTGTAAGAGTCGCACTCCGTTGTCCGAATACGATCAACTCCGTATGCGTACATAGTACTCGTGAGATGTACATCTCTAGCAAGCCTCATGGTTAATGCTGGTAATCGTTACAGTACGTACCGCCTTCCATCCTACCCGAACACCCAGTAGCCCCACCCATCAAGGTCCCATCTAGTATCCACCGTTCTCCATCAGCTTAAACTACACTGGTTAGCGCTATTACCCCACAATGATGGCCCGAACACGCATGGGGTTCCACAGAAGGTTTGCAGGAGAAGCGGTTTCCAATGTTCTTGTCGTTCTCTTTTGAAAAAAATAGATGCAGGTGCTTTCCAAGGTTCCAAGGTTGATGTCAAGAACGTTTATCTAACCGGTGCGCACCCCGTTACACTACCTAACTAAACCTTACCACCTCTTCCCCCGGCGCCACCCGTGGTCGAATTCAGACAACTTCCTACAACAACCCCCCGAGTTCCTTTTCTATCTATAACGGAGGATATTCCTTCGCATTGCGTTTCCGTTTGTCATGATACATTCTCGCACGGCGCTGGCGTTTTTGCTCTCTCATACTCGGACCGGCTGAGAGCGACGTCGAAATATCCGGTCGCGCGCGCGGGGCTGAGTCTCGAATTGATCACATTCAGTTCTCTGTAAAATTGTAGCAGGACCTGCAAGACTCTGCAAGATTCTGCAAGACCTTGGAAACTGTCGAGAGTAACGCTGGGCGTCTGTTGATCCCTTCCCTCTTCCACGATCGAAGAGGGCCATACAACCCCCGAAATGTCACCTAGTCAATCTCACCTTAGTGTTCAGTCCTTCCCATCCGCGGATATTGATGGCTCGCAAACTGTTGTTAAATCGGAACCTCAGCTCAACCCGATTGAATCGGCGGACCTAAATGGATTTTCTTTAGACAACCATCACGATGCGCTCTCGAATGATGCCGCCTCACACGGTTTGATCGACACCGCTCAGTTTCCCGACTTTCATTTTCCCTTCCAGGAAATGACCGAAGCTGGCCAAATGATCGACTTGGACGACCATTCGAATGAGCTGTTTGCCACACCCGGCCACGGATCAATCTCGTCAATGGGTGACCGGAAGGGCTCGACCGCCTCAGGACCTCACAGCACCATTTATACCATGATTGATCCTTCACAACAGAACAGGCAACGAAGCATTGATGAGTCCGAAGATGGAAGCCAAGAGAGCGCGCACGTCGGTACTAACTCCCTAGAAGACAATATGTCGGATGAGTTTGGCCTATCGACAGGCGGCCCTAGTGACGGCACCGACCTTGGGGGAAAGCTGAAGGAGAATAAATCTGACCCTGCACCAGCCTGGAGTGAGTTAAAGACGAAGGCAGGGAAGGAAAGGAAAAGACTACCTTTAGCATGTATTGCATGTCGGAGGAAGAAAATACGTTGTTCAGGAGAGAAGCCAGCATGTAAGCATTGTCTTCGGTCCCGGATCCCTTGTGTATATAAAGTCACTACGAGGAAGGCAGCTCCGAGGACCGATTACATGGCGATGCTGGATAAACGATTAAAGAGGATGGAAGACCGGATTATCAAGCTCGTACCCAAATCAGAGCAAGATGCATCGGCTACTAACGTTGTTCGGGGCGTGGTAAAACCCGCTATCCCCGGGACTTTACCCGCAGGGAAACAAACGGCGAAGAAGCGAGGAGCAGAAGAGGCATTTGGCGCAGAACTAGACAATTGGGCTAGGAACGGCCCTAAGGCTAGGATGGAGGGCTCTGGAAAACCTACGTCGTTGCAAGTGCAAGAAGCCGAGGAGAGTAAGCTGTTGTACGAAGGTGCTGAGGCGCTACCGCCTAAAGACGTTCAAGAACACCTAGCGGACGTGTTCTTCGAAAATATCTACGGCCAGGCTTATCATCTTCTTCATAAACCAAGCTATATGAGGAAGCTGAAGTATGTATCTCCTTACCTTTTTATTCTTGATTTTGCGATCTAATACTAATCATCTATAGAGCTGGCACTTTACCTCCGGTCTTGGTACTTTCTGTCTGTGCAATTTCTGCCCGTTTTTCTACTCACCCGAAGTTCTCGATGACGAACAATTTCTTGCGAGGAGAGGAGTGGGCAGCGCCGGCCCGAGATATTGTGACGAGACGCTATGAGTGGCCGAACATCACAATATTAACGTGCCTATTGCTTCTCGGTTTGCATGAATTTGGCACTTGCCATGGAGGAAGGAGTTGGGCTTTAGGTGGCCAAGCCACTCGCATGGCGTTTGCACTGCAGCTGCACAAAGACCTAGAGTATGATCCCATGCGGCTGAACCCGACCAAACAGCTTAGTTTTATCGATCGCGAAATTCGAAGGCGTACAATGTGGGCCTGCTTTCTGATGGATCGTTTTAATTCATCGGGAACGGACCGACCTATGTTTATAAAGGAAGAGACCGTCAAGATCCAGTTACCCATCAAGGAAAAACTCTTCCAGCTCGATATGCCGGGGCCAACTGAAGATTTGCAAGGGCAGGTTCCTCACCCGGTGCCGACCGACGAAGGCCAGCTTTCTGATGCGAAGGACAATATGGGTGTAGCAGCATACATGGTCCGCGCCATCGCCCTATGGGGAAGAATAATAAATTTCTTGAACCAAGGCGGAAAGGATACAGACGAACAACCGATGTGGGAGACTGATTCTGAATATACCAGTTTGCTCAAGCAAGCTGAAGACTTTGCCGATAATCTACCAGATGGGTTGAAATACAGCGCTGAAAATCTTCACCTACACCAAACCGAAGGGATGGCCAACCAATTTGTGTTTTTGCATATATCGATACAACAGAACGTCTTATTCATGAACCGGTTTGCTGTCTCTACTCCGGGCGGCTTGTCGAACACGGACGTTCCCAAAACTTTTATTACGCAGGCGGGGGCAAAAGCATTTGCTGCTGCTAACAGAATATCCGAGTTGCTAAAAGATGCAGAACACTACATGATCACGGCGCCTTTCGTGGGCTATTGCGCGTTCTTGTCGAGTACCGTTCATATATTTGGTATTTTCTCCGGAAATTCCACCGTGGAAGTCTCAGCAAAGAAGAACCTTGCGATAAATGTGAAGTTCCTCTCAAAAATGAAACGGTACTGGGGAATGTTCCACTTCATGGCCGAAAACCTACGCGAGCAGTATAAGACGTGTGCTGATGCTGCGCGACAAGGCACACCAGCTAATGACAACTCCGCAGCCTCGCCAATTTTCCAATACGGAGATTGGTTTGATCGATATCCACACGGCGTATCCCAACCGGAATTTGTCGAACCTGCGTCTTTCAAAAAGAAGGAAACAGGCGAAGATGCGGTCCTTGAACAGAAAGCGGAGCTACACACAGTCGAAGAGTTCTTCACGCAGCTCTCGCCACCGCAAAGTACAGGCGAAGTGCGCGAGAATAACGGATCAAGCAGGCCGCCCTTGGTGAAACGGAAGTCGATAGCGAAGAAAGGTAGTATCTCGTCACGTGGCGAACAGCAGCAACTCGAGCCCCTGCTCACCGACCTCAACGCCGGTAGCATACCCGAACAGATCCAGCGCATACAGCAGGCGCAGCAGCAAAGAGTACAGGCACAGCGAAATTACCGTATGAACGGGCAAAACAGTGGGCCTATCTCCTTCAACCCCAGTCTCGCACATGGACGCTCACACAATCCAGCAGCCAACTATCACGCCCTGTCCCCTATCAGCCCTGTCACCGTCGGCGGGTTCCAGCACGGTCATGGTCACCAGCACCACGGATTCTATAACCCAGACCTGCTTTCCTTGTCCCTTTCGAATAATTCAGCGGGCATGTTGCCACAACTTGATCGACAGCTTGTATTCAACGCGTACGGCGGTCTGGATCCCTCGACAATCAGCGGCCCGGAGGCAATTATGGATTGGGACTCGCTGGCCGGGAATGGCAATAGCTCAAGCAGGGGCCATCACGCGAATGGGTCAAACGGAGGCTCGGGTGAAGGGCCAAGTAATCACCATGATGGCCTGCCCGCTGGGTTTGTTGCCGAGCCTTCTTCTGCATGGTTTATGCCATTCAACATGGAGCCGCCAGAACTTGGCCAAGATCTGGGTGGTTTAGGTGGCGTAGATGGATTCGGGATGTTTAGTCCGGGCGTCCATACACCGGGAGCCGGACTAGGCCTGCGGAGAGGAGGACGATGAGATGGTCAGATTGAGGCGGCGGTGCCATACATCTGACTTTGTATATGGACCACATTATGGTGATGTGTCGACCCATATTATATATCTGTGCTGGCTATTTGGTTGATATATACATACATTTACTTACACCATTGTAGTATATATCCTTATGACAGGGAAGGAAGGGAACGAAAGCGACGGTTTTCATTTTCTACCAACGATGAATGACGCATACGTACCTTCATTTCATTTTGTACATTTGAAATGCATTTAAAGGACTAGGGAGCCATGTCCTTTCTCAAGCTCGTGGATTTTCTTTATCGACGGGCCGGCCAGATGGGAAACGGAGTTTGAAGATCAAGACTCTATTGTGTTTATCAGAGTGGAATTGGGTGGGGAGGGATTTCAAAAAGGAAGAAAGCCGGCCTACATGTTATTCCTTAGCTAAAGCTGGCTTCGCGCTCGCTGTTGTCTATATCTTTGTATCTCTCTGTGTTCGCCATAGGAAGGAAGCTTGGGAATTGGTTCCCGAAAAGCTGGGCAGTTGAGACTTCGATTTGCTTAAGGAAAGATTCTATTCCATAACAATGAATTTTTGGTAGGATGCCATCTGATAACAGCGTGACGAGATTCGTAGTTTCATTTTTCCACCTCCACGGCTTGAACGAGGACGAAAGCGAAGAGAAGATTCTTTCAAATAAAAATTTATTTTCTAATTCTCATTGTAACCTAAGTACCTAACTTTGTAAAATCCAACGGCGCAGCTTCTTATATTTATGTGGCCTTAGGGGAAAAAAGATACCTGTGGCGAATCGGGGATCCGCGAGAATTTCTTCAGTGGTACGATACCGCACCATTTTGGGGACGGCAGCTAGCTCCAGAAGCCAACATTCGCTCCAGCGGAGCAAAGGACAGGGGCTAATCCTGCCCCAGCTTCGGGTGCCGGCAGCGGGAGATAGAGGGATTGGATCGGGTCTATTGGCACGATTTACGAAAGACGACATCTGAGATTTAACGCGTTCTTATACATAGAATCTACATAGGGTATCGACTTTTTTTATCTACCGAGATGCTCTACCGAAATAAGGCCCGCACGATTGGAATTGGGATTGGTTGTTGGTGAAATGTGATCAGAATTAGGAATCGGATTGAATTAAGATTGGCTGGCTCTACGCGGCTACCTCCTCCCCCTTCGCGGCTTTCTTACTTCTGCCCGACCGCTTGCGCTTCTTCTTGGAGCCCCCTTCGATTATATTGCTGGTACCGGTGTTCTGGGCTTTCGGCTCCTCTGCGGCACCCGCTCCGCCGGGATTATACGCGGGCGGTTCTCTCTCGAACTCGGGACCGAAGGTCTCCTTGCGCCACTGCCGTAGACGGGCTTTCTTGCCTAAGCGCTTGCGGTCCTTGACCTGCTTGTCTTGGGGGCGGAAGTGGGCTAGTTTTTTCAAGCCGGCGTACTGGTTGAGGTCGGCGTCGGAGGCCATGAGGATGTCGCGCGTGGTCAGGCCGAAGGACTCGGGCCGTGTCTCGCGGTAGGCGAAGGTCGCCGGAACCTTGTTTTTTGAGGATGATGAGGAGCTGCCGGCGAGAATCTCCGGGTCGTCGATATTCATTTTCGCGTCGATAAAGGCTTCGAGCTTTGCTCGCTCTTGTCGCACTTCCTTCTGGCTTGCGAGTTTTTCCCGCTTGCGCTCCTTGGTGGATTTTTGCCGCTTGGCCGCGGGGGCATCCTCATCTTCATTATCCTCGTCATGCTCCTCATCGGTAAGAGTAATATTAGGATGTTCCTCGTCTTCGAAATCGGGGATTATGTCCTTGATATCGATGTCGTCATCCCACTTGGGTTTCTTAATCTTCGATTTTTTGACATCGGCACCGTCTTCATCATCAGATACCTCCTCCTCAGCTGCAGCATAGTACTGCTCATCGAAGGTCTTCCGTAAATGCTCTTCCCACTTATCGTTTTCCCAGGAGTCTTCAAGCAGTTTTTGCCATTCCTCTTCTTTTAGAGTCTTGCCAGAAAGGCCGGCGGCTTTCTTGATTTTCTTCAGCTTGCTCTCGGCCTCGTCAAGCTTTAACCGTCGTAAACGTGCCCGTTCTTCTTTCCTCTTCTGCTTCTCGTCTTCCTTCTTCTCGCGCTCCATCTCACGTTGCTTCTTACGTGCAGTTTTGTCCTCTCGTCTGACTGAGCGCGCTGCGACAACATTACGGGAGTATGATTTTAGAACCTCATTGCTCTTGTTCGGGTCCTCGAAGCGCAGATTATATGCAGCTTCCCATTCGTCTGCCTTTTCGTCTTCACCCTCGTCAGACTCGAATGCTTGCCAACCGTTCGCATCCTCTTCTACCCAAGCGCGGGAGGCCATGAAATTTGAGAGAAATAGCTCCGGATCTTTGTCTGCCTCTGTGATATCCGGCTTCGGAACCTTGACTTTCCCAACTCTAGACGGGTGGATACCATTTTCGGGAGCGGTCCTAGTCTCCTCTTTGGCCTTCATAAAGTCTCCATCGCTATCACTACTTTCGGCACCGTCATCCGCTTCGAGTTGCGCTTTGATCTCATCCTTGATAGTCTGTTTTAAATCATCTTGTTCTTGAGCGTATGTTCGCGGCGGCTCTTTCTCATTATCAAAATCGGCTCCGGTATCTCCACGAAGGATCTTTTCTCTGTGGTAGTCTTTCAGGAAGATAGGCTTCTCTTTCTTTTCTTTCGCCGAAGTATCTTCTGGGGGTGCACTTTCGTCAATCGGCTTATAGAACGTAACCTTGCTATCGTAGACGCGGGGGTCTTTATTCTTAATCGCTTGAAGGGTGGCAGATATCTCGGCGTCAAGGTCTTCGGTAGCTAGGAATCCGTTTTCATCTTCTGTTTCGTCCGATGAGGAATCATCGTCACCATCATCGCCTGTGTTTGGCTTGTCTCCGTTCGTCTGCTTTGACTTGTATTTTTCCTCCACTAAGATAGTTTAGTCAACGTGTTAAGAGTAAGATATTGAAGTAGAGATTCAGCTTACACCTATGCATTTCCTCGCGTTTCTTGTTATGCTCGAATCTTTTAGCGTATTCGGCATTGATTTGTAGCTTAACTCCTCCATCGGATTCATCGTCACTATCGTCAAACAAGCGTTGCTTGTGACTGTCGGAGGTCGCCATCTTGAATTCGCAAGCTAGAATTGTAACTCTTTTAATTTCTGAGAAAGTATGTAAATCAAAAATAGTTCAAAACGGATTGCAAATCCACGTTTGCTGGATATTGCGACGTCCTGGTAGTGAAATAGCAAAGCGACAGACTGATCGCAAAATGGATGCAGCTAACCTTGGAACCATAGCAACTTTTTTTTTTCTGCCGCACTAAATTAGTGATGGAGGGGCCTTGAACGTTTTGGCGGTGTCGGCCCGCCAATGTTCCGTAGTAACTTGTGCAAGTGCTAACTGTTCTAGGACTAGCTAACTTTATTAATCGTATTAATGCTTGCGCCTGCTGGGTCTTCTCCGAACCTTGCGTCGTCATTCCTGATTCGATACATTCATAGAATCCATCTGCCTACCACCTTAATCACCTAACCTTAACAACCCACTTCAGGAACCGAGCCATTGCATGCGATCGTTTTCCTTCAAGTTTGAACGCCGTCTACGATCGGTCTGATTTCTGCATTTTCTAGAACTCTTTACAATAGACATCTAGAACTTTGTCGCGTTGCTCTATTTCCCATAAACACTCCTCGCGAAATGGCCGACTCAAACGCTCCTAAACCGAGCAGCAGTGTCAAGCTGGTGCTGCTTGGCGAGGCAGCTGTAGGAAAGGTACGGTTTTCGCAGAGCGTCAATTTTATCTCAAGGACGACATTACTAACCGGATTATAGTCTTCTCTTGTCTTGCGATTCGTAAACAACGACTTTCAGGAGAACAAGGAACCCACTATTGGTGGTAAGTTACCATTCAAATTCAACTACCATTCCCAGCAGCCCCGAGCTAACTCTATGTAGCCGCCTTCTTGACACAAAAATGCAACCTGCCCACGAGGACGATTAAGTTCGAGATCTGGGATACTGCGGGCCAGGAGCGCTTTGCCTCGTTGGCGCCCATGTATTACCGAAACGCACAAGCCGCACTCGTCGTCTACGATCTCACCAAGCCAACGTCCCTCATCAAGGCTAAGCACTGGGTAGCAGAACTGCAACGACAGGCATCACCCGGCATCGTTATCGCCCTCGTTGGAAACAAGCTCGACCTTACTAGTGATAGCGAGTCCGGCCAGGCCGACAGCGAAGGAGCCGATGGAGAGGAATCCGGAGACGCCCGGAAGATTTCTACGGAGGAAGCAAAGACATATGCTGAAGAGGAGAACCTTCTATTCTTCGAGACTAGTGCGAAGACCGGCCACAACGTTACGGAAGTCTTCACCGCAATTGCGAATGCCATCCCCGAGACGTCGTTGAAGAGCACGAGAGGCCCCGGTGCTTCTACCGCGGCGAGTCGAGGCGGTGAGGAGCAGAGAGTGAATCTGAATGGACCTAGAGAAGCGGCAAAGGAAGGATGCGCGTGCTGATTGTACAGAGAAAGGGGTGTATAGAAAGAACAGGCCAGAGGAGGGGTGTAGATGAACGAGGATGAGGTTTTTCCATCACTTATGGTCATGACTACATTTTACCTTGTAATATGGAGCGTTTTGGGATTTGGTATCTGGGCTGCTGTTTCCGAAGAGTGAATTACCTATCTATTTTAAACCTTTGCATGCAATCCGATACAACTCTTGAAGCAAACTTGCCGCTTGCGACAAGTGACATGAGTGTAGAGTGACACGCGAGTCGGCTGTAACCCTGCCTGACGCTTTGCTACATCATTCAAGAGTTTGGTTTCCTGATGATTGGTAGAAATCAATGTCATGTAAATTGCAAAAACAATGCATAGAGGCCTATTGTAATGCTTCATGTCAGTGGCTGACCCCCAGTAACCGTTATGTAACCGCCATCCGCCATCCGCCATCTTAAGCACTTAAGCCATTAAGCCGTACGTTATTATTGCATATTACATCAGCCAGACATAAAGCCCGGTTAAATACATACAGGTGCAGCCGGACCCACCGATATAAACTCAACTGTAAGCAAAGTTTGAACTCCATCCGTATCAGGCGTTTGCGCGTAGTACCTAGTACTACAATTTTTGCTAAGAACAAAACTACATCTCCACCATCTTTTTGTTCCCAATTTCTGCTCAACTCAATTTTTCTTTACAGATGTTGTCAATTTCGCATCCGTGACGCGCGCCTAATTTTTAGGTTTTCAATTCTACCGCGTCGCCCCTCTTGCATAAAACTAGTTCCGTACCGATTAGGTTTCTCTCGCGCCGCCAGTCCCAAAACTCCTCATCTCTCTCTACGTCTACCACATGTACACCAAAATACCCGTCTGCATCGCCTTCCTTTTCTAAGATGGCGGCGCTGACAGAGGCTCAGCTTGAGCTAGCCAAGTATGACCCTCCAAAGAAACCCTTCGCAAGACCTAAATAGCTAACTTCCCCAGTTCTCTCACTCCGGCCGAACTACCTACTAAGTTGCGATGCGCGGTGTGTAGTAAACTAGCCGTCAACGCCTTCCGATTACCCTGCTGCGAGACCGCTATATGCGACAAGTGTAAGTTTTGATGTTACCTTTTATATCTTCTTGTAGATAGTATAGGTTCTAATGGATCCTAGGTCAATCCACTCTGCCCTCATCCTGTCCAGTCTGCGAACACTCTCCAGTTTCGGCATCGGACTGCACTATCTACAAATCCCTTAGAACTACCATCAGAGTCTTCTTGAAGACCGAGGAGAAGAAGCGAGAGAGTGCTCGGCCTAAGACCAACGGTTCCACTCCGACTACCCCTGCGCAGGAGACGCCCGCTCCGGCTCAAACACGCACTCCTACTGAACAACCACCTACGAACACCGCTCCTACTGTACCACCTACCGTGGAACCCCAACCTTCCGAACCCGTAGCGCCACCACCTGCTGCGGCAGAGTCTGAAGAGGGACCGGTTGCTGATCCGAAACCGGACAAAGATGCTCAGCCTGAAGAGGTAGGTTCATCAATATTCCCCGCTTGCAGGATTTTATCTAACTAAAGCTTCAGGGAGTCCAAATAAATGGGCAGGCACAAGAGCAACTCGCCGAAGACGCGGGGTCCAAAGCTATCGTCCCTAACGGACAAGAAGGCCAGGATGGCGCAGCATTAGAAGAAACCCAAGGGGGTGACCAAGGCGATGGCGATGGCGAGAACGAGAATGACCAGCAAGCGCAGTCTGGTATGGGTGCTGGTTTCGACTCGATGAACGGCAATTTCATGAACTTCGGTAACGGAGACTTAAGTCAGATGCAAATGATGATGGCCATGCAAAATGGGATGAACCCAGCCGCTTTCGGCTCTTTCCCCATGATGGGTGAGAACTTTCCCTTCCAATATACGAAGTCAACGACTGACCGCAATTACTCAGGGATGATGGACCCCATGGCGATGCAGAATATGATGATGAATGGTGGCTTTGGCGCGCAGGGCATGGGCATGAACGGCATGAACATGAACATGGGCATGAATGGATTCAATGGCGGAAACAATGACTGGAACGGACAGCAATCATGGAACGTCGGCCAAGATAATTTCAATCCAAATGCTCCTGGAATGGGAAATGGTGACTTTGGCAACTTTAATGCTGGCTTCCGTACAGGCTTCAATTCAGGTAATTATGGCCATCACAACCAGTTCAATGAATATCGCCGAGGTCACTACGGAGGTTACCGAGGAAGAGGCCGAGGTCGAGGCTTCTACAGCGGTCACGGCCGCGGATACCATCATGGATATAACTCAAACGCAGGTTGGGCCGGACATGGCCATCAATTCTCTGGTAATAATGACGGTCAGCAAGCAACGGACGACTCCCAAGTAGCAGAGCAGGCGTCTGGTAACGTTGACGAGTTTGGCCGAGCAATACGACCAGAGTCTGATCCGGACGCGCAAAATGCTAGACCAGCCGAACACGCTGAAGCGGAAGGCGTCCATGATAATGCCGATCATACCGCTGATAATGGATCCGGACCTAAGGAGCACGGCTCTGAATCTGTGCAGGGTGATCCTGCGAGTGACAAGGGTGATGTATCTTCTAGAGATCAACATTCAGCGCCTCAAGGTCCCTCTCGTGGAAGTGTTGGCCCGTTACATATCCAAACTGCGGCCCCGGATAGACCTTTGAATGCCCCTACTGGTCCTAAAGCCATGAGGCAGGGCCTCCCTAACACTAGTCTTCACCACCTAAGAGCACGTGGTTTTATCGCTGATGAGAGGAGCCCAAACTCACGTACTAATCCTGCGATTGTGGCAAGCCCGGCAGCAGATAAACCAAAGTCGCGGAGTAGTTCTCTGCACTCTTCCAGAGACAAAGATCGGCACCATCGTGAACGTGATCGAGAACATGCTGAAGAGGAGAAGAGCAAAGCGCGTCCTCACGATGGGGATCGTGACCACTCTAGGGCGTACACTGTATCTGGGAGCCGGTCCAGAAGTCGCAGCCGCAGCAAGGATCGTAAAGAGGCCCGTAAGCATAGACGTCATCGCTCCCCATCGATCTCGGACGATGATCGTGATGGCGGTCGCCGCCGTCGCAAGCATAAGAGCAGAAGGCAATCAACCAGAGATGACGACGATTACCGAGGTCGATCGAGAGATGGGAAGCATGACGACCGCTCAAGGTCCGCTTCTCCGGGTGACCGTGAGCATAGGCGTTCGGACCACCGAAGTCGTCGTGATCGCGATGAGAAACGTCGAGATCGCGATATGGAAAGGGATAGCGACTACGATCGACATAGGAAGTCTGGTCACAGGTCTCACCGCGACCGCGATCAGGACCACGAGAGAGAGAGAGGCCGGGAAAGGGACCGAGAGAAGGATCGCGCGAAGAACCACGCTCGCGATCACGACGAAGATCGCCAGCGTCACAGCAGTAAAAACTCCAGTGCCCTACCCACGCCAGTAGAACCTTCAGATAAAACCTTCAACCCCCCTACCGGTCCTCGAAGTAACTTCTCTATCAAAGGAGCTAGTAGCAAGCAGAGCTCCGGACTCGAGATCAAAGGCGCTAGTAGCAGGTCTTCTAATTTGAACAGACGCGAAAGCGAGTCGTCCCGACGTCCCTCTCAATCATCCGCCGCCGGGCAGAAATCTATGATGTCCATCGCCCCTACGAAAGATCCCCATACCTTAGAGCGCGAAGCTCGCGATCGCGAGCGCCTCCTCAAGGAAGCGCAGCGAATGGCGACCATAGCAGGTCGCAGTTCAGGCGTGAAACGTAGCCGCGATACAGGCGACGACCGCGGCGGCCGTCGAAAGAGCCGCCGCAGCGAGGCTGTCAATATGGAGGACGAGGAGGATCGCATGAGACGGCTGGAGGCTGAGCGCGAAGATCGCAGATGGAATTAGGAATTAAGAATCCGGAGCAATGCCTCTCGGTATTAAGAGGTGTACCGTCAGTCACATGGGATTAATCAATCACAAGGACATTTTCTCACGCAGAAGTTGGCCCCCTTTTTTTAATCTTCCAATATAGAAAGCCTTTGTGGCCTATCATGGATCTCTCTCTACTGCGGATTACTCAGGAGTTTTTTTTGGAGGAGGGGCTAAAATCAGATTCACAAATACGCATTTACGTTCCAGGACTGTAACACTATCGCATTCGAAGACACGTTTCCGACTTCCGAGGAGGAGAGCATTCATTGGCAACCGGAAAGGGAGGGGTGGTTAGGGGACGGGAGCTAATTTCTGACAGCACTGGCATTTTTTTGTTCCGCTAGAGTCGGAGATCATCATACCTATTGAGGTAGATGAGAGGTCAGAGGCACCGATAAAAAGTAAAAAAGGGGTCGCAAAGATTGACGGTCGGCGCGGGTGAGAGCAGGCAGAAATGGTCTGGCAGTTAGCAGAGAGGTGCCGTAGCATTAATTGATACGTGTATCTTTCAGGTACTTTGTCGTCGTAGTTTTTTTAAGCCAGTGATTTGAATGGGTGATATGGATAGGATGGCGAGCTCCCTGGCAGTAATCCCTATATGACAGGAGACTTTTGGCTCTTGAGTCACTTTAACTGTTGGAATACTTCGACTTAACCCAATAGTCCTATTGCTTTTCATGTCCTACCAAACATGACTTTTCACATATTTCCACTACTAATAGATCTTTGAAATAAAAGCTCTTAAATACCTAGGTACATATTATTTGCGTGATATACTATATACAATCTTGGCCATGCTATGCTATGCTGTTCTAATCTATTTGCGTCTACCGGCTTCTTCAAATAGTTCCGTCATGCTCTCCCTACTTTTCTTCCCGCTAAATCCTTGCTTAGTATTATGCTCTTGTTCTAAGGTGTACTCCTTCGTGAAAGCGCTGGATATTAATGCCACCCCGCTGACCACCGTCATCAACAGCCAAATTACGTGCAAGCTATCCGAATACGCTTGCTTCAAGTCCGTCTTTGCGCTCCCGTCCGGCATGGCGGTGATGACGTTCACCAAGCCGGTAGCATCCTTGCTATACTCCACCGCGAGAGGAGCAAATTCGGGATACTTCAAAAGTTCCTGCTGAAGCTGGTTCTGGAAGGCGACGCCGCTGACGGCAACGCCAATAGATTGGCCAAAGACGCGAAGGAAAGAGAAGAACGCTGCCGTGTGGCCCGAATCTTCGGGACGACACGCTGCCTGGGTACCGAGACCCATGGCGGGAAACAAAATTCCGGTGCCAGTCGAGACGAGGACGTTGAGGAATATCCACCCCGGCACGGAAGTGTCGGGTCCGAGCAGGAAAAGAAGTCCAGAGCCAGCTGTCGTACAGAACCAACCCGACCAAAGAGCCCATCGGTACTTTCCAATTTTTGTACAGATGACAGCGGCAATGACAGATACTGGGGCGACCAGGCCTGTCTCCGGAAGGATGGCGACACCGGAAATAATCGGCGAATACTCTTTTACCCCCTCGTAATATAACGGTAAAAAATACAGCAAAGACCACACTACAACTCCGTGTAGGACGGTCTCCATGTATGTGATCATCAGGGTAGCGTTGCTGAAAATACTGAAGCGGATAATCGGCTCGACGTGGACACCTGGCAAATCCTTGCCATCCGCGTCGAACGCCCTCTTCGTAAGATACAGCTCGTAGAGAGTGAAGGCGACGATACCATCGAACCCAAGGAAAAGCGGAACAAGAGTCCTCCAATGATCCCATGGATACATCACGCCGCCTATATTCCGTACGGTTTGTTAGATAGTCCAAGACAGTATCGATTCAAAGATATGCTCACCCCATGTGATCGGGATGAGAAATCCCACGGTCGAAGCGACAAAAATCACCGATCCGATCCAGTCGAACGTGCGTAATTTTATAGCCAGCCTCCCGGGAAGTTTACTAAGCTTTAAAAAGAAGAAAATCGCAATTAAGCCCACGCCGACGATTGGCAGATTGATCCAAAAGACTAGATATGAAGTTAGTGGTGGGTTGTTGAGGTTATCTTGAGGTTTGTGTGCTCCCCTCGAAGGTGAAAGGGGGTGGCCCCCTCAGAAGGACAGAATCAGAAATCACCTACTCCATTCCCATGACACGCTCTGGGCAAACTCCGCTCCAATAAGAGGTCCAAGTACGGAGCCCAACGCCCACATGGAACCTAGATAACCGAACCAGGCTAAATTGTGTAAGCATGAGACTATTAAGGAGGGCGAAGACGAACAACTTACTGCCTCGAGCTGCCAGCGGAACAAGGTCCGTGACAATTACTTCGCCGAGCGCGAGGATTCCACCTCCGCCGATACCTTGGACGGACCTCCCAGCTAGCCTTGTAAAATGGTGTGTTAGCCACTTGCGTAGAAAGAGTTATTCGCAACTCGGACATACAAAATAGTAAAGTTCGTAGCGACGGCGCAGATGATGGCGCCCAAGACGAATAACAGCGACGACAGTATAAGGAGATCCTTTCTGCCGAAAACATGGCTCATGCCAGCGATCACGGGTTGGAAGACGGCGGAGGTGAGGAGGAAGGAGGTGCCGGTCCAAAACGCTTCGATGGCCGTGCCTTTCAGCTCCCCGGTGATGATAGGCAAGGCGATGCTGAGAGACGTGGCGTCGAGGGCGGCCGCTAGAGTTATGACGCAGATGGAACAGAATGCGAAAATGAAATCTCGTCCTGGTTTGAACGGCGCCGGCGGGTCTTCTTCTGGTTCCCACGGCTGGTCCGCCCTTCCCTCGCGGGGCTCGGCGGCGATCGTTGAAGCTTCGCTTGTGGATATGTAACCGCTGTCTTCCATCGTGAAGGGAACGGCCGCTACGGCGGGGCCGGGCGATATGGCCCTCGCCATGGCGGGTGTCATGTTCATGTTCATGATGGGCTAGGCTAGGTCCTAGACCAATAGAGAACGAAGGGAGCCTGGAGCGGCTAAAGTTACACACCAGGGAAGTGAAAGACAGATAAAAAAAGGGGCCAGGATGTTAACAGGTTGAATTGAAAAGTCTATACAAGTGCGAAGGAAATATATTACATTGGCATACAAAATCGCAAACTAGGTAATAGCGGCTAGTGGGATCCATCCGTTAGGTCGCATATATCTATCTCGTCTCAAGTGCTATGGGATGTTGGATATTGCGTGAGTTGGTTAGTGGGCAAATCGGCGCGATTGCTCCAACGACGGAGCTTGTAAGCATCCATGGTCCCACGTTTCAAGGGCCCTCGCATGCTGCGTGGGATGCAGAATGTTCGATTCCATCGACTGCACGTGGCGCGAGATCTCAGCTGAGCGACAAGGCGACGAGGCGAATAAAAATAGAGTCGCACCTGGGTACGGAGGGTTTGCGGGTCTTCGAAGATCCACCCAGAAAGCCGTCGACGGAACGAAGCTTAGACCAGGTAGGGGTAAGGGTATGACGTGATCTGGGGTCGGTCGAATAATTCGGCCGGCCACGGCTTGACTCGGAATTCCTTGGATGGACCGAATTTGGCCCGTGCGTCCCGGTCTAGCCCCTACTTCCCCCTATTGGACGCGGGCGTCGTTCGGCCAATAGCAGCGCGACTTTTTTGAGTAATGGTGCATAATGGGCACGGCGCCTCAAAAAGCTAAGAAGCAAAATGTCCATAGTGCTTGGACAAATCGAGGAGTAGGAAAAAGAAATTTTTGAGGGAAATTTGAGACATTGATGTCGACAGCCGTGAACCAAGCCCGCTAGTAGTAATTTGAAATTATGAGTTGCGTAGTGCTTTTTCTGCGGTGTCCCCGACGGAGGTCCATAATAGTGGTATTGTTGTCTTAGTATATGAAATAATGATACTGCGTGTTTAGCTCCTAGGTAATACGTTTCATTAAATTGCTGCCTACACATGTTGTACTAAAAAAGACAACTACAACCTCAAGGAGCTGTATTTGGTTTACGTATACGTTGTGTTGATGCTTCATCCTGCCAGGTTACATCATCAGTCGCCATATCGAGATCAGAAGCAGTAAAGTTTGCCGGATTCGAGTCAATCCATGGTTTCCAATGATGTACTATTACAGTCAGTTGATCTCGCAAATTACCGAAAATAGTGAGGTTGATGTGGCGGATGAATCGTCTATAGACTTGCTAAGCGCTAACAAATATCATTTAAGGGTACATTGATATAGCAAACTTACCTACCTAGGCATCTAACTGTATAAACCATCATTCTACGAATACTTCGATGCCTAATAATATCTTCGAGACAAATAGGAGGCGGCTGATGATGTCCAGTTACAACAATGTACGCGAGATCCCTTTGGACCATGTCCTTGATCATTACCATTGCCTGATGTTCGGACACCGAAGTCGTATTCCGTTGAACATGCATATGTATGGCTGTGTCTCCAGAACTTCCAGATTGGAAATATTCCTAATTTGGGTACTAAACACGAAGAGGGCTCAGGCAAGAATGACGGAACATAAGGGGTAGCGAGTCTGGCGTTTTGAAAGCGCACGTCTGATAAAAGAATATTACTATCCTGTCTCCCTTTTATGGTATTCTAATTGCCTTTTGTTTCTTTTGTATATAATACAGACTTTCTCATTGGTATAGGGGCTAAGGGTACTTGTAAGTATCTAATGTCACATTCATTCTTCATCGTCGTCAACCTCCCAAGCACATTTCTCCTTTTTCCATACGTTCATTCAATGTCTTCTCCGTACACATCTATCCTTTGAAGGCCTTCAAGGTCCATTTCTGTTTTCTGCGTTTTAGGAGCCTTCGTCTGTGGATCGGCGCCATATTGCAATAGCATCAAGACAGCAGCCTCGAAGTCGGTTGAAATTGCGATGTGTAAGGGAGTCCTGCCCTCATCGTCATAACCGTCTATCAACCTCTTATCTTCTGAACAATGGTTCAACAAAACCCTCAGTATATTCTCACGACGGTGCAACACAGCTAGATGAAGAGCTGAGGGGCGTTGTGTCCCGCTATCATCGCCAATATTGGCGCCATGCAGGAGGAGGGACCGAACAACTTCTTCGTGGCCGCCGATGACCCCATGCATTATCGGGGTTAGATTATCGCTATCTCTCTCGTTGCAATCTACACCTTGTTGGAGTAAAAGCCATGCAATTCGGTCGTTTCCTCTCCGTGCTGCCATGTGAAGTGGGCTCAGCCAACCACATGCATTCGTACCCGATAAGGATGATGCATAGTCAACGGGAGATTCAGCACCTAGGCTATGTCTTTGACTGATGCTACCAACACTTCCGGAGCGGGCAGACGGAGTACTACTTGAAAGAGTGCATGAGAATTTGTCGTATGATTGTATCTTTGGAGTGGAGCCTGTGTGAGGAGACGGGCGTGAACTCGCGAATGTCGACTCAATATTCGGAGCGGAGGAACTAGACGTGTATTCCAGGAACTTATCAACATCTCGCTGCGGAGAGTATTCACTGGGCGGAGGGGTAAGGCAGTCAAAATATCCAGGAGGACCACAGCTGAATGTCGAAGTAGGGTGTGATGTGGGCGAGAAAGAGATGTCGCTGGGTGGTATTTCCTGCGGCTGAATATCTATATATGTGGGAGAACCAAGAGCATTGCTCAGAACTTCATTCCAGTCAATGGACGCCTGCAAAGTTCTCTTTCCTGATATTGAAAGATATGAGGTTAGCTGTCGATCCGTACTCAGATTGGGGTCCGCGGACGATTACTACTCACGACGGAACCTTCGCTGAGCTTCGCGATTCTGGGTGCGTCGGCGCTCGAGAGCTTCTTGTGAGCTAGAGTCCGTCATTCCTTTTACTCTAGCAGGGAATTCCTCATTGCACAACAACCGATGATAATTTCGGGTGAAGATGGCTAGCTGATCTGCACCTGATAAGGTTTACAAGCTTCTATTTCAACTTAGGAGAAATATGACGGTGCATCTGAACCGTGATGACTAAGGGACCTATATAGAAGCTCTCAGCACAAAGTCCGAGTAGCTATGGGGGGGTTGAGGGACAAGATGTAGCTAAAATCTCACGACGAGAAGGGGAGAGATAAGCTCCGAGGTGAAAGACAGCTGGGGTGTGCTAAGGAAATCCTGCACATACGAATCGGACGGTTTCGAAGATTCCATGACATAAATCTGCGCCACTCTAATCAAATTCCTCTGAGACCAATATAAGCTCTCTAGGTATAGTTTCAAGTAACGTCATACTCGTTCATTGCTATGTACGACGCGATCCAGCCCTGAAGCCAGCTACAAGAAATATGGAGAAACGATACCAGCTCCCCTTGACTATAAGCTGCAAGGGACCCTGATGTCAGGTTTCTTGGATTTGTCAATTACTGAATCGCATCCGTTTGAAGGAAGAGGGGTCCTTTTTCCAGAGAGTGCAAGAATCCAGTCCTATTCCGTGAGATAAGAATCCAAAGGATTATCGGCGATATGTACCGGGGTGGCGTATGGCGGGAATCTATTGGTCGAGTAAGCTCTAATTGAGATCTGGAACCTGGGCACGCGTGGACAGCTAATGGCTAGCGGCCTGGGCGAGCCTCCTCCAACACCTTGTTCGATATTGTCCTTGCCTCCTGCGCGGCATATAGAAAGTGACACGAGGAGGATCCGAAGATTTTGACTTTTTTTTTGCGAAGAAAATTCTGCAAAATATAATATATCATAATTATAATAACGCCGAGGGATTCTTGAATAGCTCTACACTCATTCAATGCACATGATCATCTTGGCTGCTGTCCTCCGTGGCGTGGGGAGGAAAAGGGAAGAGCCGCAGTCTGACGCCAAGGCAAGGAATCTTAGCGCGGATCCCCTTCTTTGCTAGGAGAATTCACAATCAACCCCCTGTTCGTCGTCAACGAGATAAACTTAAGATGTGGCGTCAAACGACGAACTACTACGTAGTAGTCCGCTAAGATCAGTTTAGACGAAGAAGATAGTCTCGGATTTATCTTTTCACGGCCCGCCTCCGGTCTTCAGCTAAGCCCAGCTGAGCCTAGGATGGATCCTATTCGACGCCAAGCAGGGAGAGCTGATCACCAATATGCCTGGAGTTCTATGTCCTTATAATACGTACTTAGATACTTACCTAGGTACTTGTGGCCGTAAACGAACTGTACTTGTAACCCATCCCAGCCGGCATGGCTAGCACGGCATGGCTAGCAGGACTTGGGTTCCTCGCGTGGTTCTCGCCCATGCCTTCTACGCTCGTGGGCCCTTATTTTAGACGCTCCAACAGGAGTGGTTGGAAGCCTTGGAAGTGCACTTACACCGTTCAGCTTCTCGGTAAATATCCCTGGGCTGGAAGGTGAGTAAGAGCTAAGTCTTACGCCACCCTCGCAACATATGTCGAAATCCCACCTCGTCCTAACCGTTTTCGTTTTCGTTAAGAGCTGACTAGAGATTTGTACTGACCAATACATGTGTGGCTTGCCAGCCAATCGCGAAGTTACTACGTACCTGATTCCAACTTGGGTCATCCGCGTCGGACAGGGTCTCCACGGGACTCCAGCAGGGCTATAGCAGGGCTTGAACAGGGCATCCGATCCTATTGCCCTACGTGCATCTCTATGACAGTCCTTCCACGTGCAAATGTAACCCCCCACCAATGACGCGCGCATCTCATACCACAGCATGAACATGCTGAAACCGTATATTGCATCCTGTTTTTCAATACCAAAGTAAATTGCATATTGGGTATAGGCTATTGGCGCACAAGGGTGTATGCATGTAAAGTTGTCTACCTATGTACGTGATGATTATGTGAACATTAGGCGATGCTGGTTATTATGAGACATCTACCTACATACATATGTAGGAACATATTATCCAATCAGATTGCTACCTAGAGTTGCGGGTATTACATGCATATAAAAGTTTTATGACAAGTGATAGGTCAATTGAATCGCTCTTATCGTACTACTCTATGAAATCATATTCTAAGCCAGACACCAACAATCAAGAAAATAATTAGATACAAGTAAGCTATGGATATCAACCATCTTACACCTTTCCTGTGCAACTTTTTTCGTAGTCGTCACCAACATGGTGCCCTCATTTCTTAATGATCTGCTCAACACGATCCAACCCGGCTATCTTCTTAACAAAGCCGTCAAACATTCCAAACGGCAGCACCGTTGAGATACGTGTCAAGAATGCTGACTCGCCCCTCCAGATAACTGGTGGAGGGTTGGTCTTCTGCAGATCGCGAACCACCGCCTCCGCCCACTGCTCGGCCGGCATACCCTGGCCTTCAAAGCCCTCTTGTCGTAGCGCCTTCTCTACTATATCCCTCGCGGGCTCGTATATCGAGCCCTTAGGAAGCGTGGGGTTGGCCTTCTCTTGCAGATTCTTGATCAAGTTGGTCCGGACGACGCCGGTCCTCAAGTCGACGACTTTGATACCGAATGGTTGAAGTTCGAGGCGCAGAGAATCTGAAATCAGAGCTAGGGCGGCCTTGGACGAATTGTAAATAGCCTGGAATGGAATCGAAGCGCTGGCACCGATGGATGTTTGGTTGACGATCAATGCGTTGGGAGATTTCAGAAGAAGTGGTAAGAAAGCTTGGATCATGGCGATATGGGCCCACACGTTCAAGTCGTACAACTTCTTAGCTTCGGCGATGTTGGCGTCAACGACCGGCATGAGGAATTGATTGCCGGCATTGTTGACTAGAACATCAAGCGAGGAAAGCTTGCCGACGACATCGGCTATCGATTGTTCGGATTGTATGTCTAATTGAAGAGTCTCAATACCAGAAGAAGCCAATTGCGTCATCTTAGCAGGATTCCGTGCTGTCGCGTAGACGTGGAATCCAGCTTTGTGGAAGGCCACGGCCAGGGCCGCACCCATGCCACCGTCTGAGCATCCTGTTATCAGGACGGACCGCTTCGGATTGGACATCTTTGCGGGTTATTCGGAACGTATAAGTTATTGAAGGCAAACTGGTTTTTACAAGTGCGTGTATGTGTGTGCGTGAGGGTGAGATCTGAGTTGGGGGTCCATGAGACTAATGCAACGAGCTGGATTTTATTTAAATGCAGTCTGATAGCAGAACCTCGAAGTTGACCACAGATTATCACATATTATCACAGGTCACTCCATACATGGAGTCGGAATGAATTTGCATACCGTGACTGGAGACCTGAAGCCGGAGAGGTAGGAGAGTAAGAGACCCACAATAAGCATGCAGGATACGTATCGAAATTGCCGGATTAGGTAGCCACACTAATCTGACTTTGACTTAGCGCTGCCGCTAGCCCGCCCCCGGCTCAATATCCCTCCCCGTAGACGCGGTGCGGTTCATTTTCATCCCGCTGTCGGATTTTAAGTTTTAGTGCTAGGTAGGGGGCAAAATTAAGCTTCTTAGTCAGCCCGCGTACGTTAATTTAACCGCACTGACCAACGTCCGAGGACTAGAGTCCGACCTAAACGTCCTTGATGTCTTTATTCGGATCCTTTCTGATGTTTCTATAAGGCTATGAGACGACAGCGGATCCTTCTAACGCTTACGAACTTCTTACCTAGATGACACCCATGTGTTATGCACATAAGCATCCCCACAGTAAGTTACATCCCGCATGCATTCTTCTATTGGGCAATTAGGTGAATATGGCGCAAAGTGATTAAGCAGGTTTAATGAGGCCTCAAAGTCGATAGGTATTTCGAATACGGGCTTTAATTTTTCAGAATATCTACAAACACATACACGGTAGATACTTAGCAGCTTAGTCACAGATTTAATCCGAGGTTTAGCCATGCCCCTGAACCCCTGAGACTACTTGAGCACCTCATAGGATATTGTAACTACGCCATCGACCTTTCACATACGACGTGATAGGCTTTCTAAAACTAACAAAGCTATATAAGAATAGTAAAAATATTAATTTGATAATTTGCCCCTGTAAAACCTTTTACGGCAATGCAAAAGTGATCCGGATGGCTAGCTTAACTGGTGTGGTCGTTTCGTCGTTATAGTTAGCTTTTGAGTGCATTGAATAAGCATTTCTAGGAATAAATGGACCATTCGATGTCGGATAACAATCTGACCATTTTGAGATACCCCTGTGACCCCACGTGAGCATCTTTTTAGACGACAAAGGATTAGAATTGATCGCCAACTAGGGGAGGGAGTACCCGTAGAATGCTACTTGGCATAGAATCCTTGTTACTGATACGTATAATTGATATCTCCTAACTTGAGTGAATAATGCCTATCTGGAAAGGTAGTATGTAGAACTCTATTCTTAGTCTACCTTGGCGCTATATACCTACAACCATACCTATCTCCTTGTCCACCTACTTTTCCTGACATTGTCCTCACTTTATGAAGTATAACATGGTTGTCAGACTACTCCCTAATCCTAACTCGGAGCCCCTGGCTTCCCTTGGCTGGCATAGGAATAATCATTTCACTATTGGCGGCTATGTCCCTCTCGCGAATTGTGTCGTACAGCTCTAGTGTACGGCCTTCTTGGCCACGATAAACGTCGTATCGGTTGATGATCGTCGCTAGAACCATGCCCATCTCGCGGCGAGCAAAATTTTGGCTATAGCACGTAATTAGGGAACAAAATTATTTATCATGAGATAAGAAAGAACAACTTACCCGACACAGTTTCTAGAACCACGAGCAAACGCAATGAAGGATCTAGTGAGCTTAGGATCATCGATCCATCTCTGAGGACGGAACTCAAGCGGGTCCTCAAAGACGTCTGGGTCAGTGTGAGTAATCAGTGTTGACATGCTCGTCCAGGTGCCCGGTGGTAGCACAAAAGTCTTGTCGCGACGTTTGTCGTGATAGACAATGTCGACCTCAGGCGAGACACGAGCCATACGTGACATGACACCAGGGTGAAGACGAAGGCCTTCCTGGATTACGGCGTTGAAGTAGGTAAGATGTTCGACGTCAGAGTAAGACGGAACTGTGTTTTTGTCGGGGATCGCAGTCTGAATCTCTTCCTTTACTTTCCGGTACTCCTCGGGGTGAGCAAGAAGTTCAAACAACGTAGCACTTAATGTATAGGCTACGTCATCGAATGTTAGCTCGTGATAAGTTAATATAAACAAGGAGGAGCAGCTAACCAGTTGTGCCCTCGCCGGCAAGACCGATTAATTGTGCATCGTGAGCCATCCTTGCGTCAGTTTTCTCCTCATCCGGAAGCGAGCTACCCAATATCCCCTCGAAGATCGTATTCTTGATATCTTCGGGGTTTGGAGAACTTCTGATCTGACGGACTCGCCTGATCCACCACTATTATGTGCGGTTAGCACAAACTAACATGTCGTAGAACAGTCCAAAGGTTAGTGCTTACTTTTTGTTTCTCGGCCATTTCGGTCAAATTGGGAATGAAAAACCGGAGGATCCAAATTGGCAAGTTGTTGACTATTAGCATGGCAATGGGGAAATGGCCAAATATGTGAGTAAGATCAAAATACTTGTCGGTCGATTTGAAGTACGAGCGACCCCAATCGTCTTCTTCCAAGAAGTGGAAACAGTCGCCAAAAGCGTAGGTGGTTATGATATCGCTAGCATAGGCTTTAAAAACTGTATGCATGTGTAAGATTTTGCCTTCTTTTCCAATACCTTCATTCCACCGTGAGAGCATCCTCTCTAACTTCTCTCTGATCTTTGGCTCCACTTTACGAACACTAGCATTGGAGAAGAAATTGTTGATGCTATTCCGGCGTTTGCGGTGTATATGGTGGTCAATTGTAGCCACGATGGAGTTCGGCGCTATACGGTTTAGTAAATCTCACGCAAGAAAGTGTTGGGAGGTTTTAGATTCATACTTCCTGTTCTCCAGCCCACCATGATAGGTTTGTTTGTCAACCTTCCTCCGGCTGGATATAACGTATCAATGAAGTCACTGTCGTTGAAGTGAACTTCATTCGGGTTTATGCGTACAATCGGACCTGGATATCTTGTTAGTCGAGCTATTTCGATAGTTAATTACCCAAACAGATCAGTCATACCGTATTCTCTGTGCATTTCCCGCATTCGCTTGAAATACTGACCCCCTAGGAAAACTTCGTAATAACATTCATACCACCACGTCATCGCTAGACACTGTCAGAAACCATCTCCTCATAGGAAAGGATCCAAAATCAGCTATCGCTTAGATCGTCTTACCAGCAAGTTTGGGACCCGGGACAGATGCCAACGGATGTAACGTAACTGAATATGAATGTTAATTGACATGTCTAAACAGCACAAGCTCATCTAGTAACACATACCTCGATAGATTGCGAGGAGTACCCCGTATGCAGTATACCCAGCAAGGAGAACACTAAGAAGGGTAACAGCTTTCGTCACCCAACCCTCAAAACCGGAATGGGAAATGAAGGGCGCGCCTAACGGGAAGCCATCCAGGGCTTCTCTAACCGACGCCATGGTTCTAGAAGGTTTCTGGTAAGGGTACTGATACTGAATAGAGATTGTGGTTATGCTCCAACAAAAGACCAACGAATAACCCTTTTCGTCTTGGCCCAACTACTATATGTTATAAAGACGATATTGATATGAGAGATAAATTGATCCTATACTCGGAGAACTCCAATTGTCGTCAACATTGTCGGGCCGTCGGCCCATTATCAGCCCATCAGACTAGAGTAGAGCAATCTTTACAATGAGGATCCTAAAACTGGTAAGCATGTGAGGTGATAAAGTAGATGGATTTGGCGGCTGCGTATCATATTTCGAATGATTGTCGATGCAAAGCTTACCGGGCCAGGCAGGGGTTGAGTTATCCACATCCTCGTGGCCGTAAGCATGCAGGTCAGCTAGTAATCTGGCTGAAACCAACAGGCGAATCTTGCGAGAAAGCTGGCATAATTTCTTAATAACAGACTATGCCACAAGAAGGATCATTACAACTTGGGCTTTGCCTATTGGTCAGCCTAACTTAGACCTTAATCCAGCCCATGAAGCCTTGGGTGAACGTTGGTGACGTGAGTACGAACGATGTCCCGCCTAGCTCAGCCCCAGACTCTAGCTATTCCAAAGGAACATTCCATACCAGTCCGGATCCTTCAGAACATAGTCTTGCCGTGGCGTGTTCAGCATGACGAATTCAAATGACTGCTCGTAGATTTTAGGATCCTAGCTGAAAGTAATAGCTTCGAAAGGGGGCGTTGAATCTAAATTTATCAGGTAAGGCTGCTTGATGGCATGTCCATAGATTCCGATAAGTACCAAGGAATACCCAAATATCCGTTAAGAGGTGATGAATTGAAGCTGTTGGTGCCGTATAGGTCGTTGTTCTCTCTTACCTCCCACCAAAAATGGTTGTAACTCTATATCACCGCATATATGCGGTGTCAGCCGCTTTAGCTGCATTGCCTTTGACCAATGCTACCCCATATTGGCCAAGAAGTAATCAATCAACTTGTCGTGCTCTACCGGGAGATGCTGCTTGGCCTTCACAATCTGATTGGGATCAGCTTAACAAAACCATTGGAGGAAATCTCATTGTTGGCAAGCCCTTGGCACAACCTTGCTATACACCAACAATCGACGCAGATCGTGATACATGTGTCACAATTCGAGATGATTGGACATCAGGGGACCTATAGTCAGTTACTATCAGCCCTATCGGTATACAAGGTTACCTGAAGCTGACCTGCATTTCTAGCTACACCGATCCTGTCAATGTGATGTCCCCCTATTGGCTCAACAACACTTGTAGCCCTTATCTCGGGTCGGACCCAACGTGCATAATGGGTAACATTGCAGTCTATGCAGTCAATGTTACCGGCCCGGATACGGTTGCTGCCGCGCTCAAGTTTGCGCAGCAGAAGAACATCAGACTTTCGATCAAGAACACGGGCCACGATTACATCGGAAGGTCGAACGGCCAGGGATCTCTGGCGCTATGGACGCACAACCTCAAGAACTTTACCGTTTTTAACTACAGTAGCCCCGGTTACACCGGCCCTGCCATCAAGGCCGGCGCGGGTATACAGTTCTTCGAAGCCTATGAACTCGCTGCAAATGCTGGTTATAGGGTCACCGGCGGATTCTGCCCTACGGTCGGAATGGTCGGCGGCTATGTGCAGGGAGGTGGCCACGGGCCGCTTTCTTCAAGTTACGGAATGGCAGCCGATAACACGCTTGAGTTTGAGGTTGTGACAGTCGATGGCCGGCATCTAACCGCCTCGCCCACCCAGAACTCGGATTTGTACTGGGCGTTGAGTGGGGGTGGAGCAGGCAACTATGCCGTCGTCCTATCGCTGACGATCAAGGCGCACCCCGATGGCCAAACAGCCGGCGCATCATTTTCCTTTGCCAACACAAACGCGACGCAATACTGGGCAGGCGTGGCTGCATGGCACAAAGCCCTCGTCACGATCAACACCATCCCCAAATTCTCGACCTCTTGGGGTTTCGACAACTCCGCATTCAGTCTCAATGTCGCCACATTAGCCGACGGCACGCAAGCCGAACTAGAAGGCTACCTGAAACCCTTCCTAGACGAGCTCTCCAGCCTCGGCATCACGCTAGCCAGCTACAACACGTCGGAGCACGCGCGGTTCTACGACCACTACGAAGCGTACTCGTTCCCGCCGGAGATCTACGCGACGAACAGCTCGCTGGGCGGGCGTCTGATCCCGCCCTCCACGATCGAGGGCAACCTGACGGGCCTCATCGCCGCGTTCCAGCAGATCGTGCAGGACGCCGACTTCCCGCGGAACCGGATCAGCGCGATATCCGTCAACGTGACGCACGCGCGCGTCGGCAACGCCGCCGGCTCGAACGCCGTCCTGCCCGCCTGGCGCGACGCCCTCTACACCCTGAACGTGGGCATCGGCTTCGACGCCGACGCGCCGACGCCCGAGCTCGTCGCCGTCCAGCAGAAGGTCAACGCCTGGCAGGCGCTCTTCACGCCCCTGACCCCGGGCGGCGGCGGCTACATGAACGAGGCGACCTTCGACGACCCGTCCTGGAAGGAGGACTACTACGGCGCCAACTACGACAAGCTGCTGTCCATCAAGAAGAAGTACGACCCGGGCTTCGCGCTGTGGCAGCACACGTCCGTCGGCACCGATGCTTACTGGGAGCTCAACGGGGAGGGGAGGTTGTGCCGTGTTAAATGAATAAGGGCGTAACGCTTATATGTGTATAGATTCCGTTAAGTTTCTAGGTCTGTATATATTAGTGTACTTTATCTAGAATAATTTTAAGTTACCTAGCAAAAAAAAAATTTACAAGACGGTTCAGCAAAACCTTTTCTCGGGACATGACGTACTTGCCTTATTTCAAAGGCCTAGTCAGTGTTAGTTTGACGGAGTGATGGTGCTGTACAGCAGTGAGTTTCGCGATAATTGTTGTTCTTGTTAAGTTGCTTACGTGGGAGCTAGCTCCGCAACTGACCAATTTGTGCCCGAATCTTCCACGTGACTAGCTTTACGTAATCTATATCCCAATAACCTGCGCCATTATGTGTCGTGATGTATCTTGAAGTCTGTCTTCCAGCAAATGGCAGTGGCACACTAGGGGAAGTCACACTTTCTGACTTATCTGAGAATGATCTGTTGGTCTGCTACGGAAAGACGGATCTTACACTACGCCGATCTTTTTGTCTTTCCTTCATTCACCCAGGTTCGCTTCACACCTCAGCCAAATTTTTTCGATTCAAAGTGTTTTGCCCCGTTAATTCACTTAATTAATGCAATAAATAATCTACCCAACCAAACATATCTAACATCTATACTATCTCCCTCCTAAGCGCCGCCGCAAAGAACTCTAACATAGCCTCCCTGATCTCCCTCGACCCCTCGCCCGTCAGGATGCTCATGTGGCCCTTGCCCCTCGCCCAGTACAGCCGCTTCGGCGTCTTCAGGATCTCGAAGACCGCCTTCTGCTCTGCGGCCGGGCTGATGTCGTCCAGTTCCGGGATCATCATGAGCGTGGGGATGCCCTCGAGCATCTCCTCGAGGATCTCCTTGGGCCGGAACAGCGCCATCTTGTGGTAGCTCTGGAGCGTGATGCGGTCCCGGAAGTTGGGGTGTCCGCGCTCGGCCGCCGTCCGCATGAGGAAGTACGCCTCCTTGCCTCCCGGACCGCCCGACCCGGCGTACCCGATCGGGTTCTCGCCCTTGCTGTTGAAAGGCTGCAGCGTGAACGGCTCGTTACCGCGTAGCTGCGATTGCCGATCCTTCATAAGCTGCGCGAAGGCAGTCTGCCGCTTGTCGGCCCGCACGAAGCTGAAGATGGGGCACACCAGCACGATCCCGGCTACACGCCTATCGATTGCTGCTGCGACTGCGGTGACGGTTGCTCCCAGAGACATGCCCCAAAGCAGAATACGACGTGGGTCTATACTGGGTACTGTCGTAGCGTACCCAACGACATCTATAATCATAATGATTAGAGTAAAGCTAATTCCGTAGGTAACAACATTACGTCCTCACCGGATACATCCTCGGCCATTTGCAACGGGTCGATTTGGTTCCGTGGTAATCCCCCACTTCCCCCTATGCTTCTAGAGTCGTATAGTATTACGTTGTAGCCCGCCGATTGGAATGCTTCGGCCGTTTCTGCAAGGCTCATTTCTTTAACGCAGTTGAACTGAAAGATGTAAGTTTGAAAATATCAGTTAAACGAAGAGTCGCTAAACTTACTCCGTGGGTCATGATGATGGCCGGTGCCGGCCCCGGAACCTCGAAAAGCCATGCTTCCAGGGTTATGCCATCGATGGTCTTCAGCTCGACGGTGCGATGAAGTTGGAGAGAACCCATATTGCCAACGGCAGACAAGGAAAGGCAATCGCAAGGTAGAAATTTGCCTAGATTCAAAGATAATAAAGAGTGTGTGTACTGGGAGGAAAGCCCTACCTAGTATAATATGATTAAAAAGTAGAAAAGAGTACAACTCGTACTGGATTGGAAGTAAAGATGCGGGAGAGGATACTATGAAATTCCATACTTAGGTACCTACTCGCGAAGGACAATGGCAATCTCAAGATATCGATCTGTGCCAAATGCCAGGGTTCTAAAGGAATAGTGGAGAATAGATAACCTGAAGGATCCAACGTTCTAGATTGATGAGACAGTATTTATGCATAATCACGGCGACACAAGCTGTATATGCACGATTACCGGATTACTGTCATCATGCAGCTGAATCTCGTGGCTCCTCCACGAGGCACAGGGATGACTAGCCTGCCAATTAATATACTGCAAGGCGGCGAATCAGCCTCAGCCTGCAACATGACATTACAAGGATTGCTTATTAGTAAACAATCTGTGACCCGCTGTGAGAAACTTGCGTTATCTCGTCTAGGAGTTGTGATTATCTCAAGGCCTGGATTCTGGAGCCAATGGTATCGAGAGCCTTTCGTCCAGGCTAGGACAACCAGCCGGCAAGTCAGCTCTACCAGGCATTGACGATGGATGTCATCATGCACTAACGAGCGCATGTAATCGGGAGCCGTAATCGAAAGTCATCACAACAACGACGAGGACTTCGTACCATGGCATCGACGTGGGAGGACGTGGGACGAAGGACAATGTGTACGTTCGGTGGTTTTCGAAGTCGTATATAGATTGTCTCATTGACGTATGACTTGGAAATTCGAACAGAGCAGGCGTGACCGCGACTTCTTCGAAATAACCATCACAAGCCCCATCATCTTCATTATTCTCTTTATCCCCTAAGTCAACCTTTTTCATAGAGCAGACACAACTTGTCCTTCTAAGACCACCACATTCGCAGCAATGGCCAAGTCACAGCACCACCAGCAGGAGCCTATGGCCATCATAGGCTTTGCCTGCCGTCTGCCCGGGGGTAACAACTCTCCGCAGAAGTTCTGGGACTTCATCGAGCGGGGTCAGGTGGCGCCCAACTCCGTCCCGAAGAACCGATTCAACTTCGAGGGGCACTTCGATGGGTCTCTCAAGCCGAAGACTATGCGCCAGGCCGGCGGCATGTTCCTCGGCGACGTTGACCCGGCCGACTTCGATGCTGGTTTCTTTGAAGTCGGCGGAGCCGAAGCTCTCGCTATGGACCCTAATCAGCGCCAGATGCTTGAAGTTGTCTTCGAGGGGCTTGAGAACGCGGGTATCCCCCTCGAAAAACTAGACAACCAGCCCGTTGGTTGCTTCGTTGGATCATACGCGGCCGACTACGCCGACATGCAGAGCCGTGACCCTGAAGATCGCCCACCAAACAACGCTCTTGGTGTCGGAAGAGCCATCCTTGCTAACCGTCTTAGTCACTTTCTCAACATCAAGGGTCCCAGCGTTACACTCGACACGGCCTGTTCCGGAAGTTTGCAGGGTCTTGACCTTGCATGCCGCTACCTCCAATCGCGGGATGTCAATGCCGCCGTCGTCGCCACTAGCAACCTGTACATGAATCCCGAGCATCTTATCGACACCGGTAACATCGGCAGCGCCCACTCTCCCACCGCGCTATGCCACACCTTCGACGCCGATGCCGATGGATACGTGAAGGCTGAGGCCGTGTCCGCTATCATCGTCAAGCGTCTGGAAGATGCTATCCGGGATCGTGACCCGATCCGTGCTGTTGTCCTTGGCACTGCTACCAACAGTAACGGACGAACACCTGGTATTGCTAGTCCCAGCTCAACAGCCCAAGCCGCGGCTATCCGAGCCGCATATGCCCACGCCGGCATCACTGACTTGAACTTGACCACCTACCTTGAGTGCCACGGTAAGTATTTTTAATAGCTTCCGTTGAACCTCGGCCTTTGACTAATCATTTTTAGGTACTGGAACCCAGGCAGGTGATCCGACTGAGGTGAACGGAATTGCTTCCGTCTTTGCCGCCACCCGTCCGGCCGATAACCCCCTTATTATCGGCTCCGTGAAGTCTAACATCGGCCACTCAGAGCCTGCTGCCGGTATCTCCGGTCTTCTCAAGGCGATCCTGTCTATTGAGAATGGCTTCATCCCCGGTATGCCTACTTTCATCAAGCCCAGCCCTAAAATCGACTTCGTCGGGCAGAAGGTCAAGGCCTACCGGGCCGGCATCCCGTGGCCCGAGAGCGCCCCTCGCCGAGCTAGCATCAACTCCTTCGGCTACGGTGGGTCCAACGCCCACGCCATCATCGAGCAGCCCACTGCCGCCGCCCGATCCCACCACGTGTCCTCGTACGTGTCTGCCGATGAGGAGTTCACTCTCCTTGAGGAAGACGCCGCTCGTCCGTCCGTGCTCGTGTTGTCCGCCAACGACGCCCAGTCTCTGAAATCTAACATCCAGGCGCTCGGAAACCACATGATCAACCCCCGCGTTAAAGTCAGTCTCTCCGACCTCGCGTACACGCTCTCGGAGCGCAGGACCCGGCTCTGGCACCGAGCTTTCATCACCACTAAGAATACCGAGCTCGACGAGAAGCCTGACGCTTGGCACGTGGCTAAGAAGAGCGCCGTCACTCCTTCATTCGGTTTCATCTTCACTGGCCAGGGAGCTCAATGGCCTCAGATGGGTAAGGATCTTCTGCAGTACTTCCCATGGACCCGAAAGATTCTCGAAGAGTTGGACGATGTCCTACAGAGTCTCGCTTCGCCCCCGTCCTGGTCTCTCGTCAAGGAACTGACTGAGCCCCGTACTGCTGAGCACCTCCGTCAGCCAGAATTCTCGCAGCCTCTCGTCACAGCGCTCCAACTTGCCATCATTGCCGTTTTGGAATCCTGGGGGATCAAGCCACGCAGCGTGGTTGGTCATTCATCCGGTGAAATCGCTGCCGCATACGCCGCAGGTCTCCTGGACCGCGCTGGAGCTATCACTGCTGCTTTCTACCGTGGCCGTGCTGCCTTGAACCGTAAGAACGAGGTTCCTGGCGACGTTGGTATGCTTGCAGTTGGTCTCGGTGCAGAGGCTGCCAACGAGTTCATCGAAAAGCACGGTAATGGACAAGCGTGGATCGCTTGCTTTAACAGTCCTAACAGCGTAACTGTCTCCGGAAGAATCGCGGCGCTCGATTCTGTGCGCGAGGCTGTCACGGCTGCGGGTCACTTTGCTAGACGGTTACAGGTCGACTTGGCCTACCATTCGGAGCTTATGGAGCTTATTGGCGAGGAGTATGAGCATCTCCTTGATGCGGAAGACCAATTCCACCCGACTGAAAAAGCCCTGGGCAGCGGTGCTACTCTGTTCTCTTCGGTCACGGAATCGAAGAGAACCACGCCAACTGACGCTCTGTATTGGAAGACGAACATGGTATCGGCGGTTCGCTTCAATGGGGCGTTAAAGGCTCTTCTTGAGGACGAGAACGCGCCTAACTTCCTTATCGAGATCGGACCTTCCGGGGCTCTGGCTGGTCCAGTCTCCCAGGTCCTTAAGTCTCTACCCGCTTCCGTCGGGGGAGAGATTACCTACACCAGCTCTTGGGCTAGAGGTGCGGACGCCGGAAAAGCACTATTCGATGTTGCTGGTCGCCTATGGGTGGCCGGTGCCGATATTGACATGGCAACCGTGAATGAGTACGACGGCCAAAACCGAGTCATCACGGACCTTCCCAACTATTCTTGGAACCACACTACTAAGTACTGGCACGAGAATGCTTCCAGTAAGGACTGGCGTTTCAGGAAGTATGTCGTCCACGACTTGTTGGGAAGCAAGATCCTCGGCAGTTCGTGGAGGAATCCTACTTGGCGTCACCGCTTGAACGTTACCAATCTCCCTTGGCTCAATGATCACCGAATGGGAGGTGACACTATCGTCCCTGGTGCTGGATTTATAACTATGGCCGCAGAGGCTATGTATCAAAAACATACTGCTCTCCTTTTACCCGAGGAGGCGGAAGGATTGGCCCGGAATGATTTATGTTATCGATTCCGCAACGTCCGCTTTAGCCGCGCTTTAGTTCTCGAAGAAGGTAAAGACGTGATTATCTCGTTCACGCTGTCGGCTGTACCAGGCGACAAGCACTGGCACGAATTCAGAATTTATACAACAGAAGACGAGGTAAGGAATTTTCACTCCAGAAACGTGCTTCCTAATGAAGAGATTACTGACTCAAAATGCTGCAGGTTATGTCCGAACATTGCTCTGGATGGGTCCGCATCCACGATTTTATCGACGAACCTGTTGAAGGCGAGGACGCGCTGCCCCTGAAATCGGTGCAAGCTCCTAAGCTGTGGTATAAGTGCCAACGTGAGATTGGTATGGAGTTCGGCCCAGCTTTCCAGAAATTGATCGAAATCGAGGCCGTCACCGGTCAGCGCAAGTGCCGCACCTTGATATCGATGGAACCCCCTGAGAGCAAGTATGCCCAGTCATACTATCCCATTCATCCGGCGGCCTTAGATGGTTGCTTGCAGACTGTCGTCCCATCTAATGCATCGTGTGATCGCACGAACGTCAAGCACGTCATGATTCCTGCCCTTATCGACGATTTCATCATCAACAAGGTCCCCGCTCGTCTGTACAGGGGACGCTCGAAGGCGACATCAGTATATAGTGGTCGTGGTCGACTGGATATCGAGAAGAGCTGGGTCGCTAACACGACCGTATATGACTCTGAAAGCGGCCAATTGCTGATGCAGATGTAAGACATGTCCAGAACTCCTAGAACTATTTCATAAAGAAAAAGTTACTGACTCTCGTTTTCTTTACAGAACTGGCCTCAACTACACCAAGCTCGATGTGGCCCCCAAGCCCGACCCGCATACATTCCACACTGTGGCCTGGAAGCCTGATATCACGTTCCTTACTCAGGATCAGTTGATGTACCTCACGGTGGACAAAGACTCAAACAAGCTCGACACCGTCATCGACCTTATCGCCCACAAGAAGCCTGCGCTAAAGGTCCTAGAAGTGAACCTCGACGATGAAGATGCTTCTAACCTATGGTTCGGGGTCAACGACTTCACGGCCAGGTCTGCCTACGCCCAGTATGATTTCGGCACTTCCAATGCGAAGACTCTTGTCAGCACCGAGACTCTGTACCAGGAGAAAGGAAACGTTTCATTCCATTCGATCAGTCCTGAAAACCCGGCCTTCGGGCTTCCCACTGATGTCGCCTGGGACCTTGCGATCATCAAGGCGTCTGAGAAGGTCAGTGCCACTAGTGTGGAAGACTCTGTCAAGAGCCTAAAGCCCCTCCTAGCTGAGGGTGCTTACACACTCTTGGTGCGAATCGATCAGGAAGGTGTGATAACGCATGCAGCATCCGAATCGTCGGACTCATTTGAGAACCTCAACCGTCCATCTGCTCTCGGAACCTCTGGCACACCATCTCAGTCTTCGGACTCTCTAGTTGCCAGTTCGATCAGCTCCACTGCCTGGGATGAGGAGGCTGCTAAGAAGTCTCTGGCATTCGCCGAAGCGAATGTTACCAACTCCATCCTTGAGGTCGCACCTACTACCAACAGTCCGCTTGCGTACTTGTCAAAGTCGAAGACTAGCACCGAAATATCCACTGGCTCTAAGAAGCATCTCATTGTCGTTCGTCTATCAGACACGACGCCCACAACCCTGCCGCCATCCCTACACGCAACTCTGGAGGCTTCGGGCTGGACTATCACGCAACAGACATATCCCTTCTCGAAGCCGACAGACGGCGCGGTCGTACTAATTATTGACGAGTTATCGAAGCCTATCCTGAAGAGTGTAGATGGAAAGCAATGGGAATCCATCAAGGGGCTTATCAGCTCCGGCATTCCGCTCCTCTGGGTCACGAAGGGCGCGCAGTACCCAGTCACGGACCCGGACAATGCGATGGTCCAGGGTCTTTTCAGGACGGCCAGGCAGGAGGACCCTTCGATCAATGTTACGACTTTAGATGTCCAATCGAGCACAAGTGCGGCGACAAGCTGGGCTATTGACAAAGTGCTCGGATTACTTAAAGACGGATTGCCAGTGGAGACTGAATACTCGGAGCGTAACGGCATTCTCTCTATCCAACGGATCCAACCGGATACGCTTGTCAATGACTTCCGACATGCCGAAGAAGATGGTCTCCCACCAGTTGTGAAGGGATTCCACAGCACTGAAGTCCAGGTGCAACTGAGGGCCGAGCGTTTGGGTACTCTGAACGGTCTAATGTGGGCCGAGACGGAAGTTAGTGCGCCTGCGGCGCTCGACGATGGACAAGTCGAGGTCGAGGTTTACGCCGTCGGTGTTAACTTCAAGGACGTAGCCATCACCATGGGTATCGTGCCAGACAACGAGTATAACATTGGATTCGAGTGTGCTGGTATCGTCAAGAGAATTGGGAATGGTGTCACCAGCTTAAAGGTCGGATCCCGAGTCTGTATGCTCAAGGCTGGAAGCTACAGTAATCGGGTGAGGACCAGCGTTCAGCGATGCCACGAGATCCCAGACCATATGAGCTTTGAAGAGGCTGCTACCATTCCCTCGGTATACTTGTGCTCGCTTTATGCCATGTACCACCTTGGAAATCTGAAAGAGGGCCAGGTAAGACACCCGATATAATTACACTCGAATGGATAAAGCTAACAATTGCAGTCCGTATTGATTCATAGCGCTACTGGTGGTGTCGGGGTCGCATGTATTGAGCTAGCCCAAGCTAAGAAAGCGGAGGTAAGTCTTCTACATCCATCTAGATGTACTCCAGATCTGATTTGAATATGTAGATTTTCGTCACGGTGGGTACGGAAGAAAAGCGACAGTTCCTTGAAAAGGAATATGGCATCCAGCGGGATCACATGTTCTCTTCTCGTAACACCCAGTTCGCCCGTGGGATTATGAAGGCCACAAATGGTCGCGGTGTCAATGTCGTCATCAATTCGTTGATCGGTGAACTCCTCGACGCATCTTGGAGAATCATGGCGGACGGTGGAAATATGGTCGAGATTGGTAAGAGAGATATTGTCGACCGTAACACACTCTCCATGGAGCCCTTCGACCGTAACTGCTCTTTCCGAGCGGTCGATTTCTCATACACCAAGGACATCAAAGATTCGCTCGTTGCCAGGTATTTCTCGATCCCAATAACCCCGGGTACGTATTGCTAATTAGTTGTAGTCTCTTTGACGAACTCTTCGTCCTCATTAACGCTGGTCATCTCAAACCAATCCACCCTATCACCGTATTTGGATTTGACGATGTCCAAAAGGCCCTAGCGTACATCCGGAGCGGAAAGCATCTCGGTAAAGTCGTTATCTCAAATGGAGAGAATACTGATGTGCAGGTCCCCATCCGGCCCGCAATCCGTGGCATTCAGCTACGATCCGATGTCTCATACCTCATCATCGGAGGCTTGAAGGGCGCCTGCGGAACCCTAGCTATTCATTTGGCACAAAACGGAGCTCGCCACATCATCGTTAGCAGCAGGAGTGGCATAAATGATGAGGCTTCGGCTAGGATCGTGGCCAGCTGCAACTTCTACGGCGCTGAAGTCGTTGAAGCTAAAGGTGACGTCGGTAACATCGAGTCTGTACGACAGTTATTCAAATCCGCGACTCCCCGTATTGCGGGTGTTATCCAAGGTGCTATGGTTCTGAGGGTAAGTTCTCCTGAGGCCCCTATAACATTTCTGATACTCACGCGAAACAATAGGACAAACCCTTCGAGATGATGACGCTAGATGACTGGTAAGTTACTGTCTATCCCTCATATCTTCTTCTGCCGCCTCGTCTCTCCGTTTCTAACTAATGGTAAATAAAAAGGCACACGGCTATCCACGCTAAGGTTCATGGTACTTGGAACATTCACCGGGCTTCTCTGGAGCAAAAACAACAACTCGACATGTTCACTATGTTATCCAGTACATCGGGTGTTGTAGGTAATAAGGGGCAGGCCAACTACGCAGCGGCCAATACTTTCCTCGACGCGTTCGCTAGTTACCGTCAGACCCTAGGCCTGCACGCCAATACTGTTGACCTCGGCGTGATCGAAGACGTGGGCTATATTGCGGAGCAAGATACTGGCCTTGAAGCGCGGTTTGACAAACGTGTCTGGACGCCGATTGGGGAGAGCATGTTGAGAAAAATTCTCACATACTCCTCTTTACAACAGGAGTCCGATCCGCTAAATCCAAGCAGTGTCACTGAGATGATCACGGGTATTGGCTATCCGCTCCCCGCAGACAGCGATGGATTGGCACGTGACGGCAGATTCGGCTACCTTTTCAATAGCCGCGGAGGAAGCAATTCTGGTGGCCTTGACGTGGATGAGAGCGACCAGACCGAACAAGCTATCAAGCAATTCCGTCTGATGCACAAATCGGGCGCCAGTGTAGCGGACTTGAAGCTCACCTGTCTCGAGGTGGTATCGGCTCAATTCGCCAAGACGCTCAGACTCGAAGCAGAACCCGAGAAAGGAAGGCCTCTTGTAGCTTACGGCCTTGACAGTTTATCCGCCGTGGAATTGAGGAATTGGTAGGTTTTCCAGAATCGGGCTATGATGTACAAGACTAACGGACCCTAGGATTCGCATGAGGCTCGGCGTAGAACTGACGACGTTAGGTAAGCGATAACTCCTAACGCCCTTTTCTCCTTTTCCCCTTTCCCCTTTTCCGAAGAGTCCATGATTAACATGTGTTGTAGATATAACCAACGCTGCTTCACTGATCGCACTAAGCGAAAAGGTCGTTTCGAAATTGCCGCAACCAGAAGCTGCTGCGTGAAGTAGCTAAAAAGGAGAGGCTAGAAAGGAGAGGGCTGGCAAAGGCTGGCAGGGCTGGGTATATGTATTTTATGGGAACTTGGAAGGATTTTATTTTTATTTTTGCGCCGGGTGGCGGGTGGTGGTTGGTATGTTAGAGAATGAGATGAATAGTCGGTGTGTTTCGTGATACACTATTGTAGAGGTTATTAGATTGCTAGGTTCAGTTTCCTCTTTTTTATGCAAGTTCTTTACAATCCAGGTTCAATCTTGCAGTAGCGCCAGGCCTTATCCATGGTCTGTACTTTATGCGCTGGCTGGGAGGTGGCTGGTCAGGAGCGAACGGCGCGGTGCCGCTGGGCGCCGCTGGGTTGCGCTGGGTTGCGTGCCTCCTTCCTTTAGGCTAGAGCTAGCGGATACGTGTAAAGTGATTTGCTGTAATGCAAAACAGCTGTATTGCATCTATTGGAAAATCTTGTAACTGGGTCCATTTTTTGGGCAGAAAACTAGGATCGCAGCCCGATCGGCGGCATTACGTGGTTCGTCTGATGCGAACATGCGGAATAGAAAAGCGCGGTGTGTCTCTCCCTTGGACGATTGAGAGGGTTTTGGTTCTTTTGGTTTATTTTCCCTTTGGTTAAGTCAATGTCAATTGAGTCAGGTCAAGTTGAATGTTGAAATTCTGAAGTCTCAAAGAAGTCTTAGAATTTTTAGTCACTTGTCCAGTCTTATCTTATCAGCCCTTATCATCTTACCTACAGTAAGAGAATAAGAGCATGGGCCACCTTTGATTCACTGCCAACCTTGGAACGTTTGAAGAATGGAGACTTGTGATTATCCATGTCCCTCTTCTCCAAGAACACTCGACATTTCAGACCATTACAAGATAAAGAAGCATATACCTTACAAGATGCGCCAAAGGATTACCTACTTCCATAAGAACGAGAACGGGGTAGAGCCTCGTGCTCTGAAGCTGACCCCTCGTTCTATTTCCGGCCCGGATATCATCGCTGAGCGAGAAGACCGGATCACACTAGCTCTTGAGGAGCTTCCCATAGAGCTTCAGCATGTGCTGAGAGAATCCCAAGAGTTGTACATACGATGGCAAAAGCCTACCGCCTTCACAACAATAGGCCCTTGGCACTCGAAGATACCTCCAGGTTTGCATGTATTCTACACTCCTGGAAATAGCGAGAAGCCCGATGGCGGGCGACTATGTCGCTTCTTCCGCACCGCCTTCGGGCCGCTAGATTGCTCGTCGACATCTGTAAGTAGCTGCCATAGAGGAATAGAGCACTTATGATCATATATCCTTGATCCTCTTCAATTCGCTGACACTTTATAGGGGTCTTTTACCAAGCTACCTAATGATCGATTCTCCCATACAACCGCCTATCAGTTCTACCACATCCTAAACGACCTATCACATTTATCCTCCTACATAGAACAATATGTCTGTGTCTCCGGAAACTCGGAATGCAAGGCGCGAGCCCAACGACTCCGGGATGCGAACTCGATAGACTTCTCGTATGATGCGATTTCTCACGTGGTGAAAGTCAGCGCTCTATGGCCGCACGAACGACAACCGCTATTTATCGACTCCCAACCAGAGCATAGAGCAGAAGTCGGCATAATGACACCGGACTACCCTCCGCACTTAGAGCCACATGAACTCGGTGTCACGGGATTACTCACAGTGTTGGGCGACGAGTCGAGGCCTGCTCCGACTCTATTCTCTTTCCCATCCCGCCATAAACATGCGGTCCGCTCGAGTTTCTCGTCTAGTTTTCTCCGCCCGTGGGGCTTGCATCCGACATTACAGCTCAAGATCAGTTCAAGCAAGCCCCCACTAGAAGAATCGTCCTGTTCGCTACACACTTATCTCACCCTACCCCGAACCATATTCGCAGATAAGTATCAGCTCGGAGATGAGCTATTATTGTCATCGAAGAATTTGACGTCATTACGCTACATCAGCCAACCCGTGGACCTTGAGGCGCCGAGCTACGCCATGAACATCTGGGGCTCTAGTGCCCTTCTGGAATTGAAGGCCCCCGAGGCGAAGGAGAACAAGGAATGGACGGCCGAGATACCGCTTCACCTTCGGTATTTAGCACCTTCGGAACAAGGATACAGAAATATTAGCGTTCCTTGGCCGGTGGTATTCTGGGCATGCACTGCGGAAGATGGTACCAAGTTCCCCAACAGCCCATTTGACAGAGTCAATTTGGGATACGACGGGCTATTTGGGCCTCGTACATTATTCTTCCACGTCGATGCGAAGCCGAGCGAAGGCGAGAATCTCTACCATGATATCCAGGTGCCAGTCCTTGACTTGGGGCTATCAAATCGGATCAGCTCCGGAACGGCGACCATTGTCATGATGGGGTTCGTTTTTGTAATTTGGAAGCTCGTATCGGTCTGCCTCGGCATTCCCAAAAACAATGTCGTTGCAAGTCCCAAACGAGGAAGGAAGAGGAAATCATTGTGATTGTATATATAGAGAGGCGTTGGCAACACCGGTCTTTAGCTGGGTATTTATAGGAGTTGGTTGTGGAATTTGGTCAAATTGGGTCATGATCATGGGCGTTGGGGGTCATGTGATCGCATGTTTCCGCGTCACTTGTACATACATAGAGGTACTATGTGGATGATGTGGATGGGTCCAGGCTGGGGGACATTTATGAACCGACATACGTACTACATGAACAAAGATCTGTTTTAAGTCCCATATTCGTTTCTACAAGTAGCAGTGCTCGAGTCTCAATTCAATGGTGTCGCAATGTTTTCTTATGTTATAATAGGTTTTGCTATTTTGTTAGCATATAACCCGATCATCCAATATCTCTCACCGCAACCTTTCCGTCTCCCTCGGACCCCTCGGCCTCGCATCAATGAATCGCTGCTTGCCATCGACGCAACAAACCAAACTGCGCCGGATTGTCCTCCGGATTCCTATTCAGTTCATATTCTTTCAAAAGCACCAATCGTAATCTACATCGAGAACTTCCTCTCGGAAGAGGAACGGTCTTATTTACTAGATATTAGGTCGGATATAAACCTTTTCATATTGAGAAGCTTCTTAACCACATAAGGTGCCTATTTACGTATATACTTACCAGCTTTTTAGCGAGCCGTTGTTTGAGCCTTCGACCATCACTCATGACGGTGACTCAACGCACCGAGATGCGACAATTCGCGACTCTGAAGTCGCCTTGATCCCTCGCACCGACCCTGTGCGGTGTATTGAGGCCCGTGCTCGGGCTATTCAAGGCTGGCGAAACGACCTGTGGATAGAGCGCTTACGGACTCAGCGTTACGGCACGAACCAGCACTACTCGCATCACTTCGACTGGGGCTCTGGAGCCCTGGGCTGGGGCCGCGCCAGCAGCTTCATGGCGTGGGTGCAAGCCGACGACGTCGAAGGAGGCGGAACGGAGTTCCCGTTACTTTACCGCGACGCGCCCGATGAGCCGTGGTGTCGATGGGTCGAATGTCCCAAGTCGGAAGATGATCCATCGAAGAAGGACGGAGAACCGGTTGTGGGCGTTACGTTCAAGCCGGTGGCTGGAAACGCCGTGTATTGGGAGAACTTCCGCCCCGACGGGACTGGGAAAGGATGGGACGAAACGTGGCACGCGGGCTTACCAGGTATGTAATTGCACAAGCCGTTCATCCCACTCCCGGACGGCTATTCCGTGTTTCAATAAGGTAATATTTAACTCATATTGTTACAGTGAAAAAGGGAACGAAAGTTGGATTGAATATATGGAGCTGGGGCAGGCTAAGTTAGAAGAGATTTCATCCGCGGTTCATTCTGGTCATCGAATAGGTACAGCAAGTAGTATACAGTTCAGTACGATACTATCGTTTGCCGTGCGACCATCCATTCCGGGGGAAAGATCCGGCTACATAGCATCCAATGACACCCATCTAACCCGAGACCGTGGGTTTCCTATTGGCGGTCTGTATCTCTTATTGGGCGTTTTGGGCGACCAGCCCCGACTGTGAAACCGTGCCCAGAAATTGTCTTCTCTCATACTTTAACTGTTTGGCTATATATAAACCTATCGTCGACGGATATCGAGGTAAAGACGTCGCTAGATATAGCCGCGTCATCGAACCAGAGGTGGATATGCGATCGTGCTTTAAGTAAATCTGAAATGGCTTTTAACTTTGGAATAGCTCCAGGCACATGAACAACGGTGAGGTGTTCCCTACGGGAAAATTCTGTAGGCCGGGAACCAATTAGAAGCCCGATGAACCCCCACACGGTCTAGGATAGAGACCCGATGTCGCCATTTCAAGACAGGATTAGAACACCGCCTTGAACGTCCAAATCAGCAAATCTAGACACCGTTCGCCAGCCTATTAATAATGAGCTCCGCGCAGTTGGACCGAATTGAAAGAGTTTTAATCAGTTATCGACTTTCCTCAGCTCGAAACCCGATCCAGAATGGCTATCAAAGGCAATTTTTCATTCTCTATCTAGATACGCTAGAGATTGTCCGTCGTATGGCCTCTCCATCGTGACCATCCACCTTACCAAAGAACGGTCTCGATTGGCTTTTATTTTATTTCCTACCGATACATTATCCGTTCTGCGTACCTAACTAGGCATGTGTGGTTCTTCTTACGTCTATTCATCGCCCGCTCCCACGCCCCGTGCCGCCACTTCCAAGGCGCTCAACTCAACTTGGTGATGATAGTTGCACACTACCCAGGTACCTACATATCTATCCATGTGCATGTCACCCACGCTTCTCACCAACCGGTATACGCTATATGGACGTACCGACCACATATGTACATGAGCCATTCGGTCAAAGGAACTGTACATCTCTCCTAATGTATGACGTAACCTAAGCTCAGGGGTTCATCTAGAACATACCCGCGCCGGACTGGTAACTCTTTCGGTACCTAGCCTATCATGGATGGCAAGCCCGTATACGGCCACCACCACAACCTATTAGCTTGGAAAGTTCAGCAATTGTAAGCCTTAAAAGTTATGTAGTACTTGGTGGTATGTATGGCCGGCAGGTACAGTGTTAAAGTACAACTTACCTACATAGACGAGGATGGGTTTTCTATAGTAAGAAGTACCCCAAGGTCGATTTATTAAGTCTACAGAGTTCGTCGTCCAAGTTTGCCCTTAGGTTTGAATTTTTCTTCCTCCTCTTCTCTCGTTCATTTTTCGACGAGAAAAACCACATTCATCTAGTCGTTCGCAAAATCGCAAATTAAATGCAATCGGTCTCGTTTTCGTCGGTTTCGCCTATCAACTATTTTATGCGTGGTGCACTTTATAAGTGAAGGAATAGGGCAATCAATACCTATTATACCGATCATCTCATTCGGCCCATCGATTGCAACATCGAGCCTCAAACTCTCATCATGTCTGACAAGCCTGTCTTCTTAGTCACGCACCCACGTGCATGCTCCACTGCCTTCGAGAGGGTTGGTCTCTGATATCCCCATAAAATCCTATCTGGGTATATCAAAGCATACATATACTAAGATGCGATAGATCTTCATGACTCGTCGGGATATTCTTCAATGTGCCCACGAACCATTCGGCGACAGCTTCTACTACGGTCCTGAAAGACTTAGTGAGCGATACGCCAATGATGAAGCCGCTAGAGAGAGCAGTGGCTTTTCCAAGACCACCTACCGGGATGTCCTGAACCGCCTGGAAAGAGATGGCAGTGAGGTTAGAAATCTCCTGGCGCATCTTCGCCTTTAATCCCTTGCTTCCCTTGCTTTCCTTCCTCCATCCATGCAATTCTTTCCTCACATCGCAAGTGCGGAGCTCAATTGATCAAAGACAGCATGATATATGAAGGTTAAATATAACTCGGCCACTCTAAAATCTCAGGGAAGGAGAAAAGCCACCTACGTATATATGTAATGGCCTACGATAGGATAGTCGTATGGTCCTATCCCTCCAGATCCTTTATATATGTACCTTTCGTTTCTTGGCATTCTCGCAATCGTCGATCTTATAGCTATACCAATTCCGAACCTAGCTATCGTCTAAGTGCTTACATTCCGTCGTTCAGGGCAAGCGTGTTTTCATCAAGGACATGGCTTACTACCTGATGCCACCAAATGGAGCACCCGCCACAATCGCCCCGTCTCTGAAAAAGAGCGACGACTACGTCGAGAAGGGAAACCCAACGGTTGTTCCTCTAGAGATTCTCAAGAAGTTCCACTGGACTTTTCTCATCCGCCACCCGAGGCGAGGGATACCTTCGTACTACCGGTGCTGCGTGCCTCCCTTGGACGAAGTCACTGGCTTCAAGGAGTTCATGCCGAACGAAGCCGGCTACGTAGAACTATGCCGACTATTCGACTATCTGCGAGAGCAGAAAATGGTCGGACCGTGCATGGCAGGGCAATCGAACGGGAAGAGCGATGGAGAAATCACCATCACCGTCATCGACGCCGATGACCTGCTCGATCACCCGGAACCCGTCGCCAAGGCGTTCTGCAGGGAGACCGGGATCGAATTCAAGCCCGAGATGCTCACCTGGGACGATTACGAAAACCAGCAGTACGTCCAGAAGGCGTTCGAAAAATGGAACGGCTTCCACAACGACGCCATTAACAGCAAAAGCCTCACTGCTAGGACCCAAGCTCACGTAAGTCTACTAGATTATAAAAGGCTCCTAGTTTCGTATACTGACTTTCATTGCAAACAGAAAACTGTCACCGATGAATCTGAGAACGAGGAATGGCGACAGAAGTATGGTGATGAGGCCCAGAAGGTGATCAGAGCTTGCGTGGATGAGAACGTTCCACACTATGAGTATCTGAAGTCCTTCGCTTTGAAGTTCTAGATTGTTTGGGGATTATTTTAGCCTGCAGTGCCTCAGAGCTTATGATACATAAATGGTACACCAAAGAACAGCATTCCCGGATCTATGCAGTGTAGTACGTTGATACGAGATTGATTGACACGCCCGTCTGCAAAAGCCGTAGTAGTAGCGTTGGATAATTTCATCTCATGCCAGCTCTTAAGACAGCCTATCAGACAGGGACTTTGCGGTCTTCTTTTTGCGTTTCACCGCGTTCTCTTTGTCCATCTTATCCCGGAGAGTTTTCGGTTCTTCTTCCTCTTTAGCTTCCTCTTGAGCACCCTCTTTAATTCGCTCTTGGTTTCCCTCTTGGCCCTCTTCGCCCTCTTCACCCTCTTCACTCTCCTTTTTCCCTACCTCCTCAGCTTCCTGTGGAACTGGTTTATCAACTGGCGCTTCAGCTGGCGCTGGTTGGAAATTAAACCAGCCCTTCACGTCGCTACGGTCGAAACGGTGATGGGTGACGCTGGACGGCCAGCTTTCTGCATAATTCCGGTCCAGGTCGTCTAGCCACCAGATTTTGGCCTTGACAAGGGCCTTGACGCCATCCTCGTCCGTCTTGAGGTTATTCTCATCTTCCGCTGCCAAGTTAAGAAGTTCTTCGGGATTCTCCGTCACGGGCTGCCATATCTTATTGCCCTTACCCAGCCCTCCGAGTACGGCAGCCATGTCGGCGATGGTAGTTGTCTTCATATCATTTAACTTCCTGCCCCTTGTTGTTTTCGTTCGCGGGTAACGTTTACCAGTGTCCTCGTCGTTGGTGTAAAACATATCGTCGTCCCAAGACAGTTGATGAAGCATCTTGCACTCTCGCAGGAGCTGGTATACGCTCCGTCCTACCGCACCGTAGCCTTCAGGGAAACCAATCATGGCAAGGGTCTGCCAGTAATCTTTTCGAAACTTAGAGGGCTTGAGCTTCTTGCCGTTGAAAGAGATCTGCCTTAGCGCTTTGGTCGCCTGGCGAATGTAATATTAGCATGGCCGGACTGGAGAACAAAAGGTACGAGAACCTATATTAAACTAATTCATACTTGAAGGACTGGTTGATGCGAGTAGACGGTAAAACCGTCTATTATGTGGAAGAATATCCATATCTTCTCGCCGTGGCCAGGAGCCTGAACGGATTTTGCAATCTCCGTCCGCCTCGCTGCATCTTTGGCGGAGATCTGGTTGAATCGTATACTCGTTCGCGAAATCCCCAGGGACAACTTAGCGAGTTGCGCTGTTATTGGACTGACCCTTAAAGCCATGGTGAGCTCGTGGGCCAACTGAGGCTGATGTTCGATATTCGATATATTCAATATCCAAGATTTGAAATTTCCGCTGCGATCTAAACTATATCGATAAGATTGATTGGGCAATCGGCCAGTGGCACCGTGACCCACATCGAATATGCCTTACCTAATCAACTAGGTGGGCGTCCTGGGCATCCAAGCTTGAAGTACCCAGGTACCTTATCTTATCTGTCATGCCCCGCGACGGCCTGGATGGCCAGGATCCCATCGCGGGTCCTTACTGAGCAAACCCGGCGCCTGATTGGACAGAGCTTAGAGTTTCGTCAGGCAAGTTTTATGTCAGGTTAACACAGCAGCTGCCCCACTATCTGCCCTACTGGAAGCTTCGCGGAGGTTCTGTAGCCAACACGAAGCTTCCTGGACGTCCGATGATGTAGGCAGGCGCTGCCAGGACTTACCTGAACTTGCCTGGATCCTGCCTGAATCTTGCCTGAAGCCTAAGGAGCTCCCTGGAATATTCATGAGCTGACTGAGCGCCCCAAATTCTAATCCTCTCATCATCATCGCATGTTTCCTCCCCCACTTGTAACAGGCAAGATAAATACAAGTTTCACATCTTGATCCTCTTACGATATTCTCTTCTTCACTTTGAAAAGGAATAAAATAATCTTTCTAGTGATACCCCAAACTCTGAGCTTTTCAGCCAACACATCACTTTAAAACGTGAACGACATCTATTTACATTCACGTCACGATTCACGAATAACGACTCACTACAATTTTCACGATTCATACCTTTCTACCAAACACTACCAGACACACACACAACGATACATCCTCAACTAATACGCCTGAAGGCATACACCCAACATGACTTCACGGATGGAATTTACAGACCGGGGCAAAAAGGCCCTGGAGGATGCTATGACGCTAGCTGAGCAATATGCTCACACCCAACTATTACCCGTCCACCTTGCAGTCTCTCTCCTCGACCCCCCGCCTGACCCTTCCAAGGACCAGCAGAATGCGCCGCCTGGCACTACAAACAGCCTCTTCCGACAGGTGGTAGAGAGAGCACATGGCGACCCTCAACTCTTCGACAGAGCTCTCAAGAAGACATTAGTCCGTCTGCCAAGTCAAGATCCCCCGCCTGAGAACGTATCAATGTCACCTACCTTCCACAACGTCCTTAGAAAGGCGCAAGACCTTCAGAAGACCCAGAAGGACACCTACATTGCAGTCGACCACCTTATCACTGCGCTTGCGGAAGACGCTTCCATCGCAAATGCTCTCAAGGAAGCCAATATTCCCAAACCCAAGCTGGTCCAGGAAGCTGTCCAAACTATTCGCGGGACGAAGAGAGTGGACTCCAAAACCGCTGACACTGAGGAGGAGCATGAGAACCTCTCTAAGTTTACCATCGACATGACAGATATGGCAAGAGAGGGTAAGATCGATCCTGTCATCGGCCGAGAGGAAGAGATCAGACGTGTTATTCGAATCTTATCTCGACGAACAAAGAACAATCCAGTACTGATCGGTGAGCCCGGTGTCGGTAAAACTACAGTCGTCGAAGGCTTAGCTCAACGAATTGTCAACGCCGATGTACCCGACAATCTTGCCGCCTGCAAATTGCTTTCCCTCGATGTCGGCGCTTTGGTTGCCGGAAGCAAATACCGTGGTGAATTTGAGGAGAGAATGAAGGGTGTGCTCAAGGAGATCTCGGAGTCGAAAGAAATGATTGTTCTCTTTGTCGACGAAATTCACCTTCTGATGGGTGCCGGTGCTTCGGGTGAGGGTGGCATGGACGCCGCTAACTTACTCAAGCCCATGCTCGCTCGTGGACAACTGCACTGCATTGGTGCAACGACCCTTGCCGAGTATCGAAAGTACATTGAGAAAGATGCTGCTTTTGAGCGACGATTTCAACAGGTTATCGTCAAGGAGCCCAGCATTCCCGAGACTATCTCCATTCTTCGAGGTCTCAAGGAGAAGTACGAGGTTCACCATGGTGTCAGCATCGCCGATGCTGCTATAGTCGCAGCCGCCAATCTTGCCGGACGATACCTCACTACTCGTCGCCTGCCAGATTCCGCTGTCGATTTAATTGATGAAGCTGCCGCGGCAGTCAGAGTCGCTCGAGAATCCCAGCCTGAGATCATCGACTCTCTGGAGCGCAAGTTGCGACAACTCAAGATCGAAATCCATGCTCTATCTCGAGAGAAGGATGATGCTTCCAAGGCTCGACTCCAGGCTGCCAAGCAGGATGCCGAAAACGTAGAGGAAGAGCTGAGACCGCTTAGAGAGAAGTACGAGCGCGAACGAAAGCGTGGTAAGGATATTCAGGAGGCCAAGGTGAAACTTGACCGACTGAAGGTCAAGATGGAGGATGCAGCTCGAATGGGTGATCACGGCACAGCAGCGGACCTTCAGTACTACGCTATCCCCGAGCAAGAGAATGCGATCAAGGAACTTGAGCGCCAGAAGGCCGCTGCCGACGCTGCTCTAAGCCAGAATGATATCGGTGGTGCTATGATCACAGATGTCGTCGGACCGGACCAGATTAACGAGATTATCTCACGTTGGACCGGCATTCCTATCACTAAACTGAAGACTTCCGAGAAGGAAAAGCTCATCCACATGGAGAAGGTGCTCGGAAAGATCGTGGTAGGACAGAAGGAAGCAGTTCAAGCAGTTGCTAACGCCATTCGACTACAACGATCAGGGCTAAGCAACCCCAATCAGCCACCTAGCTTCCTCTTCTGCGGTCCATCCGGAACTGGAAAGACCTTGCTAACTAAGGCTCTTGCGGAGTTCCTCTTTGACGATCCGAAGGCCATGATCCGGTTTGATATGTCCGAATACCAGGAGCGCCACTCACTCAGCAGAATGATTGGTGCACCACCCGGATATGTCGGCCACGACTCCGGCGGTCAATTGACCGAAGCCCTCCGCAGGAAACCGTTCTCCATCTTGCTATTTGATGAAGTTGAGAAGGCGGCCAAGGAGATCTTGACTGTCCTTCTACAATTGATGGATGACGGTCGTATTACCGATGGCCAAGGACGTGTCGTCGATGCCAGGAACTGCATAGTCGTGATGACCTCGAACTTGGGCGCGGAGTACCTAGCTCGCCCTAGTGGTCGTGACGGCAAGATCGACGCCACAACTCGAGAATTAGTCATGAATGCCCTGCGCAACTACTTCCTACCCGAGTTCCTCAACCGTATCAGCTCTACTGTCATCTTCAACAGACTTACGAGACGCGAGATCCGCAAGATTGTGGACCTTAGACTCTCCGAGATACAGAAGAGATTGAACGACAATGATCGCAACGTTCGCATTGAGGTCACGGAAGAGGCCAAGGACTATCTGGGCAATGCGGGATACTCCCCTGCCTACGGTGCTAGACCTCTTGCCAGACTTATCGAGAAGGAAGTGCTTAACCGCCTAGCAGTCCTAATTCTTCGCGGCGGCATTAAGGACGGCGAAGCGGCGAGGGTTATCATGGTCGGTAACAAATTACAGGTCTTAGCCAACCACACCGACAGCGAGTTGGGAGACGGTGAGGACGACGAGGACATGCTGATTGATGAGGATGATGCAGTGGAGGATATCGCACCGAATGACAGCATGGATGAAGACATCTACGACTAAGGGGACGTCGAGATTGACAATGAATAACGAATGATGAATGATTGTGCATACGGTAAAGGAGGAATGTACATCGAGGCGCGGGATTCTTAGGGGAATGGATTATGTGTGTACCTTATCCTACGAGGTGGAGATTCAAAAGTTGCAAGGTTGGTGGCTTCTAGGTCGGTATGGCGTTTGCGCCGGGCAACAGGGTAACTACATAGGGTTTTAGTACCATGGCTAATAAAGCAAGATTGGCTTTATAATATTAATCAATGTGATTAATCAACATATATTGGTATTCTTAGATCTTTGTGAATGAATAACTATGTGATCCGTGATTCGAGATTTGCTAGTAATACACTTGCCCCTTCATCAAAACGCGAGCGGTACGCAGAAGGTCCGCCGACACGACCTTGCCATCCTTGAACGTTGCCCCGATTTCGACCGTCCCGCTGGGATGTCCGATGACAACCGGACCGTCCCCGTCCCTCGCCCCGCGAACCTGCGCGGGCAACGTCCCGGGCATATTCGCCGCGGCGCCCAGGCACAGTGCTAGGGTCAGAGGCACCGCCTTATGCGCCTGCCCCATCGACAAGGCGAGACACCGTATATCCACCTCCGCGGAACCTGGCGAAGGGAAGAGCAGCACGATCTTAGGCACGCTTTCGATCTTGGGGTCCAGTCCCATCGCCACGGCGCCCGCTTGCCGTATCGCTTCTAACCTGGCCTTGAGCGCCGCATCCGCCTCGACGGCTTGTGGCGTGAAGGTCGTCGGGTCCGCGTCCGCGTATCGGGTCCCGAGGTCGGGTATCCGGACGAATACTCCGGGATTCGAGATATCGACCAGCGAGGCGTCGATCTGGCTCCCGTCCGCCAGGGTTAGGACGTCGACCGCGTTGCCGGTTGGTAATGCTTTGCCCGTCTTGGCACCACCCGGGTCGAGGAAGCTTAGCGTGATCCGCGATTGCGTTCCGGGAACGCCGTCCATTGCGTAGTTGCCTCGGGGACAGTACAACGGCGGGTCGCCGCTGACGCGGAAGCGGGAGTGGATGATTTTGGAGGTGTTTGTGTTGAAGACGCGGACCAGCGCTTCGCGGTACTCCTCCCCTTTTCCATCCCCATCCTGCCCTTTCACAACCACAACCTTCCCCTCCCGCCCCCGAACCAACCCCTCATCCCAAGCCACCGGCCCCACCGCCGCCGACATATTCCCGCAATTCCCCGCGAAATCCAGCGCCCCGTCGCGGACCCCGACCTGCACGAACGTGAAATCGACGTCCGCGTCGTCCCCGCGCGCCGACGGCGAGGGTTCCAGCACGCATACCTTGGACGTGGAACTCGCGCCGCCGCCCATGCCGTCGAGCTGCCTCGCGTGGACCGGGTCCGGCGCGCCCATGGCCGCGGGCAGGACGGTGTGCCATTGCTCCTGAAGCGGGGGGAGGTGCTGGCGCTGGATAATCAGGCCGTTGGATGTGCCGCCGCGGGCGAAGAGGGCGGGGATGCTGCGGTTGGCGTTGGCTGCGGAGTCCGTTGGGGGTGGTGGCGACGGGTTGCGGCTTCCTGCGGCGGCTGGGGCCGTGTGGATTTTGCGGCGTAGTGCCCGGGTGGGGGTGGAGAGGAGGGACCGCATTCGGGAGGGGGTAGGCACGGCACAAGGAGATTGCTCTTGCCTGATAGATACCTGGATGTCACAAAGCTTTATTGAGGCGTTGTTGAATTACAATCAAGATGCAATATCATTTGTCTTGAAAGAATACAGTGATGTTCGGTATACTTGCATAGTAGGGGGGAGGGGTTCTTGATTTATCCCCTGTAAGCGATCAGCGCTCGGCAGAAGTATCCCGCTAAATGACATCCATCACTTTTGCGCTCTTAGGAAATATTAGGGGAAAAGGGGTCATTTCATGGCGTAAGTTTGGACTTTTTTTTTGTATTTTTTAACCCCCTTTTTTTTGTTTTTGAGAGCCGCGGGAAAATATGAAAATGACTCGTTTCGCCACTAAAAAGCTCATTCAAGTGTTCCAAGAGCCTCCAAACGACCAGAGTCTTTCCACATGAAGTTACGATATGAGCCACGGGATTGGAGTACTCGTGGAATACGAAGGACGTCGTACTCCTCAAAAAGATCCACTACGGGCTCAGATGAGGTCGTGCATGTAAAGAGAAACTTCAAAGCCGCGGCATGCGTCCCACCGTGGGTTTCTAGTAGTGAGTGTAATATGTATCTTAATGCACTCCTCGTCTTCTCTTCCATGAGAACATCGACGCCCTCAAACACGAGCACCACGATGGAAGTGGCCGGTAACCTTTTGATCAACTTCCCAAATACCTTACACGTGCTTTCGATGTCGTCGTTGGCGAGGTCGCTCTGACAGGCTTGGAGTTGTTTCGTGCCAAATCCATGGAATCGGTTAATTAATTGTGACAATAACGCAGCGATAGGCCCTTTAGGTCTTCCAAAGACATCCCGTCGTCTGTCTCGGTGCCGGCTACAAAAGAAAGCTAGGGGTGTGATAAACACGTTGGAAGTGTTGTTACCATGATCAGCTTGCTCGGAAAGCTGCAACATGGATTCCACGATCTGAGCGCAGACGTACGAGATCTCGCAAGCGCTTGACACTGCACAACCTCCATCTACGAGTAACACGGATGATTTGTTTAAGGACATCCATGCTTGTAGTTGAGGGTGGTTTTGCATCGCTAGGATCCGTTCCGTGTCCAACCCGTTACCCGAGCCCTTGCGAATGTTGAGAAGGCCGCTACAGTCGTTGGGAAGAAGATACTCGTCGAAGGCTAGTTTCTGGAGTAAGTTATTGCGAATTTCTTCAGGGCTTGGTGTGTCTTCATATAAGGTTAACTCCAATTGACGTTGTCTTCGTGCACCCCGTTCCATGACTAATACATCTGTGAGAAAAGATTATCCTCTATTTAGGTGGTTGATTACCTAGGTACTCACTTCCACGATGCGGCTGCTGTAAGAATTGACACATGCTCTCAAGGGCCTCGCAGCGATTCCGTATCAAGGCCAGATCCTCGCTATTTTCGCCAAGTTTGTACGCCATCCAATGTTGTAATCTCATCGACTCGTCGTGACGCAAGTTTCTTAGAAACAGCGCATGTTTCTCGAAACGCGCAGCAGCCCTCTTGATATCAGCCATTCGATCTTTGAGGCCTTCTGCGAAACCTTGAGGGGTAAAGAGAAACTTCATCCCAGTAACTGCAGAATGGATTAGCGACATCTTCGTAACAAGTGAGTATATTCTATGTTTATTTACCAACGGGGTTCTTGACAAACCATAGGAGTATATGTTGCATCAGGTGGAAAAGGGCTACATATAAAGCCGCACTTCGCCTATGTAACTCCTCATCTTCCGCGTGGATATCAATATACACCGCGTGGTCATTGATGATGTATGGGATCTCTTCAATAGCCTTGTAGACGTCCTCGCGATAGTTATGAGAGCGCTCTAAAGCTGTAAATACAGCTTTCAACCCTCCACAAAGTACGGAGCTGCATGGTACTTCGCTTGGAACCATAGACACAAAAGTCGAGCCAATCTCTGCTTTCTGGCATAACGCACGGAATGCCCACTTGATCTTGCCAGAAAATCCACCCGTGTCGTGGTCTTTAGTTGACAAGGTATCCAGCGTGTTGCATGCTGATACCATCGAATTTTCGACATCTATCCAATTGTTCAGCTCGCCTAGCTTCAGTAATGGTTGATCCCTTTTCTTTAAATATTTATTAGCCGTTAAGATCAACTCGTTTGCCGGCGCGAAACATGGGCTATATAATTCTTTATAGCTATTCGCGCATATATGTTAGCAAGCGTATTTCTGAGGTGGGTTCGAATAAGGGAGTATATAGGGGAGCGGACTTGCTTGTGGGTAGAAGAGTTTGGTGCATCTAGCTGACGGCCAGCATTGCTGCGGTAGATAACCCCGGAGCCTGCCGCGCCATTTAATGATGGATGTCGGCTCCCATCAAGAACCATTACCGCAAACTCGGGGACTTCTGGATGAGGGTCACTACAAGAAGAGGAATCCATGTTATCCTGGACATTCCAGCTCAAATGAAAACAAACTGGCAAAGAAAGGCTGAGGTCGGTCTAACGGCAGAAACCGACAGCAGCGGTCGGACGACGAATCCCAAAAATGTACGCTGCGTTGCCTCTTGCACTTTGAAAATCCAAGGCAAAGCCTTTCGCTTACAAATGTTGGTTATGAGCAAGCTAAATATAGACGCGCTGTATTTGGCCCCCAACATGGCAGGTACCTTATATAGGGGGTAGCCTGCATGAGATATTTTAGAAATTTTCTTATATTTCAGCAAGGAATTTTATCCTAGTCATTACGCAATTACACGATGGCGGGGGCATCGGCTCCATCTATCGAAGATGCTGTCGTCACGATAGCATCCAAGACTACAGCCGAAAGTACTCTTGACACAAGTTCTGTCAATGTAGAAGCAAGCAGCCAATATAACCAGCTACCCTCAAAAGAAGATGCTCGAAAGGAAGACTACATAAAGAGTCCGCTGAAAGGTACTAATGATGGTGTACCTGCGTCGGCAGCCAGCACTGCAGCCGGTGATCGTCCTCAACCTCGTTCTGATATAGCATATGTGGTCAAGGTCCTCGAAAAACATCTTCTCGCGGCAAAAAGGGAATTGATTACTATAAAGTCGGATGATCCGAGTGCTGAGTACGTAAATCCGATCCCGGATGAACATGAGTTGCGCCTTGAGGACAGCGTTAAGAACTTAATAGGGATGAGGAAGCCTACCAGGGGAAAATTGAGCGTCTACCAATGTCAGATTGGATGACCGAAAAATCTGTCAAGCCGAGCCTTCCTACGGTTGCCTTCAGAGCGTATTATCGCGAAGTGCCAACATCAGCGAAGCGGACAACCAAAGACTCGTCGACTAATCCGGACTCCCTCCTGGGTTCTGAGCAACCGCAGAGGATCGTTATTTCATCGCCGTACCTAGAGACAGAATTAGTTAGAATTACTAACATGTCACTAAGCGCATCACCTATCCTGTGGGTATCCATATCGAAAATTATACACATATCTAGGGATGTTCGCTGACGTTGAGTTTCTGATTTAGCATGAAACCACCTTATAAGGTACGCATCCTCCCTCGTCTTTCTCTAAAATAGCCGCGGTAACTGATTAATAAGGCATTTGTGCAATTTTGGCCAGAGATCAAAAACCGGCTAGCCAAGTTGAAGGCCGCGCTGCTGAGACTAGAAACTCGAGAGACGGCTAAGTCGGACTTGGATCCAGCTAGCAAGAGTGAAACAGCAGAGGAAGTACTGGGTGACACTGACGTAGACAATCCTACCGAAAGGGATAATAGCGACATTGTAGGAAAAGATGAACCGTGGCTTCGCTGGAGGATCTCGCATCTTGAGGTCCTTCATGACTTTATCGAAGCCGAATTAAGCCACCACCTCACGGTTCGAGCGAAAATCGAAGACGGTTCGCTCGAATCTATAGCCTTTAGTGACTTATGGCAATTGTTCAAGCCCGGAGATATTCTGTACTCTAAAGAATACGGGTTTGAGCAACTTTACAAGGCATATGCGATAACAGGTGGTCAGATACTGTTGAGAAACCGAATGGCTTACGAGGTAGCCAATATGAGAAGGAATGCTGAAGCTCGACGCGAGCGAAAATCGCGCGATCGCACATGGGGGACCCGTTCAAGTGGAAGTGATATTGACCAAAACTTGAGTGATAGCGAGGATGATTGGAATGCGTATCCGAGAGGTGCTACTATTGGAATTGGTACCTGGACATCCCTCACGATTGATTGCTTCAGTATCGGCATGGATAGCACACGCCTCGGGGCGATCGACGAGTACAAGCGCATACAATGGTATATCGGAAAGAAAGAGCTGAGCCATCTTCCTGTGATCCCATTGCGCTTCGTACCGGATAAAGACGACGTAGTCAAAAGACTCGAGGCACGTGGCTTAAGATGTGCGCAATGCTATGGCCATAAGAAATACGACGGATTCACATACGATGCTAGGGGTCGTACCAAGAGAGAACGGCTCCAGGGTGACGTGTTCGTGGATTTCGAGGAATATTATCGTAGGAAAAGGGCTAGCGAGCCAAGACTCGGTGTTCTTCGTAGAACAACGCCGGATCGGTCCGAGGTTGAAGAAAGGAGGCAAATTGATACTGATCTGTTCTCGATGGACCACGAAGTCGACCAGCAAAAAAGCGATGTCTGTCTCGCCTCCGTGCTACTAGAGACGCAGCCGAAAAGTCGAGAAGAAGTGGCTCAAGATCCAGAACAGTTACAACTGATGCGCCATCAAGTCATTGCATTCGTATTTAGGACTCGTAGATGGGGTGCGTTCCCTATATCAACACAAGGGTTCTGTTACTAATTACATCACAGTTCGACTCGAAATTGATTTCATCGAGGACATTGATAAAAGCATCGAAGTTCGCAATAGCGGTTTTGACGACTTGGTCATCTTGCCTAAACATAGGCGACTTCTCGTTTCTCTTGTCGACAGCCATTCCTCCAGTGCTCATGAAGAACGAAAAAACAGTCAGAAGGAAAGTAAGCCTCTGAATCAGCTTGATCTAGTGCGCGGGAAGGGGTTGGGTTTGATAGTACTACTTCATGGACCGCCTGGGACGGGGAAAACAAGCACAGCCGAGACTATTGCTGCCTACACCGGCAGACCGCTCTACTCAATTACGTGTGGTGATCTCGGGAACAACGTCGAGCAGGTATTGGAAAAACATACAAGTCGAGCTGACAAATGGGGCTGTGTGCTCCTCTTAGATGAGGCAGATGTCTTCCTTATGCGACGTGACTTCGTAGACACGATACGAAACTCGCTTGTTTCAAGTAAGCTGAGTTCTTATACACTGCCATTACACTACAACTACTTCACTATATACGATAGAAACTGCTGACATCCCGACTAGTTTTCCTCCGAACCCTTGAGTACTACTCAGGAATCTTGTTCTTGACTACCAACCGCGTAGGCGTCATCGATGAAGCATTTAAATCTCGAATACACATTGCCCTGAGATATCCAAAAGTGAAATTGCCAACGACACTTGCAATTTGGAAGGGGTGTCTCGACCGGATCGAGAAGGACAACGAATTCAGAGACATAAAGATCAAATTCGACCAGGACGAGCTCATGGAGTTTGCGGAAGAACACTACCACAAACACCACAAGAAGAACGCAACATGGAACGGTCGTCAGATTCGAAATGCCTTCCAAACAGCGATCGCGATGGGACAGTACGAGCGCACGCGCAAGATCAACAAGAAAGGGTTCACAGAGGAAGAGGCCTTAGCCACGGGCAAGAGCAAATGGAGGACGATCGAACTGACCAAGAGTAATCTCGAGACGATCGCCGAGACCGCGCAGGATTTCGACAAATATATGAAGTCGGTCCACAAGTTCCCAGATGTCGAGATAGCAAAGGCGGACCAGTTGCGAGATGACGATTTCAGCGAGTCGTCCGAGGAAGAGGAGTATCTCATACAGAAGGTGCCCATCAAGCAGAGCTCGTCGCGGAGCAAGAAAAGTGTGTCAGCCTCGAAGAAGTCAGGGAAATCCGTCGCCACGTCATCCAAAGCAAAACAGAAGGATAAAAGCTCGTCTGAGGATAATGTACCCGCTGAGGGAGCCGCTAAAAGCAGCTCGGAACAGGAGACGACAGATGATGATGATTAATGATAGAAATGAAACTTGTTTCTGATTTTCGAGTCCTGTTTATTTACTGCCATACAGATTTCAACACAAGATTCATTCATTAATATATCATTTTAGATCACAAAGTTATGTTATGCCGGTCGTAACAGCGTACAACGTGGTGATAAAAGGCAGCGAAGAAAAAGGGGTTAAAAGTGGGGAACAACACGAAGAATAGCAGTAATAGCAGAAGCAAAGGGGAGCATAGAAGTCGTACCTGGCTCTAAAATAGACGTCTTATAATGCACATACGATTCATGAACCATGATAAAGCATGAGGAATTCATTCTTATCTTATTAAGCAACGCAAGTCTTGCGTACATGTGTTGCCGAAATAGCTCAAGCTCTCAGTGACGCCGAATTTGCCCTTTTTTTTAATGTACAGGAAAGTGACTGCGTTACTCCTCTTCGTCGTCATCCGCAGCGTCTGCCATGCTCGTGTCTGCAGCACCTGCGCCAGCTTCGCCATCGTCAGCGCCCGATCCTTCGTTCCCCTCGACTTCTGCAGAACCGCCGGCTTCATTTTCGTCCTCGTCACTATCATCAAGAACTCTGCCGCGGCGGCCGCTTCTAGCCGATGCGCGGGTGGTAGTCACCTCCTCTTCTTCCTCTTCGTCCTGACCAGCTGCATTGTCCACATCCATCCGGTTCTCATTCTCATCGGCTCTCGACACGTCGTCAGCATCCGAAGCAGGAGTGCGATGATGCTCGATGGCTTGGTCAGCGCGATCTAGGGCATCATCATCATCGGAGCTGTCGACCACAATCTCCGCAGATTTGTATTTAGTGTTCGACTCTTTCTTTGTGGCGAGCTTTCGCTTCTTCTTCGGCTGGCGTTCTTCTTCAGACTCGTCGTCATCAGCCTCTTGCTTCTTTCGCGAACGACCCTTTGGTTTGGCCTTGCCGCGCGCCTTAGCCTTTCCTTTTCGGCTGACCTTTGCACCTGTCTCACTATCTGTAGTCATATCGGCCTGCATCCGCTCCATATCTTCCTTCTCTCGTTGCTCAGCTAGTTCCCTATCACGAGCCGCGATTTCCTCGCGCTCTTTGCGGATCTTCTCTTGTCTCTCACGCTCCTGATCAAGAGCTTTCTGTCGTTCCTCTTGACGACGTTTCATTTCGGCCTGCCGCTGCTCTAGAGCAGCCGCTAGCTTCTCCTTGTTCTTTTCTTCGTACTCTTTCTGCTGCTCAATTTGACGCGCAAGCTGCTTGCGTTGCGTGTTGCGAGCCATATTTGCTCGCTGCTCGAGATCCGCCTTAGGGTACGGGGGTTGTGGATGAGTCGCGATCTCATCTAAGGCAACAATAGCCGCCTCAAGGCCTTCCGAAGCTTCCTCAAGCTGAGCTAGGGTGCGTTGAGTCTCGGCTACATTAATTATGTACTGGACTTGCTGAACCTGAACGAATGCGACATTGAACTTGAAGTGGATCTGATCCGGAGAGACTCGAAGGGCCTATGAGACTCGTTAGTTTTGCACGCCATGAGCCTCGTCGCATTGTTCTCACCTCTCTTGCGAAATGTAGAGCGTTCTTGTATGCGTCTAGATTTCGCTCATGTCTGCCTCTGTTCAGCCACGTCCGCCCGAGACATGCTAGGATACCGGGATCGTCTTGTTTGCCCTCCTTTGACAATGCGGTCTCGTAGCTCTCGATAGCTTTGGAGAATTGACGCAGTTCTGCATAGATGTGTCCAATGTTGATATAAACATTGGGATCCTTAATTGTCTCACGCACCTTCAAGAAGATAGGAAGCGCTGATTTATAATCCTTCCTATCCTCAACAAGTGCAATAGCAATCCCCTGGGCGGCATGGGCATTCTTTGGATCTAGCTGTAGCGCTTTGTCAAAGAACTCGACGGCACGTGTATATCCAGCTGATCGCTTTTGCTTCTCTTGCTCGGTATCTCGACGCATTTCACGAGCAGCCATCATATACAGATTGCCCATGCCGATAAGTGCATAACGGTCATGCTTGTCGTGGTGTTGGAGAGTGTGCTTGTAATGCCGCAACTCTGGATCTTCATTGACGTTACCTGACCTTTTCCGAGAGCTCACTCGGCCGAGGTACCAACCATACAAGGCACGAACTTCAAGATCAGTCGAATTTTCTTGTTGTAGCTGCGCGACAGCGTCCGGACCTTCCTTGTTAGGATTCTTCCGTAATTTGATATATGCCAGTCGAGCCTTGGCATCTATATAGTTGTTGTGCCGGATCAGTAACTTCTCGTACACATCAACTGCTTCATCCGTAAGGCCCTGTGACTCGTAGCTTCTGCCGAGATTGAAGCTGATAGTGGTAACTAGAGAATCCGTGTCTGTGTCTTCACCCTTTTCGCTAATTCGCATGCACGAACTCAAGGCAGCTTCAAACATCTGGCTTGCTAGGTCGTGCTTCTCGGCCTGGGAGTAGAAGCAACCGATGTTATTCAGTAATTGAGGGGGAAGATTCTTCCGGAGCGCATTTCGCAGAGCTGACTCGTCCTCGGTATCAGTCGGGTGTTCTGAGGGAGGAATTTGATCTAATTCAAGCTGTTCAACCTGCAAAAGACATTCAAGGGCCTTGTCCGGGTGATCACTCTCGTATAGGCGAGCCAAGTTCAGCAAGATTGCGGAATCTGGTGCTAGATTCTTCTTGGGGTCTTTCCAAGCTGTGCGTGCATGTTCCAGATACTCTATGGCTTTCCGCATCTCTGCAGATTTATCCTCTTTAGGAGTGACATACTGATTGGCGAATACTTCTTCAGCGTACAGGGTGCCCAAGAGAATCATGGCCTCGTAGTTCCGTTCATTTTTGCTAGAAGATTGAATGATCTTCTCTAGACGAAGCTTTGCCTCGCCCAGGTCATTGTTCAGAACAGAGAGCTGGGCGACACCGAATTTGGCGGGTAGATAGCCTCTATCGAGACCACCTCTAGCTTCGTCAGCGCGGCGGTAATAATCGGCGGCGATGTCGTAATTGCCACTGTAATGCTCTTTTCGGGCGAGAAGATACCAGCCATCACTTGCAATCGCGTTAACGTCGGTGAACTGAATAGCCTTGTTGGCGAGCGAGTCTACATAGGCGAGGTTCTTCGTCGACAAGAAGTAGCTGGCAAATGTTGCGCACGTCAACGGTTGGTTCTTGTCGATCTTGAAGGACTTCTGTGTATACTCGTTCATGGCCTTCTTGTACAGTCTAATAAACTCAGGGCTATTCGTAGGGACCCGACTGCTAGCGTCTAGGTAGTACAAACCTAGGAGGATGTTGGCCGCCTTCGACTCTGGGTTGATTTCTAGACTTCGCTCCCAGGCTTGCTTCGCATCATCCTTGTATCTGAGCTGCCATAGGCAACATCCGATACCAATTCGGGGGTCCGGATCTACCAAATCAGGCATCTTCCTCAAAACACTCTGATAAACCTCCAGGGACTCCTTGTAGTTGCCCAGGCCAAATAGGGCTCTTGCTCTTCCAAGTGAAGCCAACATGTTCTTGCCCTGTGAAACCTTACTCGCTTGGTCGAAAGCCTTCAAGGCGCTCTTCAGGAGATCAGCCTTATCTTTTTCATGGCCAGCCCTATCCCCTTCGCGGCCAACCCCGGGGTTTTTAGAGGGCGTCTGTAGCGACGCCTTAAGAAGCTGCAGTACACCGCGGGCCAGAAATAGAGGTGGGAATGCCGGGTTTATGCGTGATGCGTCATTGAGGGAAGAGGTGGCTAATTGAAGGTAAAAGTCCTTCGTCTTGGCTTCGGTTTGGACATCGCCGTCGGGTAGAACACGAGGAGCTTCCCGACTTTTCCAAAGATACATCCAACACAAACATGTGATTATGCTGAGTTTCTCTTTGGGGTTGTTGTCTTGCATGGCGTTGCCGCCACGGTTGAGCATCTCGATGGCATGGTCAATCTTCTTCTGCTTCGCATATGCAAGAGAAACCGTCATCCAATAAGTGCGGGCAGCTTGTTCATTCTCGAATAAGGTGCAGAGTTCGGTCGGATCGTCCACCAGGTCCTCCAAGTCAATCTCGACGGCCTCATCTTCTTGGTCTCCTTGCACGGGAATGTCGATGGCGCTAGGGATGTCGGCGAATCGCTTGCTTATCGGCGCGGGAACCGAGTCGCCATTGTCGCCGCCATTCGCATGGCCGTTTCGCGTCGCCGACATAGTGGAAGTGTGTAGGTAATAAAGATAGACGGATTTGATGAGGTTAATGCGGGTTAATGCAGGTTAATGCGACCGTGCAGATTCGGTGATGTTGTTAATGAAGGGTGAAGTGTAGCTTAGATGACAAGCGCGATGCGCGTCGAGGTCAAAAATAAGCCTTGTGGTTGGAGACGTTAAAGATCATCTCCAGCAGAAGGCATGATCAAAAAGAAACTTTTGGAAATCGTTGAGGGAGAAGACGTTTCCAAAGTGACATGCACAAAATGAATAGTATAGAAATGGAAGTCGCGGTATGCTTGTCAATGACACTGCCAGGAAGGTGCAAGGCTTGAGTATTTTGCGGATGAGGCTGACAAGATACTGAAAGAATGGAAGGTACCCGGGACCCACCCATAAGCTTACTGCTTCCAAATACCACCCTGAAACTGACTAGCGTGAACATTTTAACAGGGATATATTATTGGTCACTGCTTGACAAGCATTAAGCTGCCTTGACAGCTTCAGAGAGGTCCACTAAAGCGCTGGTAACCGATAAGATTACGATAAGTACGTATAAGTTCGCGCTCAGGGAACATTTTTTAAACGTTCTTCACATTCATCCATAGTATCACGACGAAGTGAGATACATTTCTAGCAAATCTACTTCACCTAGTAGGCAATATTACAGATGGTTTAACCTTGGAGATTTGTATAACTAACTGAAATGGATTGAGCAGATTGAGTAACAACCTTAGGTAGGGACCTAGGTATCCAAGTACAAACGGCAAGGGCTCTCTAGAGATGATGTCCAATCAGAACGCGTTTTGGGACTGGTAATGTTAACGTGCATGTGGACGGCATGATTATTAAACTTCAATTATTCATTATTCAAAATGGGAATGAGCTTCCCTCTTTTTCCTTACAATCATCAAATGCTGCCTCCAAGATAAACTTTGTTTTATTGATATTGAGCTATTTACCCATTTAAATCAAACTAACTCAAGTCATGGTTGAATCACATCATCTTTTTTATACCTGCGTATTTGGTACATGAGACTTGAGTATTATTATGCTGTTCCAGAACTACAATTTGAGTATATTAATTCAATATTCACCCTTCAGGATGTAGGATCATGATCCATTATCAGTACATATGTGAAACTTACCGTGGACCATCGTTGAGTGTTCCCGTAAACGGTGCCGGGTTGTACATCGGATCCGGACCCGGATCCGCGCACCGACATACTACCTAGACATATCGGACTTCCGAGTCAAGTACGAATTGTCAGCTGTGTTTCAAGAACTCCAGTCTCCACCAGATCCGCTTCAGTGTTACTTGAACAGGTAAACTGTTTGTTTAGGTTTAAGAGGAACCAGGAACAGAAACCTCGTCCTGCAATCCTCGTTCCACCTTTACTTCCATGATGGTCTTATAATTATGACCCCTAAACCACCTCGAGTGCTCTTGTCCTTTTTCCCACAGTCAAAAAAATCATCTCAATCTTTAATTTCTCAAATTACATGATCTCCTCTACCTTGTCCCATGTCTAACTCCATTAGGACTCGTATATTTCCCTTCGTCTCAGTTGACGTGGTTATTCATCATCTGGTGTCTCCCTAACCACTACTTTCCCTTCTATCTTGTAATACGAGGAAATAAGCAGACAATATGGCTAAAGACGCCGTGACCCCTACTTTGATCACTATCATATTCATCCTCTTCACTGGCCTCTATGGGTTCGTGAAATTCTCCTATGAGAAGGGTCATGCTGATGCTGTATGTTGCATACTCCAGACATATAGCATATACCAAAGCAGACTAACATAAAAAGGCTCACGTCAATATAATACCTACCACGACGGAAATCAGTCCTTCGGTTCTTCCCATACCTACGCCGGCTGATCACGATAATATCGGTCTTAAGAATTCGACCAGGCCGCTCTTCACCTACGTGTACACCGAATCTCCGAATGCTCGGATGAACTTGATATTTTTTCTTAGTAACGGTTTACGTAAGTAGTCCTTATATATAGCAAGCCCACTAATCATATATACTACGTATGCATATCAGGAGAATAAGTTGTACCCAAACTCTGAGGCTGGCAATTACTAACTGCGTTGGCCATAGATGGTGCTGCTGATTTCATTTTCATTCTCAATGGACCCACAGATGCCGCCAATTTGATCCCCGACAGGACCAACATTCAAGTTGTTTCGCGATCAAATGAATGCTCGTATCTAACAGCGCATAGCGAGGTGCTGCGAAAGGATGGGCTGTGGAAGAAGTACAACCGATTCATCATGCTTAATGCCGAAGTTCGGGGACCTTTCATGCCATTCTGGAGCAGGAGCTGCTGGAGTGATGTATTCATAGATCGAATCACTGAAGAAATCAAGGTAAATTCTCTGTGCTTTTGAAAACCGGGCCTTGCTGATATAGCTTTTCTAGCTTGTTGGTATGAAGGTAACTTGTTTGCCTTCCTTCCATATTGAGTCGATGGTTTGGGCTACAGACACGATTGGCATGGAACTCCTTCTAGATCCACCCAAAGGTTCATCAGTGTCTGATACACTAAACGAAAATCAGGATCAAGTAGTTGCTTCAGGAGGTCTCTCCAGCAAGACGAAAGAGGTTGTCTACAGTGAAATTGAGGCTACAAGGATGATCATGTCCGCAGGTTACAAAGTTGATATCCTAATGCCATCGTTCCCAAGGATCGAATACCACGAGGAAATTTGCGCCAAGGGCTCAGCTAAAGACGTTGCTTTTGGCCAGCAGGATAACATCCATCCGTACGAGACGGTGTTTGTCAAGACGAGCCACGATACCGACTCGACCACCGTCGCTCGACTCACAGATTGGCACCAGTCCCGTGTCATAAACGGTAGTTGGGATGTCTGTCATTAAGATTTTCGAGACCATTGAACCTGAGGAATTGACGGAGATGATTGTGATACCAACAGCACAATACACGACAATTCTGAGTAGATATCCATTGTAAGACGCGATTGCTGACAAATGGAGGTTTAATCGGCCGAGCAACTGCGTAACACGGAATCGTGTTTGTTTCAATACGGACATTCTCCCTATGTGAAACAGGTACATAGTTAGCATAATCATATCATTCTCTCCTCTCACGATCTTAACGAAAATCAAGAGAGCTCCTATCTGTTTGTTCATACAAAGCTAATTCTAGAATCTTGGACTAGGCTTTCTCTCCATAGCTCCTCTCTAATTTCACTAGTTCGGTATCGTTCCTGTCATGCATCACTCTAGCCTGGAGAAGGAGGGGATTACGCCCTGCAAGACGAATTCCACCCCTCCCTCCCCTAATTTCATAAGAGCATCACTGATTTCTCGTAAAGGGCATATTGTTGGAAAACAACAATGCATTGCTTTTCTACAGTTGTCGCTATATGCTACTATATGGTATTTTGATAGTTGATGCTAGGAGGCCCACCATGCGTCGCACCCATATCTAACGCCGTCAACCCCTTTTCCCCTCTTTCCACCACCCAATGCTTAAACCCATATCATCACTAGGTACTATATATACCCTAACACCTTAAAGGAACATGTTAAACCCATCCCCCTTCGACTGTCCCGGCGCCGTGTAATCCACGCCTCCAACACTCGTCAAATCTTTCTCGAACGCGTTCTGTATCCGCGCCACCTGTTCCATCTGCTTCAGATCCACCTTCACGCCGTCGAACGCGGCGAGGCTCTCTGCGGCTTTGATGATATTCTTGATCTGACGGCCGTTCATCTCGTGCCTGGCGAGGCTCTCGAGCCCCCTCTCGTCGATGTCGACGCCACCGGGCACGCGGCCGCAGAGGGTGCGCCAGACGCGCAGGCGGGACGCGAAGCCGAGGTCGGTGTAGCGGATGGGCACGTGGATGCGGGACTTGAAGCCGTCGTCGAAGGTGCCGACGCGGTTCGTCGTCAGGAACAGGATGCCGCCGTAGTACTCGAGCGCGCGCAGGAACACGCTGACCATGGCGTTGCGGTGCACGTCGTGCAGCGACCGCCGCTCCAGGAACACGTCCGCCTCGTCGATCAGCAGCACCGCCTTCCACGTCGACGCCAGGTCCATGATCCGCGACAGGTTCAGGTCCAGGTGCCCGCTCGACACCCCTAAGTCGCCCGAAGATACCATGTATAGGGGCCGCTTGACGTATTCGGCGACGCATTCGGCGGTTAACGTTTTGCCGACGCCTGGGGGGCCGCTGCTCATAAGTCGGAATTAGTAATTTTTTCAAAATAGGGGGTTCACCTGATTTTTATTCCGGTGAATAGGGGGACCTTAGAAAAATCCCGAGTGGAAAGACTTGGGAATCGCAAATTTCGGGGAATACGTACTGCAGCACACACACAAGTCCCTGCCCCTTTCCTTTCACAATATCATCGAACCCTTCCCGACTACTCGAGTGCGACGACACCACCGCCTGTACCGTTTTCTTCGTATCCTGATCGAGCACCAGGTCGTCGAAACACCTCTCGTTCCATTCGATCGGAGCCACCTTATCCACAAAGAACTCGAGGAACTGCTTGACGGCGAACGCGTACCCCCTGACCGTCGCATTAGCGATCAACGCATCCTCGTCGGACAACTTCTCGAACGCGCGCTTCTCGGCCACGAACCCCACCGCATTCACCGTCTTCCGCTTCCCTCCTCGCACGTGTATAACACCATTACTCGCACCTCTCGCACCGCCCACACCACCGCCACTCCCGCCACCCCGACCCCCAAACTCGGTAACGTCAAAAGTATCATTGGCCTCGAGCCGGTGGTACGTCTCGCAATCGATCATAACCCTACCCTTAACATTAATCCGCGCATACCCCTGCTCCGTCTTCTTCAGCGCGAGGCCCTCGTACTGCTTAAAGTGCTGACCAACAAAACTCTCGAACTTCCTCCCCCTCTCAACCAAGCTTTCGCGAATTGCGTCCCCGTCCTCCACCAAGTCCAGCGGCATAGTCGCCAGCTCCCTTAACTGGCGAGTCCCCGCGTACTTTGCGATAAACAGCTCCGCCTTCCTCGTGCCCAGCTTCTCGCCGTCGAAATCCACAAAGTCGGCCCAGATATTCAGGATCGGCGTGTCGCCGCCGCCGCCGTTCTCGTACCAGCAGCTATGAACACGAAAAGCGCGGTGCTGGTTCAGCACTTTCGCGTGGATAATGGCCCCCGGCCGGAACAGCGTCCACAAGTGCTCGTACGAAATCGCCCTCAGCTCCCTGACGCACCTCTCGTGCGCCGCGATCTCGGCCTCGAAGTGCGTCCGGATCCAGTGCATCAGCAGCCTTAGCTGCGCGGCCGACTCCTCGTCCTCCTTGAACCTGGCGCTACCCTGCGCCTCGAGCTCCGCGCGGTAGTAGAACAGCGAGTAATACGGGCTCTCGATCTGGACGTCGTCGACGTTGACCGGGTCATCTGGATAATCGCCGATGACGTCCCTCAGGAGGCGGCGCAGCGGCTCCGCGTTGACGTACAGCCGCGTCGTGTCGAGCTCCTCGTTGTCGTCGCAGTACACCCGGACGAGGCAGAAGGCGAAGAGCCGCCACCAGTCCTTCTGCTTCGGCTTCTTGACCTCGTCCTTGCGCTCCTTGTAGTACTGCTCGTCGCGGTCGTCCCATAGTAAGTCCAGGTGCTTGACCTCGCATTTCATCGTCTCGTCCCTCGCCGCCGTCGATATGCTTGACGACGTGTTCGTTTTCAGGCTGTCCTTGGCCTTATTGCCGCTGCTGCGTCTGGGTTTGAGGCCGCCTTTGAGACGCCGCGTCAGGTGCGAGATGGCGCGGTTTACCTTCGCTATCGTCATTTTGGAACGGGGTGTTAGACGAAGCTCATGCGCGAGTTCTATACAGGCGCTCATCAAGAATGCGTAGATATGTAAGTTCCTGGGTAGGTATAGCTTTCGGGCCACCTAGGGAATTGAGCAATTGAGGGTAAAAGTGGCGGCAGAATCTACGACGCTTAAATATAAAAACTAAAATGAATGATTCAAAAAATGAGAAGAGAATAGAAGGTTAAAATGCGTCAATGGCCAAAACAAAAAACAAGATTAACAGTATTAGTAGATATAGCTAGTAACTTCAAAAGAAGTAGGTCGGCTGAGTCAACATTTAACGAGAGTCATCGAGTAGTAAAGTAACCCGGCAGAGAACGGACGCAGGCTGCAGCTATCGTAACATGATTTTCGAATCCTCCAACTAGAAATTCGCTCGAGGGTCACTTAAGGCAGCCAGTCAGACGACTTGAAGAGGCATGGGCTATTAAAAAAAACGCCTAGCCTGCTGCATTCGACGAGCGGTCTGATGCGAAATACAGCATTGTGGCATGCCGCTAGCGAATGCGCCTTGCGCTGAACGGGGGTAAGCAGAGCTATGCCAGTATGGGCGATCATGAAGAATATTCGCTGGCGAGGCTGGAAGATCATGGATGCTTGTGTTCCATGTAGGTCAAGTCGGATGTAAGGCAATAAACTCGAAATACTACCTTGTTCGTGAGAGGTCCAATAGAAATATAACACAGACCAGGGCCTCCTATTCGGTCAGTGACTAGTAACGGTCCGCTATACCAATAAATATTCCGCTTAGATACTCCGCAGTTATGAGTCCGTGGATTTCATACCCACACGCGCTTGTAGCATTATATGTGTATTTCTATCAGAATAAGTTGTGAGCATGGAGGGGGCCACGTACATTCATTCATACAATATTCAAATACTCATTGGCGGCCACGTAGGAAGAAAGTCAAAGAAAACGGCAACTTTGGCTAAGGAGTAACCAATTATACCGATCTCATTTTCGTGTATGCGAGATGTTGATAAACATACATACAATTGTGTAAGTATGTTCACCCAACGATTAACGACCAAGCCAAGTCAGAGCAAATCGCAAAGGGCGTAGATATCGCTAGGTATTCAAATATTGGATATACGCATACATTGCTCGCAGCTTAGCCCCTCTATGCCTACTTCACAAGTAGGTGGATATCTGGCAAAGCTTCAGCCCAGATCAAGATATTTGGGAATGGATATATTTGGTTCGATTCGCATATCTATATTGTCGGATTACGTATCATCTTCGCCGCACGCCAAGGCTTGCAAAATCGGCCTTCAAAACCTCATTCGCCTCTAGAAGTTAAAGCTTCCAACTCCCCTCGGCTACGATCACGCCACCGCACTCTTTTCTATGCAACCAGCCATTGCTATGAACCCAGATGAGTTATTCGTATCTTTATTGGAGTGACCTCGTAACACATCCGCGTCACGACGCCCGGTAATACGCGCAGCCTTTTACTGAATGAATGCGCCGCATATCCATAGCATATTAAGTGAAAGCCCCATCTATGTGTTTCAAATAGCGACCAACTCTTTCATGCAAATTTTATGACCCAGATGAATTGGAACCTCCCAAAGACCGCTGCCTCCGGGGTGTATATGGGGTTCGACGAGCAGCCGCTCAACTCATCATCTTTCATGGCTCGGGTTATCCTCTGGTCGAAGGGATGCAATTAAGGAATAGGGTATCGTTATTAACTACGCCTCTATTTAGCGTTCCTCCTGAATGCAAGTAGTTCGGAGAGGCTTCCGAGTGGGCAACCATGCTTCAAGAAATCGTGCTGCAACAGCTCATCCGCCGAAGCACGACTCTTAACGTCGACACACAAGCAGACCGATAGGAAAGCCTTGAGCTCCTTGCTCAGCTTTTCCGGCTTCTTCAGGCGCGGGGTGCCGTTGGTTGCGATAAGGTAGAGAGCCTTCAGAGGCTCTTCGTTAAGGTATGGCGGCTCGGATTCGATCATCTCAATGGCCATAATTCCGAGCGACCAAATGTCAACCTTCGGGCCGTATTCCTTCTGCTTGACGACCTCAGGAGCCATCCAGTAAGGAGTTCCGACCATAGTTGCTCGTTTGGATTTAGTCTCGGTAAGTTTCGCGCAGAAACCAAAATCGGCTGATATTATGTTAGTGATTTATTACTCATACTATTGGTTCCGACACTTACTGATCTTCACGTTTCCGCGAGCGTCTAGAAGAACGTTATCGCTCTTGATATCACGATGGATAATGTTCTGAGAGTGTAGGTGTTGCAACCCGCAGCAAGTCTAGATATGATGTCAGCAATGTGAAAAATGATCGAATACTTCAGTGCGCCTACCTCAAGGCAGATCGTCGAGATCTGTTCCTCAGTAATGACTGGGTTGTTGTCAATGACATCTGTCAAAGCACCACCCTCCATGTACTCCATGACCACCCATAATTCGGCGTTGTTGTTGCGTAGGAAAGCGTCGAGAAAGTTGACAATGTTTCGGTGCTTGCTGTCCTTCATGACCATAATCTCGTTGACGATAAGCTCCTTGCGCGGCTGATGTGCCAGATCCATCTGCTTAATAGCAACTTGAGCCCTAGTTCCTTGGGAACGGAGAACCTCTCGGGCCACCGCAGACACTGCGCCCTCCTTAACCTTGGCCACATAGACTGAACCGGAAGCACCCTGTCCAATCTTCTTTTGCTTCGAGTATGACAGATTAGGGTCATCCTTCGAAACAACCTCAATCAGCTTTTGCATGACCTCCTTTTCGGACATGGTGGACATGCGAACATCCTGCTTCCTCTCCGACGGCGATGGCTTGGCTGTCAAGGCAGCTTCCGCAGCCTTCACACCGTCGTTCTGCTGAGTCTGACTAGGCTTCGCCGGTACATTAAGAGGCTTGACAGGAGCGGGCATGCGTGCCATCGCCGGGTTCTGAGGTTGACCATTCGCCCGTTGTTGTGGGTTATTGGCGTTATTCTGGTATCGTGCTTGTTGGTCATTCCGCGGGGGCATTCGTTGCGCCTGGTTGGACTGGGGATCGCGTGAGGTCGGAACGGAGCTTGAACTGGTTTGAGAGGAGAGTGGAGGTCTGCTAGCAGAAGCAGAGCCCGAGTTAGGTGCTGGCGGAGCAGGCCGCTGGGCGCGAAGGCCGTTGACTTGCTGGTTGTTTGGCTTAGGCGCCGGAGGTGCTGCTCGACTAGGATTGTAGCGATCTTGCGAGCCTGAGTTCCCATATCCACCGCCACCAATCTCTTGTTGGGCCATGGGCACCTTCTTTTGAGGAATAGAAGCATTGTAGGCCTCTAGATCACGTCGGTTCTGCTCCTCAATTTCGCGCTGTCTCTGTAATTCTAGTTGCTTCTTACGTTGCTCTTCGCGCGCCGCATCAGGAGACGGGCCATAGCTACCTCCAACACTCTGCACAGGTGGTCTTTGCGACATCTCCGGAGGGTTCGGTCGAGGCGGAGGGGTGCCTTGCTGCTGTGACATGTTACTGTAGCTGCGCTGCGAAGGTGGCATTGGACGGGGTGGTGCGACAGAAGCGCCGCCGCCGCCGCCATATCCAAGTTGCTTGTTCTGCTGAGCGGCAGCGGGAGGAGTTGGAGTAAGGCTTGGATATTGCTGGGGATTCTCGGCTCTCTTAGTGAGATCCGAGTAGAAATCCAAAACCTCGAACACAGCCTGGGGGTTGCGCTCGTAATCTTCCTTAGTGATGGCGGAAGAGTTCAACAACTTCGACCATTCGGGCGGCAACCCTACGAATTGGCCTGTCTGTGGATCAAAGCCAACGTGTACTGCATGAGAAAAGTTGGTCGGGTTGCTCACCCCACCCATAGTAGGACAGCGACCATAGAGAAGGTCAATCCAGTCATAGAGATCATCATCACTCTTGACCTTGATGTGTAAAGTTCTAATTGAACCATCATCATCTCCGGGGCTATTAGATGACCCCTGCGCGTGCCTCTTGATCTCAAAGATAGTACCCGCGGCCTCGACTCGTCCGACGTTCAAGACGTCCTTTAGGAATAGAGTGTAAGAAACCTTTCCACCCTCGGTCTTGTGGAAATCAAGCGCTTCCTTGCGCAGAATAAGATATTTTTGCTTCCACGGTTGGATGAAGTTCCTGCTCTCCTTCACCTGCGCCCAACCCTCTTTTATGACCGCGACACCTCCCATGCCATCTGTCTGGTTGGATCGCTCGCGGGCGAGCGGTAAGGAAATAGTAGAGCCCGTGTATGTGGAAGTGGCAGTACGCGTAATAGGCGACGAAACCACGTTCGTCATACTAGAATTCATACTTCCGGGGTAATTAGTGCTGGGGGTGAGATTGAGGCGTGGGCGGTCCATTGGCGGTCGCGGGGCCGGGCCGGGATTCATAAACTGGCCGGTAGTATAAACGCTTCTGTTATATTGTCATAATTAGTTAAAATGTTCTGAGGATCATTAGGTATGTAAGGTCAAAGACAGACTCCCGTGTCGATACAATTAGGCGATACTCATTCGACGCAGAATTGAACTGGTAGACTATGAAGTCCGAGTTTCCCCGCTTGCGATATCGAGAGCGTTGGAGGCCGTTGAGGACAAGCGATCGAGACGGTTGGGTTTATTGTACTCTAATTAATCGATAGACTTACCCGTTCGGTGCCGCCATAGTAGGCAAGGATGAAGAAATTAGGTAGTTATCGTAGCACTTCTGCTGGGCGGAAAATCGAAGCCTTCGTCCGCAACGTCTTTAAGGGTAATGCGAGGAGCGCCTATCTTGCGAGGCTTTGTTTGAAATCAAGGCTAGAGTAGAGCGCCACGTTGTTAGTATGTACTAGACTCAGTCCCAAAGATCGGGACCCCTTATTCTAGTGTATTTCAATCTAATACGCGGCTGAGGGGTTCGGCTAACTCACCCCGATGGGGACCAAGAGAGATTAGAAGTGCGGTGAGAAAGAATGGAACCAGTTCAAACATTAAGCGCAGTTTTCTCGAATTCCAAAGTTGATATGGATTGTAAGATCCGCAAAGAGAAGGGAAGATTAGTCGACTTCGAGTGCGTGGAGACGCTGTCTTGAAGTCGATTCCAAAGGGAGTCGGTTGGTCGGGTAAGAAAAGAGACAAACGAGCGGCTCGACTTCACATCCGAAACCCAAGCATCAATGCGGTATCGAAATGTCGGGGCTTCGTTCTTTTTCACGCTCCTACTCGTATTTATAAGCCGGTTTGGTTTACTTCTGGGTTAAGCAATCGAACGAGGAAGCATAGCAATCGCAATTAGTAGACTATCGTGTTCTTCGATAATGACTCAAATCCCCCTATTACGCTGGACTGATTGGGGAGATATGGGATGTGTCTATTGTAATGTATGTGCGTGTGAACAAGCAACGGTTAAGGCTTTGAAGGAGGAGTGATAAGAGAGAAAAGTAAGACATTGGATGTGCAGTCAGCAAGCATTGGCAAGCATGGGGCTACTAGCATGGGCAGGCATAGGTGGACAAGAAGGGTAGAAAGGGCAGAAAGGGGTAGGTAAGGTACAGCGAATACAGGTACAAATACATAGGTACCTTCAATCCATATTGTCCCATCAATTGGAAGGGGGGTGGGTTCTTTTACCAAGGTACTTCCAGGAATTAAATGATTGATTGGCGTTGGAAGGGTCTCCCCTAAAACTGCAGGAGCTTCCATGTATCGTGTACATATAATCCATATAATCCGACCTATCAACTAAGACGATTTAACTCTATTTCTCGGCGAAGCGGACCCTCTCAGGCAAGGACTGGCAGGGACAGGCAGGGACAGGCAGGGACTAAGAAGGTATATGGGTACGTCCTTAGCGGTTTCAACGTTATTGAAGACGGCCACCTTGGATTGGGGAAACGCTAGTCTAAAACAAATGACGATCCTCTCAGGTCCCTACAACTTGTTCTCCAAGGCGAAAAGTTTGCCATTCCTCTTTGGATGAATTGGATGGAATCATACTTCCCCTATCGCTACTACGTATTCCTTATTGAACAATTGGAACTTTTACTTCCCTTATAACTTCAGGTGGCCTCGGATATACGATGTATAACCCGATCTATCACGTTACCTACCAAGTGCCTAGTATAATCAGGGGTGAACACTGGGCACTTCCTGGACCGCAAAACAAGTTATCATCGAAAGATCCGAGTCGGTGGTCTTATCGTTTCATGAAAGGCCGTATTTGAGACCCCTCTATCCCGACAGCAAGAGACTATGAGAATATCTCTTAAGACAAATAATAATGAACCACGCCCCGCGGCCCGCCGTGCGTCTCCAAGGCTTTACCCGCCTGTGGGATCCCGACACATGCGTAGCCGGCGCGAACAAGTCACCAATGGAATCATAGTCAAGATACTCTAGATGGATTCCATGTATAGTAACCTTCGTTTATTCAGATGCACGAAACAACGACCACTCACCGAATCGGGTATTAAATGAGTACGTACGTAGTAACGAATCGCGATCCTCTGCTACGTCAAGGCAGATTACATAGTAGCCAAGATAGAAGGTGTGTTTTGGGGCAAGCCTGATCTCGTTTCTCTTCCAGCCGACGACTTCTCGGTAGTTCCGAGTGTCACGGGTCGTGACGGTTGATCCTCTGTGCGCTGAGCAGAACAAGCCCAGATTTCCCTCGCGTACATACATATACAGGGTGGAATTCATGTGCAGCACGCAAGGTTCTCGCGAAACACCCATCGGGTTGGGAGCGGCTCAGATGGATGGAACATTTCTTCGATGACGACGATGAAATTCCTCAGCCACTGTAACATACCTACCTACCAAGGTATGTATTATACGAAACACATGAATGCATCCTACAAGGCTATAAGCCCCCCGGAAATGGTCATCGAAACGCCATTTATAAGTTTTAACTAGTCAGAATAGTAAGAGAACTCCCCGTCGGTTGTCATAATGGGTAAGATGTACGACGTTTCACCCATAGCCTAGCCGCGATCTGCTTCACATTCATTCGCTTCTTACAGAAAGCGGCGAACCTCAGCTGATTCTCGGCGATCGTAACCGCGCTCGGGGATACAGCTGCGGCGAATCAGAGACTTCGCCTTCTCGAATTTTGCAGGAATAATATGTATCGAGACATACACTTACCTAGGGCCCTTCTTGCATTGGTTTCGCCAATGTGCGGATCTGTCACAGGATGGTAGTGCTTGGCAACCCGCCAAAGCCCCTGGTTTTGACCATTGCGCGTAATTGGTCAGGGATTACAGGGGTTACCAGCTACGATATGTTTGTGTTCCCCATAGAAATTATTGTCCATCTCCGTAACATGTGGGATGTTTTAGCCGTCGCCAGACTTTTTATTTGAGAACGTCTATGTAAGCCGATATATACTACTATGTCGTTAGAGGTGTTACTAACTGACTAAGATACTATGCCTTTGGGTACGTTTCGTACGTACAAACTAATCCCAGCTTCAGAAAGCCCTTTACTCTTGTCCGCTTCGGCGGCCGAACAACCGCACGTGGTTAAGATCTACACTTGAAACTACATCTGAAAATGAGGGCCAACACATGAACAAGCTTTTAATCAGATCTATATAATCTGTCTATCCGACCTCTTGCCCCTAGTCTGCCAATGAGGCCTCCAGGCCGTTCTGCCCCTCCGATGCTTGACGTTATGGAGTAAACTAACGCATTATATCCGGGATCAACGAACAGCGACCTCAACCTCCTGTCCTTCAAATGCCGGCAATTCGGCTTCGACGTCCGCCCACTGTTTGTAACCGTCTACTACAGACTGGATTGCGGTAATGATCTTGTCTTCATCCGCACGGACTTGCTTAGTTGAGTCTCGATCTCGAAGTGTGATAGTGCTGTCTTGAATAGTTTGGAAATCAACCGTAATACCAAGCGGCGTGCCCAGTTCATCGTTGCGGCTGTATCTCTTTCCAATTGTCGCGGACGAGTCGTCGATCCTGTTAGAGATTCCGATTTTCCTGAGCTTCTGGGAGATCTTGTAGCAAATCGGTCTGAACTTCTCGTTAGATGATAGAGGGACGATAAGCACCTTTGTAGGGGCTACCGTCGGTGGGAATGAGAGGACCTAGATAAAAATTAGCATCTTGGTGTCAAACGGAGCGCTAAACCAAACTTACGCCGCGAGCTTCGTCGCCACCCTCGCTAGCACGTGTCCAGAAGTTGTGCTCCATGAGTGCGTAGAGTATTCTACCAATACCGAACGATGGCTCAATGACGTTGGGTGTGTACTCCCTAACGTGCTCGGTTCTCGTTCGTCGCTCGATGACAATAAGATCTTTAGGGATCTCAGCCTTTCCGTCACCAACACCAGCAACTTCAAGTGTAATGCTGCCCTTCTCGTTCAGGTCTTTTGCTAGAGCTTCTCTTTGGTCTTGAGTAGTAGCTAGAACAGCAGCCTCAACGGTCTTGCCGTCTTTCTTGAAATGCGGGCCGAACTTCTTCTTGTTCAAGTCAATCTCCCATTCATTGACAACTAGAGGCTCGGCTCGTTGCTGGCGAACAATGAGAGGCGCGCCAGTCTTCTTTGCGTGGACACTCAGATCGTAAGCACTACGATCTGCGCAGCCGACACATTCAACCCAGCCGTAAGAGGTGAGAAGTTCAGCATCCCAGCAATCAGCAGCATAGTGAGCCATTTCATTCGCCATATGTTGTCTGAAGCGGATCTTAGATTGGTCAACACCAATTTTCTTGAGGAATAGATGAATTCGAGCTAGGAAATAGCCCAAAGTCTCGTTATCAACTGTCTTGTTGGCCACGGCCTGGCCGATGGATACCTTCTCGACCTTCGTTTGACCAGCAAGCTGGGTTTCCCGGTTCAGAAGTACCAACTCGATATCCTTGACTTCCTCAAATCGCGGGTGTTTCTTCCCGCCCTGGGGATCCACGAAATGTTCGATTTCCGCCATCAAGAACTCACGCACTCGCAGCAGGCCGGCTCGAGGAGAGATCTCGTTTCTGTAGGATCGGCCGATAGATGCCGAAGCGAACGGCATTTGACCCTGGTTGAACTCCAGAAGTTTGGAAAAGTTCAAGAACTGACCCTGTGCGGTTTCTGGTCTCAAGTACCCGGCAAGATTGCCGCTGGGACCGATGGCTGTCTGGAACATCAGATTGAAGGCAACAGGAGGCAGTGGTTGCACGCCAGAAGCTGGATTTTTGAGGTCGTATTTCTTGATTAACTCTCCGAGCTCTTCGCCATTGTAGTTGTCGATCCTGGCCAAGACTTCTTCGTACTCCTTCACAACAGCATCGTCAAGTTTAATGGCCTCTTGCGCACCCTTGACCTTTCGTTTCTTTTTCTTAGGGTCTTCTTCCTTCTCTTCAACCTTCTGGCCGCGTGCCTCCTTGTCGCCCTTCAAGCGACTTTCCAATATCTCCTCGACGAAGTGATCCGCACGAATGATCTCGCCGTTCTTGGGGTCTTTGCACATCCAGTCGGCGAATTTATCCACGTGGCCGCTCGTCTTCAAAACTTCGTGGGGAGTCAGAACGGAACAGTCAATTTCCAGCATGTCTTCCTCTAACACGAAGTGTTTGCGCCACACATCAATAATGTTCGCCTGGAGACTGCAGCCAGGCGGACCGTAATCATAAAGACCAGCAACACCTCCGTATATTTCAAAGGCGGGGGTATAGAACATTCGTCTTCGAAGCATGGAGTCTAGAGAGGGACGATCAAGGGGCTGCCCCTTGAGGGTAGTAGCAGTTGTCGTCATCTTTAACTTTTTGCGATTCACGGGAATCTGGGGATCATATGAGTTAGGTTTAGATGTAGTGAAGTTTCGCAGATAGGAGTTCGCGACTGGAAGTCTTTGACAAGCGTTGGGGTTTGGTATAAATTGCAAGGCTCTCGAGCACCTTTGAAGTTGGGAATGAAAAGCAATCGCAGGGCCCAAGCTCGACGCAGAATTCCTAGTCAAGGAGACTGCCCTGATCATGAGGTTGAAAACGAATTGAAGACAGATAATCACGACTCTCCAAATTTTATAGGAAAGTATTCTTACCTAGCAGTTACAAGCTTAAGGTTGAGTCACAAAGTTGCCCGCTATTTTTCCAATTCGTTCCTTACCCCTCGGCCCCTCCATCGGCCCCTCCATCGGCCCCTCCAAAATTTCATACCGGTCCCTAGTCGTACCTAGCAGCCTAGGAACTTTAAAGTTAAGTGCAGGTAGAGCCCCACACAGAGTCGGGTCCACTAAAATTTTCAGATCCAAGTCGCTATCGCTATCGCAACCTCCCATTTGTGACATTTTTCTCTTAAATATCAACATTCAAGGGCTTCATTGCTCCCTACTACTACTTAATTATTAGTACTTCTTTAAGAGGCAAACAAAAGATGGGAGCACAAAGATCTACGTCACTGTCTAAGAAGACGGGAAACAAGCTTCACCGCCAATCGTTATACGTTAAGCAAAAAAGAGAGCGTGAAAAAGAGAAGCGCGAGTCTCGTTTTCGAAGGAAGAAAGAAGAGGAAAGGGAACCTGAGCTTCGAAGAGAACGAATTGCGCGAAACATACCAGCGACTATTGACAGAAAACGAGTCTGGGACGATGTTGACGACGATGGACTGGGCGCAAGCGTTGATATGGAGCAGCTGCTCAAGAAAAGGCGCCTACAGCAAGAGGAAGCAGAGGAGGAGTTAGCTGCAGAGGCGGCAAATGGCAACGAATCTGAAGAAGAAGGCGACGAAGAAGACAGCATGCTAGGTTCGGACGACGAAGAGGAATCCGACGAGGAGGCAGCGGCAAAGGCTCGCGCAAAGCAAGTCATCCGAGACGATAGCATGGCGCCGTCAACCACATCAACAAACCTCGATCTCACACCAGAATCATTGGTGGCTAAATTCCCGTCACTGTTCTCTAACGATGGGCCTGCGGAACCCCAAGTCTTAGTTACCACTACCCTCAACTCGACCATTCACGATGAAGCAAGATTGCTTTGCAGCCTGTTCCCACATAGCACATATATACCACGGTCGGCGCACAAATACGGTCACAAGTACAGCGTAAGAGAGATCTGCAAGTTCGCAGCGAATAGGGGTTTCAGTACTGTTATGATTGTGAGAGAAGACCAAAAGAAGCCAATTGGTCTGGATATTGTCCATCTGCCTTCGGGGCCGACATTCCACTTCAGCATTTCAAATTGGGTCGAAGGAAAGAAGTTGCCGGGACATGGTAATCCGACGAACCACTACCCGGAACTCTTACTTAACAACTTCAAAACACCGTTAGGTGTTCTCACTGCGAGACTCTTCCAGTCCCTTTGGCCTAAAACTCCTGAGCTTCAAGGTCGCCAGGTGGTTACGTTACATAATCAACGCGACTACATCTTCTTGCGCCGACATCGATATGTCTTCAGAGAGAAACGAGCGACGGAGAAGAGTGTGGTCGGCGCAGACGGAAAAGAGTTGAAAGGGGTGGAAAGCATTCGCACAGGTAAGTCAACTTTTATTTAGGTATTGTATATGTTCGTCTAACTAATAATTGAATTTAATAGGTCTTCAAGAGTTAGGTCCTAGGGCAACACTTAAGCTTAGGCGCATCGACAAGGGAATTGGTCGAGCTGGGAGCGAAGGAGACGATGCGGTGCAATGGGAATGGAAGGCGAAGATGGAAAAGCAACGGACCAGATTCAATCTTTAAGTCTGCCTCATATTTCCTGTTATCATACCGAATTATGGAATTCAATATACCCAAATGTTGGCCCGCTTCTTATTCTACATCTTCAATGTTCATATCCAACAGGTCACATGTCAGTCTTACCTACATCTACGTAGTATCTTCATTTAAAGTGAAAAGAAAAGCCAGTGAACCTTGGAAACTCAATTTACCCCTCAGCCCCTGTACCGCACTGCTGGGTACTTTCTAGTGATCGTCCACTAAGATAAGGTACATTGGTAAGTGACCTGACGCTAGCAACAAGGGAGCCACGACCTCAGCACCTGCACTACTTGGCGATCTTAGATTTGTGGCTTGTATAACTTGTAGGGGTCATACAGCTGACTGAGACGACTGACATCTACCTAAACCTTCCCCGTGACATCCTTTAATGACCAATTTCATTTACATTTCATACGGCATTGCTCGTATTCAACCGTTCAACCAACAGCGATGATTGACTAAATCTCACCTTCGAGGTAGTATCTGAACTACCTATCACCGAATACCACCATTTCATTTAGCTACGGTCGCCAGTTTCGGAGAAGACTCGTGTAAACGCAGCGCAGTCACCCCCAGGATGTCGGCCGCTATGGATCGGGTTCGCTCATTATTCAAGAAGAGGGACGATGAGGTGGAAGAGGAATACCAACCCTTAACCGAAGAATCGCGGTCCTTTGACGAATCTCACGGGCGCGACGAAACCGACGAGACGCCTTTCTCATGGATCGACTATGGCCTCTTTGCTATACTTGGCGTTGCGATGCTATGGGCCTGGTGTGTGATACTTTTCATGATTCATTTAAGCATCGGCCTATACAAAGTCTCCTATAACTAATGACATAATTAATTAGGAATATGTTCCTCGCCGCGGCGCCTTATTTCCAACTTCGATTTCAGGATGACGACTGGATTCTTAGCAATTTCCAATCGGCAATTATATCCGTTTCGACACTCGGGAATTTAGGATCGATGATCGTATTGACGAATGTCCAATACACTGCGTCTTATCCATTCCGGATCAACCTTGCCCTCTGCATAAACGTCGTTATATTTACTTTATTAACGGCCTCGACCGCTATATTCCTCGATGCATCACCTCTAGTATACCTAGTATTCTTATTGGCCGCAGTAGCTTTCACCGCTTGGGCGGCTGGGTTGATACAGAATGGCGCATTTGCATTTGCCTCCAGCTTTGGACGACCCGAGTACATGCAGGCAATCATGGCCGGTCAAGGCGTAGCAGGAGTTTTGCCTGCACTTGTTCAAGTCATATCAGTTCTCGTAGCACCGCCAGCCGATGCAACCGCTGGCGTGGAAGAAGGGGTTTCATCAGGCAATGGGAAGGCTGCGTTCATCTATTTCCTCACCGCTGTGATTATATCACTCATAGCGCTGGTAGCCTTCATCCCACTGGTTAAGCGACATAACCGCATTGTCGAAAATAGGATGATGGAACATATGGCTGCATCGATGACAAGCATCGAATCTGCAGAACGTGCAGCGCGTAAGGTCGTCAGCATGCTGACGCTCTTCCGAAAGCTCCATTGGCTAGCGGGCGGGGTTTTTATGTGCTTCGCCGTCGCCATGTTCTTTCCCGTCTTCACACCGAAGATTCTATCAGTGACACCGCCGGAGGACGCGGGCTTATTATTACAACCAGCCGCGTTCATCCCGCTCGGCTTCTTATTCTGGAACCTCGGCGATCTCGGAGGGAGGACCAGCTCTCTCTTCCTCTCACTCCGGGACCGGCCCGCTTTATTATTCGTAGCAAGCATAGCACGGTTCTTATTCTTGCCGCTTTACGCTCTATGCAATCTGCACGGGAAAGGGGCCGTTATTAACAGCGATGTGTTCTATCTGCTACTAGTCCAATTCCCCTACGGCTTCACCACCGGTTGGCTGGGCTCCAACTGCATGATGGCTGCCGGCGAGTGGGTTGAAGATGGGGAACGCGAGGCCTCTGGAGGATTCATGGGGTTAGCGCTAGTGGCTGGTTTGGCCTTTGGTAGCCTGCTGAGCTTCACAGCTGCCGGGATATGACGATTATGATTGTGGCGAGCGAGATTCGACAGGTAATTTTTTTTTCCCCTCTCACAAAGATAAAGGCGCCGAAGGATTATTCACGCATTTTGGGTATGGCGCAACTAGAATCTTACGTCTATATTATTGATATTATGAGGGTATTAAGATTATTCCGATTAGGTATTCCGTATCCCTTAGACTAGACAATCTTGGGGTGTATCTAGCCGTAGGTAACCACCCGAGGGAGTGGATATTAGATCGTCGTGCATGTATAGGCCGACGAATCAGATTGCTCAGATTGGCTCTCACGATGTTCATAAGTCGCCAGTTTTGGCAGTTTGCTAGCAGGGTACATGACTCCTCCACAGGGGTAAATTAATCTCGATCATATCGGTCACACGGATCGTTTAACTTGTGCTCATATCCATAGATGAGCAGTTCTCACAAATTCTCACAAGGGGAGCAGATGATAGTCTCAATTCCAAGGCTTAGGGATTCGTTAGCTCGTCTACTAATTTTATCACCTCTGATGGAGGGTTTCTAGGACCTAGACTGCGCCACTATGTACGCACGACGAGTGCTAATGGATGCCCGCAGCCGCACCTGGGCACACTGGAGTCCCCTGGACCTGGGACCTGGACCTGGACCCTTTACATAAAGGCTCCTCTAGGCTTTGAACGGCAGTTGAGGCAAACGTCATAAATGTAGACCGGACTCCATTTGCTTTTCCAAAATCGTCTCCATGCCGTTCGATTGCCTTTACGGAAAGGGGTGTGGTTCGTTCTTTTTCTTCTTCGCATTTTACCATTCATAACATTTGGTACCGTCCCGCCTAATCGTATAAATATTCCCGTCGTTACGTCTGCTCGTTACACCGATGTCTCTTTGCCATTGACCGAGTCCCTCGTTATACCCAGACATAATATCGAATATTAGGAAGGAGCGTTGTTCCAATACTTATTTTTATACCATTTACGCCATTTTTGCCAATACATTTCTTATACTTGCTTATCTGGAGAGGCTAATTTAGGTTTCCGCTATACTGGGCTGGACGACAAGGACTACAAAGAGACACCCTAACGATTTCATCTTATACCTAATAATTCATTCATCTTTTCAAAGGGAGATAAAAAATAAACACGTCTTCCCAAATCCCAGATGCAATTGTTTTTCTCTCTAATAATCTCGAGTCCGTTCTAAGGATTTCACCGCTTTCCCCCTAATCTCTTAAGGGAAACGCCCACCATGAAGCCGCTAAAAGACATCTGGAGCGAGCTCTCCAAGCCTCTGCCCGCGGGGTTGTTGGGCGCCGAGCACGTCGGGCCCGCCACCGTCGTATCTCCAAAGGAGGTATATGAGCTGAGCTATATCCTCCACAGGTCCGAATTCACGCACCTGGCCGAGGGCCGCGCCAACGCCGTCTTCAGGATCAGGGAGCCGAAGGACCCAGGCGTGCCGGCGGGCTTCTTCCGCGGCACCCTGCTGCGCGTGCCCAAGGCCACGCCCGACGTCGTCCCCTGCGACTACGAGTCCCTGCAGGACTTCCAGGAGAAGTTCGTCGACGTCTGCGTCGGCCGCCAGCACCTCGTGCCCCAGATCCTCGTCCGCATCACCCAGGCCGTGGCCACGGCCCTCAACGCGAGGCGCGACGCCGCCCTGCGCGCCAACGCCAACGGCAATGGTAATATCAAGGGCTGCGACCTGAAGAGCACCATCCTGCCCGGCTACGCCATGCTCGTCGAGGACATGGGGCCCTCGCCCGGCTGCAAGGCCCTCGAGTTCAAGCCCAAGTGGCTGGCCCAATCCCCGCTAGCCCCCGCCGACGCGACGCGCTGCCGCACTTGTGCCCGCGAGGCGTTGCGTCTGGCCAAGCTGCGCAAGAAGGCGGGGTTCCGCACCGCCGCCGTGCCGGTGCCGGCGCCCGTGTGCCCGCTCGGCCTGCTGCACGCGGACCGCGCGGTGGTGATGAGCACGCTGGAGCGGCTGGCCCCGGGGCCGTCGTGGACGGAGCGCGACCGCGAGCGGCTCGCCGACGCGTTTCGGGAAAGCGGCGTGCTCGAGCGGCTGCGCGACTTGCAAGAGGAAGGCGACTCCGGGGACGCGCTGTTCACGCGCCCCTCCGACCCGCGCTTCGGGTTGTCGATGACGCTGAGGGATTGCTCGTGCTTTGTCAGGGTGCCGGTCGACCCGGACGCGCCGGTGACGATCAAGCTCGCTGATGTGGATAAGAAGAACTGGCGCCAGAAGCAGGCGTACTGGCAGCGCCGCCACAATGACCTCGTTGATGATGGTTGGTACCGCGGCGCGGAGAAGACGCCTGTTGAGACGGCGTGTGTGCTTTGGCTTGATTATTGTCTTGAGAGGGGGCTTGAGATACCGCCTGCTTTCCGCGAGAGGCTGGGACGACGCTGATTTGTTTTTTCCCCTCATTTACCTATCTACCTCTTCCTACTTACCTGCCTACCTTTCTACCTACCTCTCCCTACCTACCAACCTACCAACCTACCAACCTACCCATCTATCTGTTATAAGGGTCGAGAGCTTGGTGTGGTGCATTCGGGCGGCCTAAATATGTTTATGGTTTTGGTTTTGTTTCTGTTTTTTTTTTTTGTTTTTTACGTTATGCCATGTCATCTCACGCCCTTACCGTTACGAGAAGATGATCTTCATGATGCGAGTAATATCATACAGGGGACCTTAAAGGGGGGTCGGGAGGATATCTGTTTGGGTGGGTGGCAGGTTATTCGTTACACAAGATCCAATGTTATTAGACAGGTTTGGCCGCGAGGCCTCTGTGAGGGCGGCAAGATTGTCGTTCTACTGGAGTACGATTTTCTTCTTGTTGTTGGAGCATGGTTTTTGGGTGGTTGGTTTCGGTTCAAAACAGGGGTCAAGAGACAGACGTTAATCAGAGAGTAATCCAGAACAACTTAATACGGTGTGTTTTACATGTATTCATTTTATATGTGTTGTCAACCAGTTATTTGAAAGTGTGTTACTTGATGTTTTGGGAGGATGTCAATTTATAGTCTTGCTACTTGGGCTATCTACCTAGGCATGATATTGCGATCTCGGATGTCTTGATATGGCGAGGCTGTAATGTTTCAGTAAGCACTTCACCTAAATCGATCACCACAAAGAATTACATGTGCTGTACGATGAAGCACGTGGATTTCAGCTAGACTACCAAGGTAGGCGTAGTACGCAGTGGAATCCTGGACGGTCACATATCATATTATCGATTGTGGGCAGAATCTTGGTTCTGAAAATGGTCTCGTTAGGGTTAGCCAGACAGCACACATAAAACCTGTTAACATCGAAACCTGAAATTTAGTAGTGAAAAAACGACGTGGCCGGACTTCACGATAGTTGTGTCCGGCTAGATGTAGAAGAATGGAGCAGAATGGAGAAGACATGTACCCAAGCGAGAGGTTAGACACGAGGCAGCGCCACTTCTAGTATAAACTTTTCCAAGACCCGGGGTTGGGCTAGCACATACTCTAAACAGTTTAGGGGTCTAAGGTTGTTGCTGCTCGCGTGCTCTCTTTCCGATGCTTTCTAAGGTTCTAGGTGGAATTTGGAGAACCCACCGTCCAGGGCAAGTTGCAGAGCGCAGAGTGCAGAGTGCAGAGTGCAGTGGCGTGAAACAAATGAAAGCGGCGGTTTCCCCTCGTGGTGGTGTGTGTCAGCCGTCACCGTCAGCCGGGAAGGGACAGAAACATCTGAATAGAGAAGGCACAGACCACATGCATTATTTTTTCATCTGCCCCCCAACTTGAATGTTGCCGAAGGACCCGTATTATTATCTTCGCGAACCAACCACAATTGGAATGAAGCTCAATAGAGCAAATCAAGATCAAGCACCAAGGGAAGGAGAGGAGAGAAAAAGAAAAAAAAAGTTCGCGTTACCTCCACTTATCTCCTTGGTCTCCCAATTCATAAGCATGCGTCGGAGTGCATAGCATAGCGTCATTTCCTTGCACAAATCCCTTGATCCCTTACTATTCCGATTTTTCCAATCCACAATCCACCATCATACAGGTGCAGTATGGTCCAAACAAGTTCCTAGAAAGCCCTAGCTTCCCGCCCAGTCTGCCACTCCCTCTGCAGTCTCTGCCATTCCTATTCCTATCATACGACTTACCGCCTAGACTTCACCGCACCCACACGCCCGCACACGATCAGCCATTGCTTTGCTGTTAATTGTGGTTCGATCTAGCCAATTCTCCGGACGGCCGCCACCTCGACCGATTTCACCGATTTGCATTATATTTTATCCTCGCTTAAACCTGGGAAATACCCATCACCGCCGCTTTCCCTTCCCACTTAGTACCTATCATACCCTACACCTACATACATACCTACATACCATACCACCGACGACCCAAGCATCCTTACTGCGAACTGCGAAGTAGAAGGGGTTTGTAGGCTATACCATGCGAACCGAGAATAAATGCTTCATTCAACATGGCCTTTAACTTCAACTGGTCGCCGCTCACGGCCGACGCCGAGTTCTATAAACGAGCGCAGGAGCTTCTAACGAACGCACTGAATAAATCTCCGAAACCTCCTATAATCGTCGACGATATCCTCGTCACCGAGTTCAACCTCGGCTCTGTCCCGCCGGACCTGGAGATATTAGAAATAGGAGATCTCGCCGAGGATAGGTTTCGAGGCATCTTCAAAATGTGCTATTCGGGCGATGCATTCTTGACGCTGAAGACGAGAGTTCAAGTAGGTCATATTTTTCCCGTTATCTTTTCTGGTGCGAGGAAAGAAAGAAATATTATGGGAAAAAAGATGCGAAAAACTACACTGTGGCTCCGGATATCGTGGGAAATTTCAGCATTACACTATATTATACCAGTATATACGTCGAAGCGACGCGAGATCTATCGACAGTTCACTATACCACCGTCTTTTTCACAATTTTAGAGAGCTAGTGCTCCGGACGTTACACGAAAATTTGCCATCTTGAAGCTATGGACGCCACCGGATTCCGTGGCGGGGACAACTTCTAAGCTTCACTTCCAGCCCCTTTTCCAGAAAAACTTGTTTAGCTCTACGCGGAACCATGTTCGTTCTACATTTTGCGCGTTTGTGGAGTTTTTGCATGAATCGTTGTAATTACCTAGGGTAGCTTATCAGGGGTTCGCGTTTTTTTCGGGATGTTTTTATTTTTTATGTTTTCTTACTTCCCCAACTATCAAGTCGAAGGTTCGTGCGTCATATAGGGTAATGGCTAATATTATAACCTGCAGGCAAACCCCTTGAACACATATCTCTCGGCTAAGCCAACATTCACATCGCCGCAACCGTTGGCGGCTGCAGCAAGTCTCACAATACCATTATCAATCACCTTATCTGAGATTAAGCTGTCTGCTTTCATTATATTGGTCTTTTCGAAACAGAAGGGCCTTACGATAGTATTTCGAAATGACCCCCTCGAGTCTCTCAAGGTCTCTTCGACCTTTGACTCGATCCAGTTTGTCCGAGACTACCTTCAGAGAACGATTGAGGGGCAGTTGAGGGCTTTGATGATGGACGAGTTACCGGCTATTATCCATAAACTCTCATTACGGCTTTGGTGTCCCGACCAATTACCGAGGGAGGAGGTGTCGCCAAAAGAAGGATCCGAAGATGAAGCTGTCGTCGATCCTTTCGCAAATCCGCCTCCTGAAGCAGTCGACTCTAATGGTCACGTGCTTGACGCGAATGATATTGCATCATTATCTATGGACGGAGGCTCGGAATTGCAATCTCTATTTTCTCAGAAGAATTTATTGAAACTAGCAGCCCTTACCGATTCGCAACGGACGTTGTCACTATTCACACCCGGGATTCGTGATGTGTTGTTTAGGGCTTGGGCCGGGTCGATGGATCGGAGCGATACCGGATATTCCACTCCAGCGTTGACGCCCAGTCTGATGCGTACCCAATCTCTGCAAGGGAGCAGCAACACATACACCTTTACGGATTCTAGCAGCATAGACCAAGGTAGCATGCCTTCGCGGCCATCCTTGTCCAGTCTCCACTCGGCCACCACTGGTCTGGCCCTTGGCGCTGGTAGACATTCAAGAAGTTCACGCAAGAAGAAGACGCGTGTGGTTAACCTGCGTCGGAGCAAAACCGGAAGCGAGGCCACTAGCGAAAGCAGTGAGACACTCTCAGATTCCACGTCTATCAACGGCCCATTCTCAGAGCCAATCCTACCAGACTCAATTCCAGAAGATCACGAGGAAGAACTGGCTGATGAAGACGAGCCATACTCAACCCAAGTGCATTACAGATCCGAGAGGGATGTGCCATCTCGGGCTCCGTTAAACATGGACATATATAATGATCCGGCTATTGACGAGGGTGGCCCCATACTATCGGTGGAGCCAAGTGCGGAGGCGTCTCCAGCTCAGCAGGAAAGGGTCGTGGGACCGACCCGCTTCCCTTCTTCTTCCAAGAGTCCCTTCAACCTGGAGCGGCATCGGCCGATGGGCTCTGACACGTCGTCCGTGATTCTCGAACAGGCATGGATAATGAAAATGGCTGGCGAAATCGCGCGTCGAGTGTACGACGAAAAGCAACGAAACGAGAATTTCTGGGCGGAGCGAGACGATACTCCACCCCCCGCGTACCAAGCGACGCAATAGATCTATAGATCGTACAGGAAGAGCAACTTCCGATCCTTCACTTTTTTCTTATTTTCCGTTTGTCTATATCCAGCATGCATTAGCAGCACCTAGACAGACTGTACATATGGTTACGGCGTTACGACAAGGATCACAGCGAGGTGGGGTAACCGGGGATTTGGAGATATCCGGATGCTTTTTAATGTCTATTAAGAGGCGGTGTGCAGCAGTAGCAGAGGCGTTCTGGGCGAAACGGTTTTAAAAAAAAGTTGTGGGTCAATTATTGACGCTTTTGCCCTTTTTTGGGAAGGTCAAGTTCTATTTTCTGTTTCTGAATGCGAAGAGAGTCGAGAGTTATGCAAAGGCAAAGGCTCGGACGAATCATCTTGCACCTCACATGTTTTTACCAACACAATACTTTAACCGACTCTCCTATGTAACGAGGGTTTTGCGACCTAGAAGGCCATGGAAAGACTCGTTTGTCAGGTAGGGGAGCCGGGCCGGGTCACGGATGGGTGGGAAAGGGGGGAAAAGGAAATCAGCATGGCATCGGACGGGAATAGGAAAGGGAAATCAGATCAAAGATTGATCGGTGGTGCATATACGTCTCCCGGTACGAACCTCAGATATTGATATATTGACGTGCTGGGAGACTCACTCGAGGCTGGAGTCCTCTTGAGAGAAAAACTCCAATCCCATATAAATGAAAGAACATAACGCCCCCAAATGCAGCGTCCTGATTTGAAGTGACTGGATCAATTTTGTGACTTACTATGTAAGAAGTGTTGGAGAGATAGGTGATCGCTAGTGTAGTAAGCAAGCAGGATGGTGTGGTTTGTCCCTAGCATCAGCTATTGGCCATCGTGAGGCTATACGACTATCATATGTCATAAGAACAAGTTCAGTGAATGTCTACTGGCAGAATTCAAGAAAATGACGTTTTGTTTCATTAGCAAATCTACGATGCACTTTCGCGATTCGTAATTCATCTAGCAAGCTATCGTCGTACCAACTCCATCAGTCCCCTGATCAGACTGATTGATTCCTTCAGGCCTATGTAATATGTCAACGCGCTCTCAATATGCCACGTCACAAATTGAGCGACCTGCTAAGTTGGGAGCTGAATGAACTAGTAGCAGCACGTTGGCGAAGCATAGCCTCTCTTCCCTCCATTTCGAAGAGCCCTAATGCAGGATGAATTCCCCAATCCCAAATCCCCGATCCTTAACGCCCGAAACGCCGAACGCCAATGAATAGGTCGGTTGGATGTAGATTGGCTTCGACCTCACGATTTCAGGGCGTACCGAATTCGACTAGCTAATCTAGCAATTCGACATATACTTAGTATGTAGGCTGTAGGCGGCGTAGTTTTCCCCGACGCATGTCAAATCGGCTGCACGGAGACACGGCTCTCAGCTCAGTTACGTAGATCGTCGAGCAATCCGCTCGCCGCGCTCCAGCTTCTTAAGGTGTTTCTTGCGGACTTTCAAATCAACCAACCGCGTCATTGTCTCCTGCTGCTGCTCTCCTCCTCCTTCATCATCATCACCATCTCCTCCTTCTCCGTCCCCGTCGTGGCCCCCCTTCCTCAGCGACGCGGTCTTATCGAGCGCTTCGCTGAGGCGCGGCCGTCCTCTCTTACGCTTAGTAACGTCGCCATCGCCATAGCCCGCTCCCGCACCGCTCTCTCGCCTTCTGCTACCTCGTCTCGACGCGCCCTACGCGCCGGACGAGGCAGCCGCCGCCGCCGCTTGCTTGAGCGCCGCGGCCTCGGCCTCCTTCTCGCGCAGCGCCTTATGCATCTCCCTGACCATCTGCTCGACCTTGTCCTCGGCCTCCTTCAGGCGCTTGATCTCCAGCTGCTCCGTCTCCCTGCTGAACGGCTGTCCGGGTTTATTCGTAAGCGGTATCATGGCGCTGCGCTCCTTGACCTCGCCTCCACCGCCGCCGCTCTCGGTCGGAGGAGCGGCGGCCTTGCCCTTCCCCTTGCCCTTCCCGCCGGCGGGCGCGTGCTTGTCGCGCGCCCCCGTCGTGAGCACCTTGTAGAAGTCCTCGAACGGCTCGTTGAACAGCTGCTCCTCGTAGACCCAAGCGACGACCTCGCCGCCGTTGCGCATGGCCTCCTTCTCGGCCTCGGTGCGGCCGTACGGGTGCAGGCGGAGGTGGTGGTACAGCGTCTGCGGCTTCTCGCTACTACGACTGTCATAATACAAGCGTATCGTGATCTCGAACTCGCCCCAGCCCGTCTCGTTGACGACGAACCCCTTCTGGCGCTGCGCGGGCGGCTTCCCCTCGTTCTCCTTCTGGATCGTCTCGGCGTCGATCGTCCGCAGGTGGTTCGGGATCGACTCGTGCAGCTTGAACTGCACGCGCCGCAGCCAGTAGAAGATGTCGGTGTCGTCGACGCCCTTGACGAACACCTGCCACGAGTGCGTGTGGTCGGCGGGCACGCTCGCCGGCCGCGGGTTGTCGGTGTCGTTGAAGGGGCGCGCCGTCGTGCCGTAGATGAAGGGTCGGTAGATTTGCACGCCTTTGACGCGCTTGCCTGCGGGAGGCGCCATGATGCGGTGAGTCACGCACCTAGATAGGTAGTAGTGGTAGATTGTAGTAAGTAAATTATTCAGGTAGATATCTAATTATTAGAGTGACAGATTCAAGGAGTCTAAATTCTAAATATAGTACTAGAAAATGAAAAAGATCAGGTTGCGATTGCCGTAGACGGTGACAAGAGGTGACGAGAAAAGGCCGGTATTACGAATAGACGAATAGCACCTGCCAAGGTAAATGGAATAGTGATTGAGTCAGATATGGACAACTTCCCCAATTCCTACAGTTCATGAAGCTTTCTAAAGGAGCAAGAACCTCTTATCGATAGCACGCACCTACCACGAAAGTAGAAAATTTTCAGCCTTACCGTCGCCCCACTTGCTCTCATACTCTAAGCGTCATCGACCCAATCAATGAACTGTCCTCCCTCTTTACCCCTGCTGTCCTTGCTGTCAGATTCCTGGCGGGAAACTTTCAAGGTTCTCAGCCTTGCACATGAACTGATGATGTGACTCAAAGAAATGCGTTGATCGTTACTGCATACCAACAAACGCAAGAGACATATGACAGTCAAGAACGTCTCTATCTGTATATGAGTCATTTCCATGCCTGTATTAAAGAGTTATACTCTTTTGATTTCTATACGGAACCGACTTCTCAAACTATAGTCACAACTAATTAGGTTAATTCCAGCCATGTCGTCCAAGAGACTAGTAGTATGCGGCGGTAGCGGCTTTCTCGGGTCTAGGATATGCAAATACGCCGTTGCCAGGGGGTGGGATGTAACATCGATTAGGTAAATCAATCAACAGACCTTACATAACATACATACTTCTCAACGCCGTCCTACATACTAACAAACCCCCCAGCCGTTCCGGCGAACCCAAGTGGCTCGCCATCACATCCTCCGCGGCGCCGCCGCAGTGGGCACACAAAGTATCCTGGGAGCGCGCCGACATCCTGCGTCCGGCGACCTACGCGCCTTTGCTCAAGAACGCCGACTTCGTCGTGCACAGCATGGGCATCCTGCTCGAAGCCGACTACAAAGGCGTACTTCAGGGCCGCGAGTCGCCCATCGCCGGGCTCCGGAAAGCGTTTAGCGCCGCGCCGCGGCCGGGGAACCCTTTGGAGCGCGGCGTGCAGACGGACGAGGACCAGGACATCCGCCCGCCGGAGACGGCGGCGCAGCTCACGTACGAGAACATGAACCGGGACAGCGCCGTGGCGCTGGCCAAGGAGGCCGCCGCGGCGAACGTGTCCACCTTCGCGTATATCTCGGCCGCGGGCGGCGCGCCCGTGCTGCCCGCGCGGTACATCACGACGAAGCGGGAGGCCGAGAGCGCGATTGCGAGCGGCTTCCCCAACATGCGGGGCGTCTTCTTCCGCCCGCCCTTCCTGTACGACAGCTCGCGGCCCATCACGGTCGGCATGGCGGGCATGACGATGGTGGGCAAGGTGTTCAACGACGTCACGCGCGGCGTCCTGAGCGGCTTCATGGGCGCCGCGGGGACCAAGCCCCTCAAGGTCGACGTCGTGGCCGAGGCCGTCGTCGAGGCCCTGGGCGATCCGGACGTCAAGGGCCCCGTCGAGGTGCCCGAGATCGAGGAGTTGGCAAACAAGGCGTGGAGAAAAGGCATGCTCTGAAACTTTCGGCCGGAGAATGGGGGAAAAAAACTAAGGATTTTGTATTAATGCAACAACCCCTATAGACTTGTATCATAGCTGCCCAACGCCCCAAATATGCTTGTGTGAATCGATCTATTCATGAACCATGAGCAATGGAACTCTGTTAATGACCTCCTCTCAATACTACGATATGCCCTCCTCCTAGTCCTAGTCCTATTCCTAGTCCTAGTCCTACTCCTATTCCTACTCCTGCTCCTCAGATCATAGTTCCGCGTTCGAAACTGTCCCTGATCTCCGCCGTGTACTTGTTGTAGAACCTCGACAGCTTCTGGTTGAACTGCTTATTCTTCTCGTTGATGTACGTGACGTCGCCCTCGTCGCCGTTCTGCGCCATGCGCTCGCGCCTCTTGCGCAGGCGCTGCTCCTCCGCCTTCTGCAGGTCGCCGACGAGCCTGTCGACGGCCGCCTTGTCGGGCCTGTTCTCCGCGAACGCCGTCGAGTCCGCCGTCGAGTAGAAGCTGCCGTCCCTGTCGACGGCGATGAGCTCGCCGTCCTCCGTCTCGACGATGTCGAGGCCGCCCGACGCCGCCGCCCGCTCGATCGCCGCCATCTTGTCCCGCTCGTACCGCTCCAGGTTCGGCGCCGCCAGCAGGTCGCGCACCTGCCGCTTGTACACCTTGTTGCTCTCCTGCCGGTAGTCCTGGAACGCGTTGTTGTCGCGGTGCGCCGCCTTCTTCTTCACCCGCCGGTCCCAGCGCTCGCTCTCCTCCGCCGTCCAGTCCCAGGCCCGCTTGCGCTCGAAGTCGTCGCCCGCCTCCTCCGTCTCCGCCTTCAGCAGCTTGTGCGACGCGATGTCGCGCCGCCGGTTCAGCGCCACCAGCGCCGACGGATCCGTCGCCAGCCGCTGCGACTCCTTCGTCGCCTCCGCGAGGTTCTGGTCCGACGAAGACTTGGCTCGGGCCTGCAGAGCGCGGAAGCGTGCCATCCGGTCTTTGGCTTTGTCCGCGGCGTCGGAAGCGGAGCTGGCTGCTTTCTCCTCCGTCTCTGTTGCAGTTTCGGTGGGTGTAGGTTCCTCAGCCGGCATGGCTTCGCTTGGTTTTTCTGCGGGTTGTTGTTCTTGGGACATCTCGTCGTTGACCGAAGGGGTCTGCTCGACTATCTCTTCTGTTGCTGCTGCCGATGCAGATGCATCTTCCACGTGAGCGGTGGCCTTTGTGGCTTTTGCACCTTTAGCAGTCTTTCGCTTTTTCGCAGGCGGCATAGTCGATGTTCAAATTGTGGAGGATGCGAAAGGTTGTCTTGATGTTGATAGAAGTATAGAAACACTAATAGTAAAATCAACTAGCGGAATGAAATGATAGCAGCTGTCCGGTAAAACCTGGGCGTTTTACAGGCAGTAAGGGGTGGGTCTAGGATAAGAATCGGCAGCTCAGTTTCGGAATATATTAAATCCGCGCACCAGCTCTTTTGGGTAAGTGTAAGCTTTCCGTGAATAAATCCAAGCTTACTTTGACCCGCTCACTAATTACCCCAGAATCCGGGGAAAGTTTGCGCTAAGAAAGGGTTCCCGCGCCAAATTTGGCGCGACGGCTGTTAGTTTTCCGGGGTAGACCTAGAGATCTTCCACTCTCTATTACACTATCTATCAACTAGCATCCCCTTACTTCAATTTGCCTACATATAATTTGACACTCATAACAGCGCAATGTCGAAACGGGTTTCAAAGTTACGATAAAGTCGCTCTAAAATGTTGATATATTACGCATCTAGCCATTGCCTTCGATATGCAGCGATTGGCTGGTCCGTGGTTACCCCACACGCTTCCATTGAACACGCCATTGACCAACGTTCAAATCCGATCCTATTACATATATCGTCGTAGGCGTGGACTGATGAGAGAAAATCCCGAAAATGTGCCCTTCTTCGAAATATCTCCCCTAGCATTGGACCTCGATGCCGAAGAGAGCCCGTACGTGCGTCCTTACGTCGAGGAAACCGAGGGCGAGCCACCACCCGCTACATATTATAGCAGACGTTATCTCGCAAGGCACCGTACTCTCGGTTTTGAAAAAGCGGCTAGGGCGTATGATTATAATTTCAAGACTGTTAAGGAAGATAAATTCAGCATATGGCAAATATCTGATTATGACGTGCTCTCCTTCATACTCGATCCATCGTTTAAGTATGGACAGGAAAATGAGCCGCGACGCGTGCCTTACCAAGACATAAGTATACACGAACGTGGGACGAGACTTTACGAAAAGGCGTCGGTATTGCAACGAAATGGAATACCGGAGATTATGCAAAGTAGATTCACCAGGATTATGCCCTACATTCTACGCCGCCAGCATCTAGCCCGGCGTCTACATCCGAGTGTTGGCAAGGCAAACACGCTGGGAAGAGCACTTGATAAAGCAAGCCGAGAACCAGATATTGAGAGGAGGTTTCTTGGTTATGAGAGAATCATTGAGCGAGTAATTCAGACACCCGAGGGCGCCAAGATCGTCTCCGAGTCTAGCTCGATCTTAGGGGATCTATGCGAAAAGATTGCGCCTAGCATACCTCCAGAACGCCTACTCACGTTTTTGAATAACGTGGTGGTCAACCTAGAACCCCAGCAGCGGCCTATCTCGCCCATTCTTCTGCGGTGCGCATATCAAGCCACGTATGAGTGTCGCTGCTTGCCCATGATGCAGAAATACATGGGACTGGTTCACAAAAGGGGATATGATACAGGGCCCCGGTTTTCCCAAGCTCTTCTTATTTTTCAGCAGATGATGAGTTTCCAGGATAACAAACCCAGCGAAGATATAACGCATAATCTTTTATCCATATACGGGCTTTTAACGGGTAGATTATGGGGGGAAGATATGTCGTATCCATCATTTCTTAATCATATGTCCTCATATACCAGCGACCAATTCACCGGATTCCTCGCCTGTCTCGCCCGACTAGGGGCTTTCCGGTCTATGTGGTATATCTGGCACGCGCATCCTGAAAACATTACCAGAAAGCAAGCCTCTGGCACCACCGTCGGAGAGCTCGTGACTACAACATTCCCTAAGGACGAGGTATTTACCCAAGCCATCGCATATGCTGTTGGAGTGAACACTCGCTTCCGAAAAATAGTGCGAGCTCATGATTTTGCGGATACTGCTACAATGAGACATGAAAACTGCGAGCTTGAATTGCAAACTATCATAAAATCAGCGGATCTCCTTCTGGCGGATCAGCCCGAGGGAAATCAACCAATGCGCGTTATATCGAAAGGGAAGATAAGCAGTGTTTTTGGAAAGAAGTCGCTTGGGGAAGCAATGTGGGCACTGCAATCCTATCTATTGAACGTGGTTCTCGACACGGATGCCTAGGGAGATGTTAGAGGTGACGGGACGCAGGATCAACTGCGTACGTCACATGCATGCTAGATGAGATCGAGGTAGAAGTTCGCATTTGAGGTAGACGAAGCTTTAGATAGAGGATAGGGGAATATAGCTCACGTATAATAACACCTAAGAGCTGTGCGGCGTGGCCTTAGTCGGTATAAGGACCTCGGGTGGAAGAAATAAAACAATGCTCATCTACGAGACTATTTACATATCCGAGCTGTGCTGGAGTGTCAGCTTCGAAACTAGTAGGCTCGATGGGGCAGCCTGGAGATGTAAAGGGGTCGTGGCTAAATTAGGTCACCTAGGTCCTAGGCATTGTCGTTGCCGGCTATCAGGGTCCTATATAAGCTTCAGCGAGGAGGATAGTTCCGGACTTTGGCCCAAGAATTTCAGCGGATGGGCGTAGAACTTTAAGCAAAAAAATTAGCATTTGAATTGATGAATAAGTTTGGAAAAAATACAGAAGAGACTTTCAAAAGTTTTCACCATGCATGACCCCCGACTCCCTGTCAATATTAGCACCAGCTGAAGCATCCCCGGATGCGTGATCGCGATCCAGCGTAACGGCGCGCGTTCTGGCGATGTTGGTAAAGGTAATTTTTTCCTAACCTGTACTTTTACTAAAAAAGCTGCGGAACCCTGGGCTTACGTAACTCTGCTATTATCAAGTCTGCGTCGTAGCCGGCTTCACGTAGCCTAGCCATGTACTGGGGTCCCATATGTATCACCTCGTCGTGGGACCTGGGTATCTGAAGATATCGCTCCACAATCTTCGTATAGTACCTTACAGCCTTTGACCAGTACCTCCCAGAGAACGAGGGTTTTTTGTGGATAGCAGTAGGTTGGGTTCTGGCGAGGCCAAGCCCTTGGGGCATTCCCTCGAGTCGCATCTCGTGTGCTGCTAGAATCTGCTGCAACGAAGTGGGACGAAGGACCTCCGATAGTTCTAGAAAGTTGATTGCATCGGCGTGAGAATTGATGGTAATTTTCTCATCCAGGAATTCCCTAACGACGAAGTAAGTGCCATTTGTATTCGCCTGTGCCACGGCTTCCCAGGCTTTGATGAGACGAGGCTGCAAGGTAAATTTCCAGGTGGCTTTCCAGGTTAGAACTGCGCAATCGTTGCCCTTCAATTGATATCTGAAAAGTGCTGCCGATCCTACTTTTCCATTCCAAATTTCCATTGTCTTAAGCTTCGGCATTTTCAAAGCCGTCGACGCTGCTGCTTCTAACATATCGTTAATCCTGATTGGAAGTTGTTGACCACTTAATAATTGTGAAGTAAGCGTAAGCGAAGTTAGATGAGGCCAATTCCATCCCGACTTTACGGCGCAAAGAAAATGTTCGACGTCAATAATAAACGATGCAGAGAGATGCTCAAGCTCTAGACTGGCCTTCGTAATTGCCTGGCCGACTAAATGGTCAGGCACTCGCATATTGTCGCAGCGCGCGAAACATGACGAATACTGCTCATCAAAATTCTCAAATAATATGAGTCTCCGTAGTTTTCTTGGCGCGAGCGAATCGAAAAGCGAACAATAACCTTGATCTGTTACTGTTTGGTCGTTTGTGGACCAAGCCCTCCAAGGCTCGTAGTGGAATTCCTCGAGTCTAGGAAGACGGGAAAGCATTTGTGTAAGCGTATTCGGTCTCCATCGCCGCCGGTTCTGCAGACGTAAAAGCACACTTGTTATGGCCGGAACCTCCGGCAAAGTCTGCCACCATTTGCTCTCCTGTTCTATGTCGTAGAATGCGTTGTACGGCTCGCCCAAGACTTCTGCAAAAACGTGGCGTAAAGCTGCGTCGGTCGGAGCTGAAGATGGTTTGCCAGCAATCCATGCGTGCTCTGGATCATCTCGTTGGCCAAGTGTTGCTTGGCTGTGCGGAAGAGTATCAGGCCCGAAAGTCAAATACTTAAACCAATGCTGCGAGTCGCTCGGCGAGTGAATGCTGATATCCAGTTTTAAGTCACCCTGGGGTCCCCATGTACTCAGGGTCAAGAACAAGTCATGCATTGCCGTAATAATAACGCAATTGTCGGTTTTGCTTATGTGTCGAAGGTCATGGCCTCCGCACTTGGAACAATCATACTCGTCAAGTTCCAGAGAGAGCCAGATATATTTGACGAGGGTTCGGTTACGGCGAGTCATAGGGCCAAGGTCAGGGATGCGCCATAGTGTCAGATTAATCCGCTCGAAGTTGTGGCGCTCAATGATAGTCTGCCATTGACGTGATACTGTGGCCAACTGAGCCAAGCTGCAGCCATCGCTTAGCAAGAGCCCCAAGATCATAAGCTGCAGCTCTGTAGGTAGAGCTGCCCAGGATTTATTCTCACCTGTGCTTAAAGACATGAGTACCTGTTTGTGAACCACGAAAGTCAATAGAGTAGACTGTCTCGTTGCTGCCGGTAGGTAGTAAAATTTTGTGTAGTAAGAGGAGGAAGTGATCAATGAACCAGTTTTTAAGTACAGACTAATGAGCTTCTGGCGTGGAGAGAAGCAGTAGAAGATAGAAGTGCATTGTTTGAACTAAGGTGAGAAACTCCTAGAGGGGAGCGTGGACCCTTTTATGTTTAGGGCTGCTATATCTCCGATAGGTCAATCCTGTCCCGAAACAAAAACTTTCCAAGGAAAGCTTTAAGAATAAAAGACAAAATAGGTACCACTTAGACTTTTTCGGTGGCCGTGAGTTCAGCCATAGTGAGGAACTGGCCCAGGCTAGAGTTATCACGATAGCGCGTTTCTGGAACCAATTCTACACCGAAATGTCGTCACACAATAAGGTGCCAAGACCACATAGTTGAGCCACCTTACGCCACAAATGGGAGCCATACCCTAGGGGACTACTTACAATACAGTACTAGAGATCACCCAATTCAAGGCACAAATAATAACTCTATCACAAGTCTGCCGTTCGTTTGACAAAATCCGATGCTATTAAACTACAAGCTGTATCTAAATATGCTCAATTGGTACCTAGTCAGGTCTTGGTTTCGACATGTTCTTACGAACAGGCCTACTTATCCAGAACACCGCGTAAAGGTGCCTGACAATCGTTCTGGTGCCTCCGCTATGCTCATGTGAGATAGCTTCATAGGCCTATCTAGATGTGCTGTGTGCTATGTGCCATGTGTTTTATATAGAAATTCGAACTCACCAGAGACAAATCCTTCCTTCAGTACAAAGATGCCAGGAAGGCGTTGGTCAACTCGTCCGCTGCCGCCCGGACAGCCACCTCGGTCACAGACTGATCCTATCTGGCAAGCTCGCGGACGAGCCTAGCTTCTTCACTTGGGTGCTTTTCGTAGGACCATGCCGCGCCTGTGAAGGCCGCGGAAGCGAAGACGTATTTGGCGTAGGCTTTGAGGTATGCCGCCTGCGCCTGTACGAGAGTGGTGGGGGCAGGGATTCGGTCCGTAATACTTTCAATCCTCTTGATTAGCTAGGAGCTAGGCCCTGGACGTGGGCTAGAGTAATGGAAAAGAAGTTAGGAAGATGGACTACCTACTTCATTGCCTAAGTTTGACTTAGGCAGGCTATTGTGGCAATTTTTTTTCTTTGGGGTTTTGTGTTCTGATTAGGAAAAGGATATATTATGCTTAGGTACCGAATCGCCTGATGATCAGTGAAAATATATATGCCGTTCTGTGCTACGGATGTCCACATCTCTGTCTTTTTGAGTGTCCATACCAAGCCAAGTATTTCCATCTCTGTTAGGTACCTGGTATTCAAGGCTGGTGGCTTTGATATGCCTTGCCGTCTGTGCATTTATCTGCCTTTATTAGCTATAACGCACATTTTTTTCGAAGTTCTACTTGAACTTCGAGCCGAGGAGTAAAAACGTGAAGACCAAAAAGAAAGATGTGATGCGAATGTGTTGGGTGGAACTTGGGCTTTTTGCTGCGGGATAGTTTCACGTATTGCTGCTACCACTGCTGCTGCTGCTGCTGCTGCTGCTGCTGCTGCTGCTGCTGATGATGATGATGGGAATAGGAATGATATTGAAGAAGCAAGAGATGGAGGGAAGAGAAAAATGGTGACAGAAGCGAGCTTTAATAGATTAATATTTTCATGAAACGGACGCAACTTCTCAAAGACTAGAAACACAGGAGCAATCCCGTTATGGTCCCATGACGTAGAGTAATAGCAAGAAGCCTCATAAGAAAGAAGTCAATCCCTACATATGACATGAGAAGACGCGACTCAATTCTCTCATGTGCCCCGAATTTCTTACAGGGCTATACCTTCTCGAATTTGCTCTCATATCTATAATTATGTGCTTAGGTAGGTAGGTACATCCTAGCATTGAAACTTAATACATGTAGATTACTCAAGAATACCCCTTTCCTCATAATATAGCATCTGCCTCATACAAGGTACATGCACGTATACTGCAGAGCACGTATTCTACAGGGCATAAAACTTTGAAAAATACTAGGCAGGTACTAGGTAATACAAATAGACTACACTGCACGTGTTGATAGCACAGGTAGGAGCGTTGACATACTTATATGTGAGGTATATACTATGTTGTGGAAGGAAAACTGAATCTTAGAATCGGTTCAACCTTCTCGACGGCTGACACTAATATCATCGTCCGAACTGAAGTGGGGGCCACGATCCTCCCCTTTTGATGGGAGGATATACCGACTCTTGTTCCCCGACGTATTTTGACTTGACTAGGTGCTCATGAGAGAGGGAACTTTACTCGCGATTGGCTCAATGTACTCACAGGACATATGGCGACCAAGATGTAGCATAGCTAAGAGGCAAATGCAAAGGAGGGAGACTGGTATCTCAGCAGAAACCCAGTAGAAGTCTAGTGATAGGTATTCAGATTCTATCCACAGACTGCGTCTTGACTTACTTGTGGGTTCCGAATCTAGTGCGTGACTAGACGTGACAACAGTGATAATGCGTCCCAAAAACACAGCTATGATACTGAAAGTGTTAGCTTAGCAATATGCGTACAGGTTCTCGACACTTAACCATATCCTACCTAGTAGATATAAATACTATCGTCGTTCCCGCCTTCCATGCTCTACGAGTTTGGAGGTTCCAGATCTTTGGCATTGGCGATATAAGCATCATGAGATCGATGAAAACGCTACTTATGGCACTGCCTGTATAGGTAAACCGGAGTAGCGGGATTGTATTTCCTGGCCAGGTACGTCCCTCGCCGGTTATAATGCTGGCAACACTTACCAGGATGCTTTGGCACTCGAATATTTAAGGTCGAATATACCGTGTTGATCGACCTAGGTGGTATGGATGATGCTAGCTCTTTGCTGAAAGCGCACACTGCAGTACTATCTTCCAGTGACAGAGCAAGCTAGAGCCATTGCTTCTACCTGAAGTTTTGCACTCCTGGATATTTATTACAGACCAGACACCTCACTAAGGTACGACCTTCATCTATTCCAGGTTATCCTTAGTATCAAGCAGCCAATATACTGGAAACGTGACGAAGATGAACCATTCCTAATAGGGCAACCATTCTGGGACTATTTGCGTCGAATTGCTTCCTTGAGGGGGGAATACAAGACGTGAGAGTCAGATAATGTGGGTGGCATGATGAATGACCAGCAAGCTTTTGACAACGCAAGAAAGCTTGCTGCTCCAGGAATGATCTCTGAGGCTGCTGGTTTGATAAGCCAGGCTCTTTCGCAGTAGAAAAGAATGATGCTGGGGACTTCTACGCAACACATCGATGCAGATAAACCTGACATTCCTATAGGATCAACTCACTAATACCTAGGTATGTACGGAACTGGGTCAGTCAGGTTTCCAGTGTTGGTATGGCGATCTTCGAGCTCGTAATTAGCACCACAATTGCCAGGAAGGTTCAACTCAGGGGTTAATATTTGTTAACTCACAAGCCCTACTCTGAGTTTGAATGTCAAAAAAAGGGAGGGAAGTAGTGATCTCGTACTGCGTACACCAAGCAAAACCACTCCACCAATGGATTATGTAGTTGAATATGCTACTTCAATCTATAGAGAGAGTCGTCTCCCTCTCCTATCTTGACCTCTTCCGAAAGATGAAGTTTATGTACTTTAAGAGTATGGGTTTCTAATAACCAAAGAGGCATTAGCAAACGTACCCCTAGCTTGAAATTACTCTCACATTTCTCCCCGAGCCTTTTTGATTAAGTCCTTACCCGACTGGAACCCTGCACCGGCGTGCGAGATAAGTAGCATCCGAGATATCCAGGGGTCGATACCGAAGACAGCTTTCCAGTCGACGTCATGGTCTGTACCATACCTAGGTACATGATAACCTCGCCAATGAACTATCTATCGAGCAACGTCAGCATCACCTGACTTCTATCTATGCTCTACATACCTGTCCACCTAGGCACACGGCAGCCAAGAAGAAATCCAGCGTATGGGGTTCACCTATCCGCCTACGTTACAGACGGGGAAACGGGGGGGAACCCCACGTCGATAGTTCGACGCGCCAGTCGTTAACCTACCGCCAGCTAACCCCCCTCGGATGCGCACAGACCGGACCCGGTCAACGCGGGTCTAAGACCTGGCCCGCGCGGGATACCCGGACATCGTCGGACTGGGGAAAAGAAAAACCTGGGGGAAGAGGTTGGGTGGTAGCCCTGGTTCCAAGGTTAGGACTAGGGGATCTACATACGTACATACATACAGTATGGGGAAGAACCCCTGTTGGTTGGATAGATAAGAGCATGAATAGACCCCGTGGTTTACTACGTAGACTTGCGCAGACTAGCCAAGTCATTTGTGAGGTGGCATGTATTTTGTATAGCTACCGAGGCTGCAAGGTAGGTGAGAATATTCCAACAATAACAATTCTCACGCACGGACGTACGTAATGTAGTAAGATGCCTCCTAGTCTTAGAAGGCAAGGTACATAGAAAAAGCTTTTGGTGTCAGGAGTTAAGATTACCAGTCTCGGGGCCCCTATATCGGCAGTGAAACGGGTACGCGATCTGACATCCGTAGCACGAGGCGGAAGATACCGATGAGGGTCTTCCGCCCTGTCCGCGGACCAAACCTGGTTGCGTACTCCATTGGTGGATCTCACCTTCGGCCGGTTTAGGAAGAAGATTGACTGCGGCGCGATTGAGCCAGCTTCTTACATACGTTACCGCTTAGTTCATATAGTAAAATGAGAAAAAATTGAAGAAAAAAATCCGTGTGTCATGGCGGTGAAGAATGGAGCTAACTCATCCCCTTTTGGTGGTATGCTAAGCGTTGGTAATACCCTCATATGTACAATGAATGAGGTATTTGAGTTTCAAGGATGAGGAAGAAACTATAGAAAAGAAAACAAGGCGTGTACGTAATGGATTGTGGCAGACGACATGTCTAGGAGTCCGTGTCTTAGACGGATTGGCGAGATCTCGTGCCATATCCAGGGACGATGTCGATATGTATGTCTAAGTCGGTCTGATGCCGTCCGCAATGCTCGCGTGACGCTCTTCTATAATGGTGACACATACTAGAGCTCCCCAAATAAGGGATTAATTTACTGCACATACATCCTGCATGCCAGTCCGAACGGTTATCGGTTGATGTTTTGGCGGAGTGTCTTTTCTGCGTGATATTGGCTATTCATCTTACGCAATTTTGCGATACCCTAGTTCCGCTATTCGTCAGCCGTGGTCTCGATGGCGTAAACGGCTTGTACAATAAGCTGAATGCACGCACCCGACCGACTGACAATAGACGCGCGCGCTTGCGGACGTACGTATCTAGGTATGTACGTATTCGCTAAAATGGATGAAGACGAGATCATCGCGAAAATCAGCCAACCCCGGTCCCTG